ACCTAACGTGCCTAGATTCTTAAGTTTAACTACCTAGGTGCGTACACAATTGTGAGCGGGCGAAAGCCATTTGGCCATGGCTCAGAAATGGCTTAGTCTGAGTGGATAAAGAGCGGATTCACAAGACAAAGCTCGACGACTTTTGCTGAACCAGGAAACTGACATTGAATTATGGATCGTCCCCCCAGCAAAAAGGGCTGAGATGATTTGTAGCAGAAAAGGCTTGGCGCACATGGCACTCGGGTGGGGTGGTCTTGGATGCTGATCAAACGGCGAGCCGGAGGTAGGCAAGGTGCCGTGTACGTAAGGACGCCAACGGTCGGCTCGCTTTTCCGTATCGTGTTACAATCTTTTAGAGCCTGATACAAGGAACTGGTTCCCTCCGTTATGGATAGGTTCCTAGTTGTCAGCAATACCTAACTACCTACGTACCTACCTACCTGTAGCAACACGATGTACCCGGCTGCAGATGTCGACGAGGTCAACTTGCCTGCGCTTCTGTTCTCTCATCACACATTTTTGTTGGGAGGGACTTCTTCCCCTCTCTCAGTGTCTTGGGCTTTCTCACCGCGGCGCGCCGTAACTGGCACGTGCGTGCGGGTTACCTCTAAGTTCCATAAATGTGGGGAGCCTGTCAAGCACAACATTCTAGAGCAGGGGCACATTATGCCGCTACAAAACAACAGAGCCCTCTGGGACGTTCATCTGAATTTGGCTGACTTTAAACAGTGACTTTCAGTACTCCATCTCTTTAAAAGAACAGGTAGATTTTTAGGAAGTAATGCCGCACTTTTGTCACTGCCCTTCGCCTGTCCCTATTGCATCCAAAAGCAATCTCAACCAACGGTGTAATAGATTACGAAATACCAGGGTACTCTAGGTCTGTGCCCTATGTAAGGCAACCCCTATGAAAGCTGGCCAGTAGTCTGTCCAAATTGAACGGATCCGTAAACTTGGCTCCACCCCCACTGTTCGCCTGACGATCTCGTCTCATCTTTACTATGTAGGCCACACCGTTGACAGCAGATGAGCAGTGCACCGGCCATGTTAAGTGTAAAACAATAACCAAGCAATGAACCATAAAGCATGCCGCGAGTCAATGCCGACCTACGCAGACTGCCATTTCGGAATCCTGTCAATGTCTGGACAGGAAATCATGAGCTCACAGTGCACAAGGAACACTTGAAGCGGGAAGTTAGAGCTTTGGAGAGGGCATAAACTCCAAAAGGCCCAACACAATCAGCGGGATTCCGATTTTTAGTAGGAACAACACTGCGCTTGGGCCTTTCCAAGCCTCAGATTTCTGATGTGGTTCGCCTTTACGGATAGCTACTTAGGTAGGTAAGCAGCCAGAACAGCCAAAAAGAGCAAAGAGGGGTGGAGGGAGTGGATGTGTGATGTCTCCCGGTACCGCGATGTCACCAAGCTCCTCGACTCCGATACTCTCACTTGGTCTGTTTGGCCCGGATTAGCATACCGGAAGACTTGGAGCCCTACCACTCTGGACCCAGCCCCAAGGATCATCTCCTTTTGGCCAGGTTTCAGGAAGAGTCCTGAGCCGCCCTTCTGAACCATCAACCTAAGGCGTCAATGCTGATGAGCTCGGGATATGCCGCCCCAACCTTTTTGGGATCCCTCTTGGCGATTTCGCTGCCCATGTCACATCCCCGCAATAAATTGTTCACTAAACGCAGTACAGATACAGTATGTGAAGCATGTAAGCTTGAATGACGTGGAAGGGTCCCGCATGGCCTTTCCCCTTGCGGACATCACATCGGCGATTTCCTTAAACCTCCCTTCACCCCTTTTCCGCTTGACAAAACAAGATATCTCACAGCAATTACGCTCGATTGGAATGTTTCTCTCAAAGCTTCCCCGTCCCCTTCCCCTGCGTTTGCCGCCCTCCGAAAAAGCCGAGATTAAAGGAGTCTAGAAAGCTTATTGCCATGATCAGACAGATCGCCCGCAGTACGATCCGCGGCCGGGAAGTGATATATCCACGGCTCCGGTGTTGCAAGCTGCGGAACCGAGGGTGTTGTTGCCGACGGCATGATTCTCTAGCTCTCCGCTCACAAAGGCGCTAGCGACAAGTCCCCCTCCCTTGTCTTTCTTGTCCTCATTATCGAAGTGATGCCTTCTCGGGAAGCTACTGACGACGGCTACTTTCATCGATGGTGACCATCTCAGAGAGTGTGGAAACTGGCTTTCAGGGTTCCGCTCCCTTTGCACTGCAGGACCCAGGGCCGGTACCGGGCCATTTTGGGTATCAAAAGCAGATCTTGTTGGGAATCTAGATCTGTCTGAGCGCTGCAGATCCACCGTGACAGGACAGCTGCAACCGTGACTCATGCCGGATCTGTTTCTGAAGCGCGCCAGGGATATCACTGAACTATCTATGGCCGATTAGTTCTCCACCGTTGGACTCCTCCTTTTTGAGCATCATGGCCTTCATTCATCTGCACTCAAGCTTTGATGTGCCTCTGCTATGCAGTCTCAACTGTGTGTTTCAATACCAATTCACATTCAGGACCTCTGAATATTGCAAATGAACGGTCAGCTACAACATTTTTGAAATACTCCGTCTTCCATTTCACAGAAACGTAATAGAACCGAGAGTCTGCGCTGCTTTTTTGTCAGACAACAAGGAACCAGCAGAGTGCTCGGAGATCGCTGCTGATGCGAAAAGGTCAAACATCGGGAGACTGCGGAGATATTCTCCCCGAGAAAGGTCCTACACGGGACCCCCGAAGACCCCGATCCATGCCCTCGGTATTCTCCTACCAATGGCTAAACATAGGCGGAGTAATAAAAGCTCGTTATGAAGGATGTAGCTATTAGTCCCCTCATCGATCGTTCATGATTAGGTTGCAAGGATCTGTACAGAATTGTGTAAAGGTGTCACAGAAGCAGAGCAAACGGTTTGCAACACGAGCTTTCACAGACTTCCAGATATTCTCTGTTCAGCTGTATGAGAGGATTAAATAACCAAAGACTAGAATTCTGGCAAAGAAGCCCGACAATTGCTAAGCCTCGTCGGGAGCCCTGAAGGGTAACAAATTCAGGAAACTTCGAGAGAGACAGATTATCCAGCTCTTATGCCGGCAAAGGAACGATCCCCCAATTCCTGCCAGTTGTGACTCAGAATTTTTGATACAGGAGCACAATTGCCTGTTTCGGATCGAGGCTTTGCTTCAAACGGCGCGTCCTTTGCCTAAAATGCTGGGAAAGAAGGGAGGACATATAACAAAACCTAAGGATAATGTTGAACAAGGCGTTGGCGAAGATAGGTACGTTGAGCTATAAAAAAATTCAATTGGCCGCTTAATAGCCGTTGAGACTGCCACCATAAGAACCATTGTAACAACTTCAGCTCTTCAGGGGTAGCGCAACTACTCTCATCGGCTGGAAGGATCTGTGCAGCGCCGCATCGTGAGACGAGGGGGAGGAACACGATATTGTGCTTGAAAAGTGGTAAAAGTCAGTACAAGACAAGGGCAGAGGAGCTAGGGTTACGAATCGGAATTTTTTTTTAAACCCCTGACTTTCTCTTGTAGCTCCATAGGCTTCTATCTCCGTTGCTCAACGCAAAGCCCGATATCACAAAGCAACGAGAACATGAAGGAATCCACTACTCTCTGCTTCGTGAGAGTTACCTCTTACACACCGCCTTTTCTGGTAGCATCACATTTTCGCCAGTGATATCCACGGTTTTAATGAGCAACCCTGGGAGAGAAATCTGGGTACAAGTGTTCGAGAGATGTTCTCCCTCTAAAACAATTTCATCAAAACTACGTAGCTAAACTACGGAGAAAAGCCGATAAGGCCACGGTTATCAGCTCAATGTTCAGAAAGGAGCCTCTCTGAGACACTCGCCGCATGTCTGAAGAACGACTTTGCAATCGAATGACTCACCCAAGAGGGACTTGTTCTTCGGAGAAGCAAGTCCAGCGGCAAGACTAGGCACCGGCAGTTTCCTAGCCAACAAAATCTCAAACTACTGTTACCCGCCGCTGCGGCTGCTTGCGTTACCCGCCTGCCACAGCATCATCTTTCAAGCTCATCACAGAGCAAATCTCACCAGACACAAGATCTGGTGTGACCAAACGTTCGGAAGGCGCTGCGACAGTAGTGTCCGAGACAAGTCAAGTCAAGACATAAGACCAGACAATAACAGGGAAGGAAAGTAAAGCCGGCAACTATAGAAAAGATGCGGTGGACGGGGGTCTTGTCTATCATGTCCTGGGTGGCAGGGCTGGAGATGAACGGTCGGGTGTGTATCCAAGGACAGCATATGCAAGACTCAGAAATCTAGATCGCTCACGTCTCACTAGAGAGGATAAACGACGAGATGAAGAGAGATCTGAGTTCTAAGAGATAGGATGGAGCGCTTAACCTATATAACAGAACCAACCAGGTCACGAACTGAATAACAATGAATGCTACTGCTTCCTGCATGTATGAATGCATAAACCTTTGGATAAGAGATAGACAAAGACCACCCCCGCAGTTATGCCACCCAGCCTTATCCCTAACTTAGCAAATAAGCACTAACATCATTGTATTGTCCCATTCCACTTCTTGCCGGCTCCCCCCCCCCCCGCCGGGCCTCGCGTTCTTGTCGCTGGCCACAAAAGGACCGCCAGCACTAAGACATTCTGCATGTCTCACTACGGTAATATATCCTACATACGAGGATGAGAGAGGGAGAGAAAAGAGAGGAAAGGGTCAAATCATGTCCAAGATAATGAGTGGTCGTAAAGCAAAGCCAGTGAGTATAACTCCAAATGGTAGGAAGACGATGCTCGACTGGGGTGTGGTTGGGGAAAGCGACGCTGTGCTACCCAAGCCACTGAGATCCTGCCTGCGTTCGGGGAACGTATGGGTTCTGCGACCCTTGGATCGGATGAGTTCATGTAGGAAGCGGATGGTCAGACTGTGGGGAGACGGTCGAGACGCAGACGCTAATGACACCGGCCTTATTGCATGTCCTTTGGTCATCTTCAAAGTCTGCTCTGAATGCCAGGATGAGTGTCCTCTCTAGGCCACTGACCGTCAGGCCACACATGGCGAATCGCGTCCCAGATATGGCTGCAGGAATTTCGTTAGCAATGCTCTCGGTGTTTTCACACATGGCAGCAATATCGCCCCCATGCATTGGTGAGACATACTCAACATAGATAATATTAAGGCCGTTTTTGACCTCGTCGGGAAGATCCCTGACGTCCTTGCGGTTTTGCGCTGGTAGCAGAACCGTCTTAACACCGGCACGGAGAGCTCCGATGAGCTTTTCCTTGATTCCTCCGACAGCTGTGACCCGTCCACGCAGAGAAATCTCGCCCTGTGTTTTGTGTAACGAGGGGAAAGAATGCTGTCAGCGCTTTACAGCAAAAAGGAGTCCCAAAGAGATCGGAGGGAAGGCAAGGATAGAGGGAAACATGGATAGGGGACTTACAGTCATTGCCATGGTGGGAGGAACAGGTCGACCGGAGAATAAAGAAACGAGCGCGATGACCTGTGCGATGCCGCTGCTGGGGCCATCTTTAGGAATAGCCCCTGCAGGACAATGAACATGGATGCTACGATCCTTCATGATGTTGTCGTTCGAGCTATTCGTCAAGCCAAGTTCGAAGGCATGGGCCTTCACCCAAGACAGGGCCACTTCGCAACTTTCCTTTAGAACATCACCCAGCTTGCCGGTCAATTGCACAGTTCCAGAGCCGGGCATATCGGCGACCTCGATGAATAGGATGCTACCGCTACCACCTCCCCCAACGTATGCCAGTCCAGTGACGATACCTGGTCGAGCCGTCTTCTCGGCAATCTCGCTCTCAAACTTCTCGATGCCCAAGAAGCGCTCCAAGTCTTCAAGTGTCAGGCGGGGATTATATGTTTCGAGACGGCCGGCGTCTTTGGCATCAGCATACTCGACAGCCTTTCCCCGAAGCACCGAGGAGATCTCACGTTCCAGATTGCGGACGCCTGCCTCACGAGTGTAGGACTCGATAATCTTGGTAACAACCTCTTCTGTAAAAACGACCTGGTTCGGAGACAGTCCATTGAGGCGGATCTGCTTCGGGATCAAGTGCTGCATGGCGATGTGCCGCTTCTCTAGAGTAGTGTAGCCAGGGATGTAGATGGTTTCCATACGGTCAAGGAGTGGAGCGGGAATGGTCTCGAGATTGTTTGCCGTAGCAATAAAGAGAACTTTGCTGAGGTCGATCGGGATATTGACGTAGTGGTCGGTGAAGTTGTAATTTTGCTCTGGGTCAAGAACCTCCAAAAGAGCTGCCGACGGGTCGCCGTGGATGCTTGAACCGCCCACCTTATCGATCTCGTCCAGCAAAAAGACAGGGTTCACCACACCTACTTTCTTAAGGCCCTGGACAATGAGTCCCGGCATGGCAGCAACGTAAGTGCGACGGTGGCCGCGAATCTCGGCTTCGTCCCGAACACCGCCCAAAGAGATGCGGTGGAATTTCCTCCCCAGAGCCATGGCAACCGACCTTGCGAGACTCGTCTTGCCGACGCCTGGAGGACCAACAAGCAGGAGGATAGGAGACCTGTCGGACATGCGCTTGCTTCGAAGAAGCTCCAGCTTAGCATTGCCAGCCTTGATCTTTTCTTCCAAGCTGGGCTCCGACGTAGCGTTGTCCGTCGCATTCTCGACATCAGCGTCGCGTTCTCTGCTCATCTCCATCTCACCGAGCTCCTCTTGTGCCTTTTTGATTTCCGCATCCACCTCGTCATTGATGGATTGCTTCAACCGGAGGACAGCGAGATACTCAAGCAGCCGCTTTTTAACTTTGTCGAGCCCGTAATGATCATCGTCAAGCTGTTTACGGGCTCTGCTCAATGTGTGAGGGCCAAGGCGATCTTCCGTGGTGACTGTCCAAGGGATCTCGGCTAGCGTCTCGAGATAGGTGCGAATCACTATGTACTCTGCCTGGGCGGGATGAATCTTCTTGAGGCGCTTGAGCTCTCTCTCGGCAACCTTAGCAGCCTCGGGAGACAGTTTCGCGGCTTCCAGCCTCTTCTCGAGTTCATCGATCTCGTTGGGATCCGAGTCCTTTTGATCATCCCATTTCCCATGTGACCGGTTGTTGACACCGGAGAAAGGAACCGGCGCGCCCGAAGTGTCAACCTTAATGGTAACCTTTGGCTTCTCCGGCTTCCAGATCTTGTCGATATCCTTAGTAGGCGAGTCCGAATCTGGAAAGGGAAAGGTGGTCGTCGTGGACGTGATGGAGGTGATTTTCAGGTTATTCTTCATATTGTCCACCTGGCGATCCAGGAGCTCGATCACTTTGGAAACGCGCTCCCTGACATCGACTAAGGCCAAGACTTGCAGCCTCTCCTCGAACGAGCACTCCACTACGTTGGCCATGAAGTCGGCCAGGGCGCCGGGGTGGTGTTGCTTCATGATGAACAAATCAAGGCGGCGGGCGAGTAATGGGGACAAGCTGGGAGTGCCTTGAGTGCGGGGCAGAATCGACGACAGCCGAAGAATGGCAACCAGTTCTCTAGACAGGGACTTCAGCTGCTGGAAGAGATCCTCAAAAGCCGCATCGAGACGGTCGACCGTGTCAGGGCAATGGATGACCTTGGCCTGCAGGAAAGGCTTGTCGTGATAGGTCTTGTCCAGCCGGACACGGGAAATACCCTCGACAATCAGAGCAAACTCTCCAGTCCCGCGGCCCTCCACACCCAGAATCTTCGCAGCAACACCATAGCCGAAGAGGTCGGCCCTGGTGGCCTTAGCTGGATTCACCTCGGGGCCCTCAGCATTGTCGAAAGTTCTGTCTCCGTTCTTATCCTTGATCAGAAGCTTGCCATTAGGGCTAAGATACGGTGAGGCCAGAGGGAAGCACGCGATGGGCACAGCGTCGATACGGCCATTCGGTGTCGAGGACGCAGCCCGCGTGTAAACGTTCGCAAGCAGCTCGGCCACATCAGGGCGATTAGGCGACACGGCAATGCGTTGAACAACTCTGGGCAGCAACACGGTGCCGCGTGGCAGCACGATGATGGGGAGCGTCGCTGCCTGCGGTAGCTTCGCCATCGGGTGTTGCGCTGGGCTTTATCGTCTTGAGCGCGGGGGCTCGTGATGTTCGTGACGAAGAGGCAGCGATGAGACGGGGTTCTGGCTCGATGCCTTCCGTCAAAGGTGATTAGAGGGCGCAAGCACCTCTAGGGTAGTCTCTAGATGCACCGACAGCGCACGCGCGCTGGTTCAAGAGCGAAGACAGGTCGTAGGTATGGATTGATTAAATGAGACAGGCAAGGTGATGCGTAGGATGAAAAGGCCTAGGCCCAGGCCCAGGGGTATCAAGAGCAACGAGCGGAGAAACCTTGAACGAGCGAGTCGTCGACCTGCTACTGCGTGTAGGTGACGCGATGCTTCGGCCTTGGGGATATTGCTGTGTATTAGGTAGATCTCAAGCTCAGGATCAGGTTCACTTGGATGCCCGTGATGATTAATCGCGTTCAGAGTCGCCTGGTTTGGGGTCTGATGCACAGAATGCCGGCTCACCGAAGATCAGAGAAAGAGGAGGTGGCACTAGGACTCTGGTGAACTGGCAGTCCCGGTCATTGGTTGTTTATTTCGTGATGCAGTCAGTGGTCGTCGGCGTCCGGAAGCGTGGCATTCATTGGCTTCTGCCGAGGCAAACGCTTGGTTCATGGAAACTCCGGCTTCCCACTGGCGGCTGCAGCGCGCTTGATGCCTGTTGTGGGTCCTGCCCGGCACCTGGGGCAGCGGGGTTGGTGGGAAGGAACCCAGGGATAGCAGCGCTGACAAGGGGGCCCCAGGGGCTCTATAGCCAAAGACCAGGGCCCAGGAGGCCCAACCAGGCGCTGTCGATTCCGCCAAGACTTTTCCATCGATCGGTTTCCAAGCTTCACGTCGTCTCTGTCTTCCGCAAATCATGGAATCCGAGTCGGCTCATGTGATTGCCGGATGCTTCTACAGCCATCTTCCGGCAGGCGGTCGAAGAGTAATGTTTTCCAAAGCTATAAAGTAGGCCGACCCGGCGTCTGCAACTCTTGATGAAACGGACTGAGCACACTACCTAACCTAGGGTAATCAACGGTACGGACTCGGGCTGCAAGTGTCCTGGTTTAGTCCTGAAGTTGCTACCGGTTTGTTTTGGACTGTGATGGCAAAGAAAGTGCTTGGACAACTGCCGAGCAGAGTAGATGTCCAATTCTCTCGGACTCAACCCTGGCATCATCCATTGTACCACATGCTTAGGTATACTACAATGCGAAATCATTCCATCTTATTCGAGCATCAACCTCTCATTCAACATTAGACTAGACGTGGTATCTTCACCCCACTCACTCCCCAGACTAACGTCTCAACCAAAAAATCAACGAAAAATCGCAGTTTTCTCCAGCACTGCTCCCCCCATTGCACCGCATATACCTTAGATGCCATGCCATCCCAGCATCATTAAACATGCACCGTTCATACATACATCATGCATACAAGCGTACAAGTATATACCAGATAAACAAATCATCATAACATGTCACTCTGCCCCCTCCCATCTCGTCCTTGCCCTGGCTGCTGCATCAGATAAGCCTCCGACATCTTAGATGTCATCGTCTGCGACACTGATGACTGCGTGATAGTAGCTGCGCTGCCTGCTAGCGAATGGAAGGGAAATCCGCCATCTCGTGAACGCCCGCTCGTCTTCCGGCGCATACGGGACCTTGTGCCCTGCGCCAACGGACGGATCACGTTTTCGAGGAAAAATGAACCGGCGCCGTCGCCATGTCCTGTGCTAGGCCGTTCGTCATCGCCATCAGAGAATATGTCCTCGGGACACTCGTCGTCCGACGTCAAGTCTCCCGTTCCCAACTGCGCATGATATGACGATGCCGGTGCCGAGGGCGACGTGACTGAACGGGTGTGCATACCTGGACGGGCTGGTGGCGCAGTAACCCCAGTAGAGGACGTCATTGCTGCTGTGGCATTAGGACTAGGCCCGCCACTGCTGATGCTACCGCCAACATTGAATGCCCCCGGCGTCATGGTATTGCTTGGAGCACTGCCTTCCCGTGGCATGTAGAGAGGCCTGTCGGCAAAAACGTTCTGGAATGACGTGTTATTACTTGATGCCTGGTGCAAGATCGGCAGCACCTGCTCATCGTATAATTGCGCACCCGATTCGAAGGTGTCTGGTGAGAACTCCGTCACGGTACGCGATGACCGGCCATCACTTGGCGGGGTAGTCGTTGATATGTCGTCAAAGAAATCGTCCAGGCTATCGATCTTGGAGTACAAGTCGCCTGCCATGGGCCCGTCTCCTCGTCCTTCATCTGACATCATCGTGTCGGCCCGATCCGAGCCGGGGAAGTACCCGTACGGAAACTCATCCGTATGAAACTCAACCTCAGATGTTATGGTCGGCTGCGCAACCACGCCCTCGTCGCTCTGGCACATGTAAAAAGCGGCGTGGATGTTGGCACGAGTCAGATCCATTTTGCGTGCTGGCATAGGAACTGCCCATCCCGATGCTTCCGGTATGCCGAACAAGCTTTGAGTCCGTTCGTACTCTTTCCGCACAGCCTTGGAAGTAAACCGGGTCATGCTCATGCGGAGATGGTGCTTGTCCATTGATGATCCGGACATAGTCATAATATTGTCAAGCACACTCAAGGCCTCCATACGATACTCCGTTTGCAGAAGACGAAGCAAGGGAGAGATCATGTCAGATCCGTGGCTGGCAATTTCTGGCTTTCTCATATCCACTTCGGGGATGACTACTCTCAGTATTCGCATTGTCTTTATCTTAACCCAAGAGATCGCATTCGTCAAGAAGCCCATCAACATGGTGATCATTGGGAAGTCCAAAGCTGGAAGAAATCGTTCGCGTAGGGCATCGAACATCTGAGAGATAAAATCATCGTCTGATGAAAACCTGGAGCCAGCAAAGTCATCAAGGACCACGGCCACATTCATCAATCCCTGCTGGTCTGCAATTTTCATCAATATCTTGGCTGTCTGGATCGTGTCATGGTCGAAAGATGGCTGGTCCATAGCGTGTAAGAAGCGAGGAAGGTTGGCAATGATTGTGAAGAATAAACGGTTGCTGTCTCCAATCAGATCATCGTTGGGCAGCTGGATCAACCTATCCATCGTCTTGAGCGTCAGGTCCAGACAAGTTGATGATCGCAAGCCTTTGTACAGCAAAGGCTGCAGTCCATCGAAAGGCCCATCCCACTTGGATGGCTTGCCATCATGCAACAACCGCCGGACCATCGGCGAGTTAAAGTCGAGCTTGTTGAGGAACTCATTGAGCATCTCCACTGCCTCGAGGAACTCGCATTCATTGATCGAATCTAGGCAGGCACACATCGTCCAGAAGAGTTGAGGAAGAGTAAGAAGCATGTCGGCATCAAGCTTCAGAATCAGTGTCTTGAGCGTCGTAAGAATTTCCATCGAGAATGCTTGTATGTCGGATTCTTCGTCAGCGATTGTATTGGAGAGACGCGCAAGCATATCCCCAAGCATGTGTTGGTCGAGCGAGGTAAGGATACACCGGAAGATCTGGAAGGATCTACAGGCTAGGTGCCGGACTGGGCATGAGGTTGCCCAGGTCAGTGACAGCTTGCTCCACTGGTCTTTGATGCCAGGAAAAGTAATTTCAAATGTGTCGACGACTTGAGATGTCAAGTACTCCATGCTTGGGGGAACTTTGTTGTCATGCTGGCTGTCAACTTTTCCATTGCTATCATCATAACCCCAGACCACAGATCGGTCGTGACGACGGATGGCATCAATCAAGATTTCGATTCGTTGCTTTGTTGCTACTGGAGTGTTGTCGTCAAGGCGGGAAATGACAAGCTCATGGATGAGGTGCACTAACATCTCACGTGCCTGCTCCTGAACCAAAGGCGTGTAATGATCCCAGAGCACGGTGACGACCTGAAGCAGAACCGGGATGCTCTCGGCAGCGAGGCTGACGGGTGCTACCATGAGATCGACGAGAAGGATCAAAGACAACTGACCGAGGGAAAAACCTGCTTGCTTTGTCCCGATAGGCAAGGCGTCGGAGAGATCTGCGCAGTAAGGCAGTGTGTTGATATCTGGGGGGGGAGGGAGTGCTTCGCGTTTCTCGTTGGGTACCATGCCCTTAGGGGTTATCTGGAGCAGCAAGAATTCGACGACTTGGTTGCCCGGGGTACTGTTTGTGCTTGCAAGGAAGACAACAATCTGCTTGGCGTACTCCACAAAATTCTGCTCTCTTCTCTCGAGGCACAGAGACATAATGAAATCCAAGATGACACGCACGTTGCCGGGATAGGGGCCCGTAGCGAGCGCCTGCCAAAGTGCCTGGACCTCATTGTGTAATACAGCACTAGACTTAATGGTGATCTCCAAGAGGTTTGCAAGCAACACGTAGGACTGCGCAGTTGGCCCCCCGTTGGGATCAACCTTTAGCTCCACAGCTTGGATCCAGGGAAGAATGACAGCAATCACGTTCTTCTGTGCCGCGACCTGCTGCTCCTTGAAGTACAATGTGAACTCAGAGAAGATGTGGAACGCCGCTTCGGTATACTGTTTTGCCAGCCGCTTGGAGATTTCAAACTGGGCCAGCTTGTAAACCGCCTTGGTCTTGTCAGAAACACTGATGTCAAAATCTTGGATTTTTGAGCTTCGAGCCTGTGGCTGCCGTTCCTCCAACGCTTTAAGCAGGTTGGCGGCCCTGGACCGAATAGTGCTTTGATCATTGCCCAGCATGAAGAGGCAAAGACCTAGTACCTTCCAGAACGCCAAAGGGTAAGTAGGATGTTCAAGGAGCACCTCAGCTGCCACGATAAAGTAGCTTTCGACAACTTTGGGCGCCTCAAGCAAATAGCATCTCGAGATGCAGTGCTCGAGCAAGTACGGGTATTCCTTGTTATAGACAATCAGGTTCTTGAGCGCCCTCCTGCCGATAACGTTGATGCGATCGCTGCCTGAGTTGAAAATAGACTCGATCCAGGTCAACATTCGCCGGAGATCAAATGAAAGAGATGACCCGCCTTCAGTGGTGACGCTGATCGGCCCTGCGCAGAGAGCTGCCATGGCACTAAGAGCTGCTGTGCGCAGGTTTCGCTTTTCAATCTCCATCTTCGCAGTCACCATGCCACGTTCGCCTGCACCCTTCTGGTCGATGATCGACTGTCGCATGGTCTCCTCTCTTTGCCGAATCTGGTGCTGATTCGGAGAAAAGCCGCACCAATCTTCCATCAGAGCAAACGCCGATTTACGGGCCTCAAATGGCATCCATTTTGACGGATCTTTTGTGCGGTTGATTCCTTCAAACAGCTCCTCCATTAGACCGCAGTAATGGCGCCTGAGCTTTTGGAATTCCCAATCCATTTGAACCTCTCCATCCATCAGAAATAGTTTCAATTCCTTGGTGTATGTCAGCAGGTTGTGAAGGATCCAATCATCTTGGTAGACTTGGGGCTCCCGGAGAAAGTGAGATGTAAGCCGGTACACATGGGTAATCTCGGTCCGCAGGATATCCATCTTGCGGTTCCTCCGAGGGCTGCTGTTGGTACGCTGGTGAATTCGTTGTCGAGCATCGTCATGGCAGCGGGAAACCTGTCCCTGGAGCTCCTCGAGCAAGGTACGATAGATGTGGACATTGATGGAGCCCATCGCGGTGACAACAGCCTCTCGAACAGCATCAGATGAGCAAGAAAGCATAGGATTCAGGTACTTGAACAACGTCCGTGCTGACCCTATCTTTTCTGCAGCGGATGACCCCTTTCTTCCATGTTGGCCATTTGGCACCCCGCTGCCCTGGGCGCTGCCGGGATCTGCAAGCGTGGTGCAGGCAAAGACAAGATAGAGTTTCCACTGCTCGATAAGAACCTCCGGCTGCGTAGTTGGGGTCTTTGCTGCCATTCGTCCACTACCAGGATCAGCAAAATATTGTCCTCGAGGGCCCCCAGCGGGCTCAGATAGGACAGTGATAACCTTGTACAGCTGAAGTATCCTCTCGCAGATGAGATCTCGACTCAGAGTGATGGCAAAGGGACACTTGTCGAAGGCAATCCGAATGAAGTTGGGGAATATCTTGAACCACAGCGTTGTGTCATATGACAAGTCACTCGTGCAGAGCTCAATCAGCGCCCCTCGGCTGTTGGTGTTCTGCATGCCCCGCTGTAGCCTGCTTCGCTCGGCGACAGAAAGCTGTTCGTCGTTGAAGCTCATCACCTGTATGGCATCGTTCTCGAGGATGTCGATGAGCCGTGTTGTGTCCTTTTGGTGGCCGTTCGGATTTCTGAGAACGGCATCAAACTCCTTGATTAAACGGAGCACGCTAACAGCGTAATATCGGACCCGGCGCGATTGTGAGCAAAGAAAAAATAGACCATGTGCTTCCACTTGATCCACTTCTGCCCAGACGCTCGAGAGGTCGAGTTTGATGCCCCTCTTGTCTGCAGGACTAGACTCCTTGTTATCGTCCGCGGCTGTCTTGGTTTTCTGCTTGATCTCATCAATCCAGATGTGCAGAAGTTCAATGTACAGCATAAGGGTTTTTTCGATATGATCTGGCCCTAGCATACCGCCATCCGACATGGTAGAGTACCGGTCGTCAAAATTGAAAATGAAGCGAGCAAAGCCCATAGTTACTTGATGGGCATGTGACTGCCGGGCGATTGCCTTCAATGACTGGGCTGATGATTCGGCAATGTTATGCTGAACATGTGCCGTGCCAGTGCAAAGGAGGTTGACCAAGGTATTAAAGGGGATGGCAGGCGACAGACAGCGTGGAAGAGCTTGCACGGCTACATGCAGCAACTCGTAGAAGGCTTGCTTTTGGTCATGTAAATTGGCATGGTCATCCTTTCGCGAGAAGTTGAATGTTTCTGTGATGGGAGTCTTGGGGCCGGGGCTGTTAAACTTCTCCAGCTTTTCAATTTTCTCGAACTTCTCGTCCAGAGCAGCCTGACCGCCAAAAGTATTGTCGCAAATAATGCTGATTTTGCCAAGGATCTCGCAAAACTTGGTGTAGTAATCGCGAACACTGTCACTCAGCGCTGACACCATGACTGGCCTAGAAAGCCTCTCGCCACCCGAGAGAGCAGACCAGGCGACAGAAGATCCTTCACGAGCAGAACCAAAGGCGGGAGACGTGGGTTGCGCACGCTCGGGGGGAGGAGAATAAGCGTATGATTGTGGAAAGGGTGGTTTGCCCTTTTCTCCTTTCTCTAGGTCCGACATGATGGTAAGAAAGGCCCGAATCCCCAGAACCATCCTATCCGGGTCGAGCTGTTCAATCTTGAGGTCCTTGAGATCTTTAGTCGACATGAAAAGATCCGCATTGACCAGCGGAAATATGACACTCCTGAAACAGTACTCGGGATGCTTGAACCCAATGAACCTGATGATTTGGATCAGGGGGTCAACAACAGGCGCATCAGTTGCACTAAATATTTTCCTGACGTTTGGCGGGAGAATCATCTTCACAATCTCATCGAGCTTCTTCATTGTACCCGAGGTGCTGTCAGTCGTGCGATACAGATACGTCCACACCAGCCGGGAAATGACCTGTAAGCATAGGGGCTTCGTGGGGCGCTCCTTGAGGCGCTGTTGCAAAGGGTAGATCAACTGCAGCCATTGGCTGACAAAACTGTCGGGCGGCGAGACACACAGCATTGTGGCCGTCAAAGGGAAGGCGTATTGCCAATGCCGCGGCTTAACAAACATCTGAGCCAGCCGGGGAGAGATGGTTGCTAGTACATCATTCCATTTCGGATGCGAAAGCTCACTGTTGGTAGCGCTGGCGGCGATGGGGAGCACAAGCATGTCCAGTACCTGGCAAAACGCCGATTTTATTTTCGGCCCGTGGGAACGATGGAACAGCTTCCCGAGTGCAGCAAGGAACTCGCAAGAACGGTCCCAAGCTTCTTCTGGAGAAGTCTTGATCCGCAGATGCTTCATGCCGCCCAAAACGAGCTCCATCTTGTTCTCAATCTCACGAATGGAGGATGTCGGACTTTTGGTGGCCAACTCTTGTAAAGAGCGGTCGAGATCTGTAATGAAGCGTTCAGTAACGCTGGTGAAGTTGATCTCACTCATAGCTCCCATGAGCTGAGCGAAGAGATTCCAATTGGCAAGTTTTAATGGAGAAGCCATCAGCTGCTCGGTATCGTAGTTCTTGAGCTGCCCGAATATGATGTTTTCAAGCTTGTCTTCCATTTCTGGCGTAATGGAGGCAAGAGTGCTTTGATTGATGACTTCCAGCAACACACGACAAAGGATATATATGGAAACTGCCGCACGGCGCTCTGCCTGGGCAACATACTCTTGTTTTGCTGCAAGGGAGGCGTAATGTCCAGCACTAGATGGTTCGGAGCCAGGTCCAGTTGCACTCGGCTGAACGGGTTCGGTGTTGCGTCTCTGCAACGGGCCGGGGGAAGGGTATACACGAGATTGCTGGAGTTGCATTCTCGCCTCATTGGCAGCGTCGCTTTTGCTTTTTCGCCAGAGCATGATGGAATCGATGAGCGGTTTCGGCCTTAACTTCGCAATGTGCCCAAGGGCCACAATGTGCTGGTCAAATGTAGGGTCGATACCCGGACCACATATTAGCTCGACCTGCGGCTCCGGATCGAACGGTACCGCAACGCACTCGTTCAGCTTCTCCTCGGCTTGCGCGATGAAAGAAGTAAGCAGAACATGAAGAGCGTACTCCCCAACAGTCTTTTCTTCTTTATGGCGAGAGGAGTGCGAGGGATGATGGGCATGATGATGGTCGCGGCGAGCTTTGCCGCTCTGTTTTCTCTCCATCTTCCCGCGCGATGAGGGCTGAGCGCTGGAAGCAGAGTCTCCAGCCGCAGAAGAGGTTCTTTCGGGAACACTTGGCATTGAGGCGATGGTCGTCCCCGACAAGGCGGTTGGTGGCCGAGATACCAAAGCAGGGTCGGCCTCGATGCGTGAGACGGGGAAAATGTCTGCTCTGTCGGGGGGGATGCCAGCAGCAGCGGCAGCAATCATCTGTGGGCTGAGAGGGCCAGAGGCGGAACTCGCAAGGCTCCCGTTCCTTGAATGGTGAATACTGATGCCATGGACGATGGAAGTCTGCCTATGGTGGCCGTATGAGGATGCCTTTGGATCAACTACTCGCTCGATGACGCCCCCAATCGCATTGCGGGAGGGGGGTGGTGCGTGGGACCGGGGCTGTGTGCTGTGTGCGGAGACGTCGGGCCGTTGAGCCTTGTCGACTGAGGGCTCTCGAGAGTGTGCGACGCTGCGAGAACCCAAAGCTATGGGGCGTATCGTGCGCTGCCAGTCGTCTTCGTCTTCCTCGTCGAGTCGAGACGCGGAGCGGGGAGAGAATTTAAGAGGCTCGTGGTCCGGCGACGTCGTCTGGGACGGAGCTAAAAACCATAGGTACTTGTCAGCATCTCATCTCGCCGCTGGCTGATACGGATGATCAAAGCGTTACAGCTCCCATTAAGCTCCCATTACCAAGCGTTGGAACCGGATGACGTCGCGCTGCGCAACGACCTGGCTTTTCAGGTGGAGAGCGGTTGGGCTGGAGCACGCATCAAGCGGGGCCAGAGGACCAAGAGGTGGCTGCGGCGACGACAAAGGAAGATGGGATGAGTCTCGTCGGTGTTTTGTTCGCGCCAGGAGCCATGAGTCGCACCATCACAAGCTCCGTGACTCGTCTCGCAACAACCGCGGGAAGAAAGGGGGAGAGAAAGGGGAGGTCCCAGAGCACGAGCCCAACTCAACTGGAAATAGACATACCCATTTTCTTGAAACACGCCTGGCATATTCTGCCGGACGCTCTGCAGTTTGCAATGGGTCAAGACAGCCAGAACAGCAGCAACAATGCGAAAGACCACTGAGGAGACGGAGAACTCTCGCTGACAGTCACGTCGCCTGCCCAACCTTCCCTCGAGCTGGCGCTTAGTTAAGGCGATGGAGGTGCAGTCGCGAGCCTGTGACAGTCGCCAAAGACGCGGCTCCATTTCCAAGCCAATCCCGCTGCGGCCGCTGCCGGCTCGCTGTGCATTCGTGGCTGCCGCTTGCGGCCGTCTTGTCAGGGAGCAAGGAGCCTGTTGTGCCAAGACTCCAGGACTCCAACCTTGCACGCTTGTAGGGCGGGACGGAGCCAATGACGGAACAGAGAGATTTACCCCACCTAGTCCGGTCTTGTTGTGAACCCAGAGTCGACCAATCAGCGGGCCGCATACGTCTTTGCCCCTGACAGCTTGGCTGTGTTGTTGCTGACATTTTAGCGAGCATTTGGTGGGCACACCTAGGTGAAGAACTGCTCGCATCTAAGACACCAGATTCAAGAGGGTTTTCGGTTATACTTGATGAGCTAGGTAATCCCTATTTGAGCATGTAAATCTTATCACGTTATAGTATCCTTTCCCTCCTATTTCTATCATCCTCTCGCACAGACGGCTCGCCTTCATATTTATGCGAGGGGTCATGAGAATTAAAACCATCGTCAAGCCACGTTCACGTAGAGGGTGCGGCCTGTCCGCGCTTATCCCTGAATAAGAAAGGACATGAAGGCATGATGTAGCATCGTCACACAAGACTTGGGAAACAGCAGAAATGGCACTTTGTCTGCATGCCATTGTCATCAAAGAGTTGGGTGCGTGCCTAGTGTTAGGCAGGCGGGTGAACATATAGCACTCAGGGCGCCTCCTCACATGGCCCTCGAACCGGTAGTCTGCTCCTGATCGAGGGGAAGAAATAACAAGCTGAATAAGTAGAACTGCCAGTCCCTTAACTCCCAAGCCAATCAGCAGTTTCCTTCCTATGCGTGTCAACATCCCGTCCTCCCGCTAATTGCTGACTCTTTGCCTTGTTGCCGATTTACTTGCCGTACACAGACGTCCAGGATCCCCCGAGCTGTTGCGCTCCGCGCGCCTCTTTCCAACATGTTACCTACCCCATGGGCAGCGCGGGAGCCAAGGCGAGGAACAGCATGGCGGTATTGTCTAAAGTCCGGGACTAGCCGCAGCATACCAAGTGGGAGGGCCGGCACACAGCGAGACAAGCAGAACTACGTATTTAAGCTAAAAGCTGAGATTCAACGGCATACTTAATCTATTGATTGCAGCAAAATAAGGACCCGGTCTCGTTCGTTCAATGCCTACCTACTTGCAGGCGCTGTATCAAAAGAGGTGAACAATAATGGCATTGCCGAAGCCAACATATATGGGCGATGTCGCACCGAAAGTGATAGACGGTCATGAAATGTCCAGATATCCGCTGCTTTGCACAATCCCGATGCTCCGCCGGGCTCCCCACCGGAGTCGCATGTGGGGGTGGGCAGCCAAGATTCGGAGCTTACATTGGCCGAACGTCTTGAGTCCGAAAGCGCGGGGAAAGCCTCCACCGGGGCAGATCGCCGTGATTCACGTGTCCTTGACAGCAGACACGAAGGGATATGGGATGGAAGCAGAGGCAGACGAAAGGGACTTAACGTCAAAGAATTCTCGAGGATGGCTGTCTCGAAAACGCACGTAATGCCCAGCAATGGCTTCCCAAATTGGTGTGGTACACAACATGAGGTGGTACGAGTGCGCTGTGAGGGCGGCCAGTTCAGGTGAGAGGTAAGGCGCAACAGTGGATCCGAACATTGAAGGTTACCAGCAGCCGAAATTCCACCGGATGGATGGGCCCCGAAGGCCCAGCTGTGGGTTCTGAATTTCATTGCATCCGTACAAAAATATATCCCACTAAGAGTGCGATCCGAGACTCGGAAAGCCATTTCTCTGTAGCAGTGGCTGCGACCGGGCCACATGTCCAATCGAGCGATTCAGCGGAAACCACCGCACTGCTGCAGTCTGCACGACTCTCAGATCAGCACGCTGGAACACAGTGTTTCTGCAAGACGACGAAAGTCCCTCCATCTATCGCTAAGCACTGCGGACAAGATTCCCAGGCGATCGGGACTCACGGAAGCCCAGTTTTACAGTCTGTCGCTATTTTTTGAAGTACGGCGCTAGGTGCTTTTCAAATGCCGGGGACCGTATCTTTGGGCATTCAAGCAGTTGCCCTTCCCAATTCAGGTCCTTCAGATCAGGTTTCTGCCAGGCCGGGTGCATGCAGAGCAGGAGGTGTGGTTTCCATGTCCCCAGGGTTCGGGCTGATCGATAGGTAACTGCCCACACGGGCAATGCCCTGTGGAATGGATGGGCTGGGCTTGGATGGACTGTCCGAAGACTGGGCCCTCAAACCCACCAATCCCCCTAAAAATCTGACTTGGCCGTCTCCCCGTCTTCAACCTTCCCACGAGGGGACTGCGAGTACAGGTGCCCTCTGCTTTTCTGCTACCCCCCCTTCTAACATCCCTGCCCAGACGCTCCCGCGCCCCATCCAATGTGCGGCCCATCGCTGCTTATTTAAAGCATCTCTTCCCCAATTGCGTGCGGCTCCCTGTAATCCCGCCACGCGGACAACCATTTTCTTGATCAGTAGCCTTATTGCTTCAACCGCCGATCGGATCGGACCTACTCGCGGCTAACGTTTCCCGCCGCCGACTCCATCGACGAGTCGTCCGTCACCGGCATCCCGTCCGTCGGCGTCCTCTTCACCGTGGTATACAAGGCAGACGCGCGCACCGGCCCGTGTCTCCCGCTCAGGCCGTGGTGGCGAGTGACGAGCCTCTCCCACTTAGGTCGTTCTCAGGCCCAGTCTCCCAACGCCAGCGTCCCAACGTCCAACGTCCCCCCGCTTGTCGCAATTGTCACCATGGCGGAGCTCGACGCTTTGGACGTCATCGTCCTCGCCGTCATCCTGCTCGGGACGGTTGCCTACCTGACTAAAGGCAAATACTGGGGCGTTAAGAAGGACCCCTATACCACCCCTCTCCCCGGCTCCGCAGCTGCTAAGGCCGGTAGGACACGGAACATTGTTGAAAAGCTAGAGGAGTCAGGCAAGAATTGTATCATCTTCTATGGATCTCAGACGGGCACCGCCGAGGATTATGCCTCGAGACTCGCCAAGGAAGGCAAAAGCCGTTTTGGTCTCGAGACAATGGTTGCTGACCTGGAGGACTATGACTACGACAACCTCGACGCTGTGCCAAGCGACAAAATCGTCATGTTTGTCCTCGCGACCTACGGCGAGGGGGAGCCGACCGACAACGCCGTCGAGTTCTACGAGTTCATCACCAGTGAGAATCCGGATTTCTCCTCGGGCGAGACGGAGAAACCTCTCAAGAACCTTCACTATGTTGCCTTCGGTTTAGGGAATAACACGTACGAGCACTACAACGCGATGGTTCGCAACGTCGATAAGGCGCTGCAGAGACTCGGTGCCAGCCGTATCGGCGAGGCTGGCGAAGGTGACGACGGCGCTGGTACCATGGAGGAGGATTTCCTGGCTTGGAAGGAGCCTATGTGGGAGGCCGTGGCCAAGAAGATGGGTCTCCAGGAACGTGAGGCTATCTACGAGCCCATCTTTGGTATTGTCGAAAGGGATGATCTCACTCGCGATTCCCCTGAGGTCTACTTGGGCGAACCTAACAAGATGCACCTCGATGGCGAACCCAAGGGTCCCTTCAATGCGCACAACCCGTACACTGCTCCCATCCAGAAGTCTTATGAGTTGTTCAACTCGAAGGATCGCAACTGTCTGCACATGGAAATCGACATCAGCGGCTCGAATCTGACCTACCAGACTGGTGACCACATTGCTATCTGGCCTACCAATGCCGGCCAGGAGGTCGATCGCTTCCTTAATATTTTCGATCTCGCCGACAAGCGTCACACCGTCATCAGTGTTAAGCCCCTGGAGCCCACAGCCAAAGTTCCCTTCCCTACTCCGACTACGTACGATGCCATCGTCCGCTATCACATGGAAATCTGCGCTCCCGTTTCTCGCCAGTTCGTGGCCACTTTGGCCGCCTTTGCTCCCGATGACGAGTCGAGGGCTGAGCTCACCAAACTTGGTAACGACAAGGATTATTTCCATTCCAAGGTCACCACGCAGTATCTGAATATTGCGCGTTTATTGGAAATTGTTAGCAAGGGCAAGAAGTGGTCGAATGTCCCGTTCTCGGCTCTCATCGAAGGTATCACCAAGTTGCAGCCTCGGTACTATTCCATCTCGTCCTCATCCCTGGAACACCCTAAGCTCGTCTCCATTACTGCCGTCGTTGAGTCACAGGCTCTCCCAGGTCGTGAGGATCCCTTCAAGGGTGTCGCGACCAACTACCTCTTGGCGCTCAAGGAGAAGCAGAATGGCGATGCCAGTCCTTCTCCTTATGGATTGACTTACGAGATCACGGGTCCTCGCAACAAGTACGATGGCATTCATGTTCCGGTTCACATTCGTCATTCCAACTTCAAGCTTCCGTCCGATCCCACGAGACCCATCATCATGATTGGTCCTGGTACTGGTGTTGCACCCTTCAGAGGCTTCATCCGTGAGCGGAAAAAGCTTGCCGAGAATGGCCAGACTGTTGGCAAGAGCATCCTGTTCTTTGGTTGCCGGAGATCCACCGAGGATTTCATGTACCAGAAGGAGTGGGAGGTATGTGTTTTCTCCAGGCCCCGTGCGTACAAATTATGTCGTCTAACTCTTCTACAGGAAGTCAAGCAAGTTCTTGGTGACAAGTTTGAGCTGGTTACTGCCTTCTCTCGTGAGGGTTCGAAAAAAGTTTATGTCCAGCATCGATTGAAGGAGCGCTCCAAGGAAATCAATGCCCTTCTGGACCAAAAGGCATTCTTTTATGTCTGCGGTGACGCTGCCAACATGGCTCGTGAAGTCAACGCTACCCTGGCCCAAATCTTGGCCGATGAACGGGGTATCTCTAAATCCAAAGCAGAGGAGATTGTCAAGCAGATGAGAGCTTCCAATCAGTATCAGGTATGTATCCAGTGCCAATTATTTCCTCATTTCAGACAGTAACTAAATTTTGCCGCACAGGAGGACGTATGGTAATGAAAATGGCGTCTATGACGGTAACAATTGCATTCGCCCCTCTGGGGTTGGCATGATGACTTTTCATCCGGGCGCCATGGTAAATAGAAGGAGTCAGGGTATGTTCAATATCTCTGGTTGTGTCTCGCGGATAAACGCTTTAGAGTAAAATGCTTCTGGGTCTTTTTCTTATTGTTATATGAGAAACAACTTCGGATTTCATAAGGACTAAGTCGATGCCGGTTATGCCGCATTACATGCCCTTACAAGAAGCAGCTAAGCGTCATGACACATGTTTAGACCCCATGCGCAAGGGATAGACAGCGGAGAGTGTATATTTAGTCGGTACCGTTAACTCTACAAAAACAAATATTTGTCATCTCCAACACTTTTTGGGTGGCTTCGCCTATCCCCACGAATCTCAATCTGTGTGAACCCTCTGTCCATTCCATATAGGTGGCAGTACATTTATTCTGCCACACTACTTCCTGATGAGCAGGAGGGCATGAACCTTTTGTCGCCTTCCCTGTGTGTCTCGGACCTCAGTTTCTTTTCCCAGGATTTCCTTGACCAATCCCTGAAGGAAACCGGTCATTGCAACAACAAGCGGTTCAATTTTCTTTTTCTGTCACCCTCATCTTTACGTAAGTGTCTCAACAGTAAACACACTCCAACCAACAGTTAATTAACTGCCTTGATTGTAGGTGGCCAGGATTGATCTGTCTCGGGACAAGGTGATAAGACAATGATACTGTGACTATACAAGCTAAGTCAGCGGACTTTGGCTTGGTAGCTGACGAGTGTTATGGCCAGTATCAATCAGATCATCTGGTTCCTGGTTCCACAAGCCACCCTCGGTAGCTTTAGCGTCCTCTTCCTCTATGGCCCGGAAAATTTACAAATGGGTACGTATCAGACATGACCGCCAGCACTTAGAGTAACGGCATACAGTACATCATATTGGATCGCAGGGTGATCTACAAATCAGTTATCTATCTCTCCATTTCTGCTTACATATCTCTCCTCCGCGAAGATGACTCAACTGAAAGAGCTGGTGTTTATCCCGCAATATATGGTGTCTATCTTAGTTAGCAAACATTCGTAGTACTAGTGTCTTGTCCACATTATAGAAGACTGGTTGCTGCATGTAATGCGAATTCTCCTCTCTCATCTTCTCTCGTCTTTCCAGCGATACCTAACTGTGAGTCGCAAATTAAAGATGAGATCCTGCCGTCTGAGTCGTTCACTGTTTTAGATCGAGTATGCCGTTAGCCTTGCACCTCGTGCTTTACCACACAGGGTTGACGCTCTTGGAATACATGAAGTGATCGACCAATCGTATCTTGACAAAGTTCTCAAGCAGTCAGGATACGTTAATTGTCTTGTGCATCGGAATTCCCAATCGCATGCCTATTTGTCTGCTTCCGATCCTTCGTTAATCATCTTTCATGGGGGTTTGTACATCACTCTCGTATATCATACCTAATCCTCCTGCTCCTTTTGTTTGTCTCGACTTGCACCTTCATGCTTTTAGCTTTACTGTCAGTTTTCAAAGTATTCTTATTCACCATTATTGGCGTGATAGCAACATTTAGGCTCTTCATCTTCCCTTTCTCGTTGTATGATCATACGAGAACTCTGATATACAACTCTGGTTATAAATCCTTGAAAGTTGTCCATTATATTCGAGAAGCAAATTAGTTTCAGATTTTTACTGGGCGTTCAAATCACTACTAATCAGCATAGTTATAGACAAAATACTGTACAAATCAGACGTTGTCCTTCATTGACCATAAATTATATCAATATCGGCTCTTTGACATCATAGGTAAAACCTAAAGTCTTTTCGTATGATTATCAGCATACCTAAATTACTAGTTGATTGTGGAAATCCGTCTACCTGAAAGACTCTAGTCTTCGCCTGGGACTACACGTCAAACTCCAAACCATCCCCAATTTTCCAGTCATAGTGACAAGGGACAGACGACGGTGGCAGTTCTTGCTCGGGTTGTATCTCTTGACTGGTCCCTGCTCTGGAGCAAGCCCTACGCAAAGTCCCGTTAACGAAGAGGAGAGGAGAGACCTTCAGTGCAATTACCTACCTGAGTCGCTACAGGAACACTTCGAACGCGGGAGCGGGGTCTCGACTTGCTTCACGCCATTCATCCATCTTGTCTAGTCCTTTCCCAGAAGTAGAAGACCACCAGCCCAGACGCCGCCTGGTACCTGGCTAAGCACCCATCGGGGAAACAACTATTGGCCTTGCCAGCTATCGAACTGATTCCCCTGGAAGGAACGTGATCGCTTTATCGAGTCCATATCGATAGGAGTAGGTTTCGGCACTAGCATCAGCAAGAACAACCTCCCCAAAACTGGAAGGCAGAAGTTGGAACAAGATTCTTCTCAAGGGTTCTCTGAAAGGAAGGCACAACCCAGCCTGGACCTTCCACAACATTTCCGGTCTCTCTCTGTCAAGCAGACTGTTCAGTCACGTCAAACAATTCCTCCCTGCTAAGCTTTCCCACCAAATTCCTCCTTCCTGCTATTTTATAGAGTATCACTCCTACTTACTACTATCGGTTTCCGAATTGGAATTTTTTTGGTCAAGAAACTACCCGCAACCGCATTTTAGAGTACCGAATCAAGGAACGGTATCCAATCCATTGCTGTTCTGCGTGCTCTCGACCACTTGGTATGTATGATAGCACATCCTCGTCTACCTTCATTGGTTCTGCATCTTGTTGGTTCTTGTTTCGCATTTGCGGCTGTTCTGGCTTGCCTTTAAACATCAACTCAGAGCTTAAGTTCTCCGGAAGGTTTTGCAATTTCCACTTCACTGAAAACACACGTGCAAGGCAGTTGCAGTGTGATCAGGATCGATTTGAATCCTGAGCCTCTGTTGCTACCACTTACGTGAACGCGTCCCTTCCCTCAAAGACCGGAACTCCAGAGCAATCTTCACGTGTTGGCAGCAATTCAACGGGGCAATCGCGTTGGCGTTGCTCCAATTCTTCCTTCAAAACTTCAAAACCCTCTCTACTCTTTTCCTCTCCTCCTAACCATCAAACATTTTGGACTGCACTGGTCTCTGCTTCCGATCATTACAGCATCAACACCCTCATCTCAGAGTACCACAGTCTCTTCCATTCATCTTGCTCATAGCTCGATCCATCTTACTACACCAGCCACTCGCTTCATTCAACTCTTTGGTACTAACATCCTCCACGCATTGTGTGGCTCGGACCCTCGTAGTCGAAGCCGCTTCGAGATTCCGTCGCCCACTTAACGCGGTCAATTTTGGAGGTGAGATCCCCAGCAAGTCCTTGTTTATTCGAGACAACTCCCTAGCTACACTAGATACCAGCAAGTGTTGGATGTACCTGTGCAACTTTTTTGTCGTCCTGTTTGGTCGGTGCTCGCGGTTCTCGTGTTTTTACGTCGTTTGATCTTGCGCGCCTACAACTTGAGGTTTGGTGCTTTCGTTGCTTTGTGTTGTTCAACCAGCCCTCAAGAAGTCTCGTTCCGGACGTCAAATGCATTTTTTTCCAACGCTGACGATCTCCCTAATTGCTTGTACAATCTTATATTCAATTGGCTTTCTCTTGTTCCGCCGTTACGAGCCCTGCTATCCGTCGGTGTTTAGCATAGATGTCTTGTTCAGCTGCGCTCATACCCAAGATCTACAGTTCGCAGATACCATTCTATCATCTCGGCCACCGACCGGGACTTTGTACAAAGTCCGTATTGTTTCCCATTCAAGGTATTTTGACTACCTCCTCCCCCAAGGTATTCGATGGCTCGCAACGACGGGACGACTGACCTGCTTCTGAATCCGGAATAGGCTAGCATGTCTCAATATCGCCCTGCCGCAATGCCCACGGACACGAACAATCGCCAGGGTGTCTACCCGAGCTATCTGAGTTCGCAGCATGCGGGTGCTTCTCAGGGCGATGCTTCCGCTCATCACGGCCAGCAAGCCGCCCATCCGACGGATGCTATCGGTGCTGTTATGAATCAGTTCAGTACTCTTGCGCTCCCGGCGGCGCCCAACTTGGCTGCCGCATCCAACATGACGCAGATTCAAGCTCATCCGGCATACTGCGGAACCCAGGACCAACCGGTCGCCTATCAAGGCTATTCTGTCCCCCTCCAGATTGGAATTGCTCCGGAAGCTTACTCGTTTGGTGTTGCTGGGCAGTTCCCTGTCCAAGGTGGCTTCGCACCACTTCCTGTTCCCTATGCCGTGCCCTACACGCCTGGTCGTGTGACATCGTATGCGGATCGCAGCAGTGATGTTCCCGGACTGGAAAATCGTCGTGGATCATACTCTACTACCGAGTCGACCCCGGCTACTCCATTTTTTGGCAGTGCCTCAGAGCGTGGCAGCGCTTCTCGAGTGGCGGTTTTCCGTTCGAGCTACACGACTCCTTCGCCGGAGCAGATTGTCGCTCCCAAGCCACACCCTCAAATCGACGAGGAAATCATCGCCCTTGTCAAACAGGACCCGGCAATTCCTGAGGCTGTCCCTGCCGTTTTCACACCGCCCAGCCATCAGAAGACTTTGGAGCAGTGCTTGGAGAACCGCATCCAAGGGAACCGTAACGTTTACATTCGTGGCCTTCATCCCACAACTGACGATGAGCTTTTGCTCAAGTATGCCTCCAGGTTTGGAAAGGTTGAGCAAAGCAAGGCAATCATCGACACTTCCACTGGTGCATGCAAGGGGTAAGTTTATCTGCTTTCTGCCTTAGAAGATCTGACTAATGCCTCTGAGGTTTGGGTTTGCAAAATTCGCCGACGTCCGCGACTCCGAAAAGTGTATTCGTGGTTTCTATTACCTGGGCTATGAAGTTGGATTTGCTCGGGTACGTGTTGCTTGTCTTTTTGGCTTCGGACTTGGCTCACTAACAATATTCTCAGGAGAGCTTCAATGCCCGCCTCAAGGCTGAAGGCGACGAGACCTCTACGAACTTGTACCTGTCCAACCTGCCTAAGCGACTGAATGAAGCCGTGAGTTAGGCCCAGCGACTTGGCTGATTCGATAGCGGCTAACACTTTCAAGGAGCTGAATGCTATCTTTGCAGGATACCGTGTTGTCTCAAGCAAGATTCTTCGTGATAGCATGGGTAATAGCCGCGGTGTTGGATTCGCTCGGTCAGTCTAATCCTGTCCACTCGTGCTCATGTCTTGCAACTAACCTGCCTCTAGCTTCGAGACCCGCGAAGAGTGCGAGGACATCATCAAGAAGTTCCATGGGGCTGCAATCGGCGAGGAGGGCCTGCTGATGCAAGTCCGTTATGCCGATACTCCAGCCCAAAAAGAACTGAAGCGCATTACGGCAGAGCGTCGTCAGTTCCGTACTAACGAATATAACATCGGTGCATATGGCACTGCTGACGTCGGCATCCATCCCACGATTTACAACCCCCCTCACTGGAATCGCCGCACCGGCATGGCCACCAATACGTAAGTGCGCTGTCGCTCGAGTTTATTTGAGGCTCATATGCTGAGCTGCTTTTCAGCTTGTTTTCGCGTCCAGCAATCCGCTCGAATCTTACGAGCAGCGCCAGTGTTGGATCAGGGGTTTCCCAAAGCGCAACCACTACCAAGTAATACTAAGTGCTATCTTCTTTCCTTCCGACTGTCACTAATATCGATTGTAGGACCAGTGTGTCGATGTCGACCGCTTCAGATGATGGAGTCACTACCGACAACGCAACTACCACTGACTCTCCGACCAAGAAGGGTGCAGTGAGCACTCAGTCGTCGCCCACTGCCAAGAAGGAAAAGGCTTGAATGGCGAAAGGCATTTTCTGATAGACAGCAACAGCCTTGTTTGGTGTCATTGTACGGGTACCTCGAGTGACTTCCTTATTTTGAACGTTTGTGTGTTGATATTCGATACGTTGCTATCATCATTTCTTTGTTCGTTGCTCTCATCACAATGTCCTCGAGACCGGCACGAGTCGATGTTCATGACAAGGTGGTTGTCAGCTCATGAAATCAGCTCTCTACTATGTCGACCTGAGGAAACAGTAATATCTAGTGATGGACTATTCATTGGTAGTTTAGGGGAGTGATGACAGCTACTAAATTGTGTCCAACTTTTTTCAGTCTATGTCAGAGTCTCCTAGTTGTTTTCCAACCGAGCTTAGCAGTATCACTTGAATGGAAGAGATGCTCTACCAACCAAGCTTCAATGGATGAAGAGACGTCAAAATGAAGATATCTGGGACCGAGTGCTTTAGGGCATAGTCCGCATTTTCACTTTCCATGTTCTATTGCATGGTGAAGGGGGGAAAGCTGAAATCAATGGCAGTTCAGGTAAATGTAGCTGATGTAGATTAGGTTCCATCGTTGATTGTTAGCTTCTTCAAGTCTCCTTCGGTTCCTAACTGAACATGATCTCCAATTACTTGAAGCCTTCCATCATCCACATCAGTGTCCTCGTTACTAGCCTTTTCCTTATCAGAGTCTTCTTCATAGTCATCCGAGTCCTCCTCGTCATTCCTCGACTCCTGCTGTTCGCGAATGGCAGCTTCCAGATCCTTTGCCATTTTCTTAGTGAAACCAGACGCTTCTAAGGCAGCATCTAAGCGTTTGGCGCCATCCTTTCCGACAGTCTTCTTGGCATCCTTGTAGAAGGGACCTGGTGTCGTGCTAACAAAATGAAAACGACGCTCAAAGAAACGCTTAATGCACTGGACATCGCGGTCGAAGTACATCTCGGCATTGGGGTGGTCCATTGAGACCATCTGAGGGAAGTCGATAATGATGGGAGTGAGGGTAATTGAGGAAGGGTCTTCGGCATCTTTTTCTTCGCGGATCAGGATGTTGAATTCATTGAAATCACCGTGTATCAAGCCATGCTTGGCCAGACGTAGTATCAAGGCTATCAAGTCTGCGTAAAGACTTGCAGGATCCGGAACTGAAGAGACTTGGCGCATTGGAAGCGCGTCGACCAACGACATGACAATGGTGTGTCGCGACTGAGCGATCGGCTCAGGTACGGGAAATCCTTCTTCATACAATGCTTTCATAAAAGCGAACTCCTTGATGGCAGCCAGTCTAGACAGGTACATCCACGATCCTGTAGAACGGTTTCTTAGGTAATCGCGGTTGGCCTTTACGGTACGAAAGGAAATGCGGCCAAGACGATGGATTTTGAGGACCTTCTGCTTGCCCTTCTCGTCGGCCACAATCATGATATCACTCTCCTTTCCAACGCCGATGCGGCTACCAACGCTGTAGACATCTTTGCGAGCAGCATGCGTGTGGAGCGCCAGGTAATCCAGGCCACCGTAGGTGAGTCGGTAGCCGTCGTATTTGGCTTCCTTCATGCGAGCGATCAGCCCAGCCTTGGCCAAAGTGGCAATGGACTTATGAACACCACTTGAACCACCTCTGAGGCGCGCGATTTTCTCAATCAAAGGGGTCGGCACAATTTCATGGTTCTTGCTGCCCATCTCAACCTATAGGCGTCAAGGTTAATGTGAGTGATGTTGCCCCGCTATTAGTCTGGACATGGGGGGGGGAAACAAACAGCTGTCAGAACTCTCCAATCTTCCGCCGTTAAATGGCGCATCGCTCGGGTATCTAACTTCATTGTTGCCGGTGTATGTTTTGAGCACTGTTGATGCGATGGCCAAGAGGACGCAACTGTTGGATGTCAGGACAACTGGTCGGCTACCTGCCTGTAAGGCTGCACTCTCTTGTTGAAGTTCCTCAGCCTTTCCCCGCCAAAAATTGCTGGGCGATAAGTTTAGCTGATTACTATCGATAAGATAAGGACTAGGAGGAAGATGTCACAGGTGGGGGAAGGTAAAAACGCACGTGACAAAGCTCTGGTCCCTAGAGCAAGGCCGGAATTTATGCGTGCCGATCTCGTGTGGATTCAGCTGTCTGCTCTGCTAAATGCACTGTGTAGGAATCCAGTGGGCAAGGGTTATCCGGTGGGGTATTGGTCGCTGGTTGGGCGCCTCGCCTCCAGGCGGCAAGCAGCGTCGCGTAACCTCCAGCTGCCTGCCTTACTTGAGCACCTGCAGTAGATTTGCTAAGCTTTATCCATCTCCCAACGCCCAGAATCGATCATCGACCACATCACCGACACTGTCAGCTTGGCCCAACTCAGGAACTCTACACTGGGCCATTTCACCAAGACATCTTCCGGAGGCCCCTCATCAGTACTTGTAACCATTGTGAACGTTCTTCCCCTTTCCTACAACCAACCCACCTTCGTGGTCGCAACCTTGCGCAGCCGACCCAACCAACTTACCTTGTGTCATACCCGTCGCTAGACCACACCATGGCCCAAGATAGTGACCTGTCAAAGAGCCCCGATATGGGCAAAGGGAAGGCAGTCGACAGTGGTCGCAAGGCGGAGGCACAGAAGGACAAGCCTGTGGCCAACGGCAAGAAGGGAGATGAGAAGAGCGAGTGTTTGTGCCCCTCTCTTTCGCCGCCTGTTGCGGTTACTCCGACATTGCTCGCGCTGACCGCCAACTAGCCTCTGAAGAACTTAGCGAAGAGGACCAGCAGCTCAAGAGCGAGCTGGACATGCTCGTGGAGCGGTTAACTGTGTGTTTAATGCCCATGCTCGCCCCTCATCTTCAGTGACATTAATCTGACGTTTGCTGTTGTAGGAATCAGATGCCACGCTCTACAAGCCGGCCCTCGAGGCGATGAAAACTTTCATCAAGACATCGACCTCCTCGATGACAGCGGTTCCGAAGCCCCTAAAATTCTTACGGCCGCACTATGAGACTTTGACAAAGCTGTACGATCAATGGCCGGCGGGTGACGACAAAAACTCGCTGGCAGACGTGCTCTCTGTGATCGGCATGACATTTTCGGACGAGGAGCGCCAGGACACCTTGAAGTATCGCCTACTCCACCCGAAAGGCGACATTGCCGGTTGGGGCCACGAATATGTGCGGCATCTTGCCCTTGAGATTGGCGAGGTCTACCAGAAGCGGATCGCCGCTGATGAACCAACCCAGGATCTGGTCGACCTCGCATTGATCCTCGTTCCCCTGTTCCTCAAGGCCAACCAGGAGGCGGATGCTGTCGATCTCATGAGCGAACTGGAAATTATTGAAGAGCTCCCTCGGTTTATTGACGAGAACACGTACCGGAGGGCATGCCTGTACATGGTGTCCATGGTCAACTTGCTTACCTACCCCGAGAATGAGCAGTTCCTGCGGGTCGCGCATAGCATTTACAAGACCTACAAGCAGTATACGCAGGCTATGGTTCTTGCCATCAGGCTTAACGACATCGACCTTATCTGGTCCGACTTTCAAGAGGCCCCTGACCCCGCGCTCAAGAAGCAACTTGCCTTCCTCATCGCTCGCCAGAGGATATGTCTCGAAATCCCAAGGGAGACCCCAGAGGATGAGGAGATTTTTGAGTGCCTTGGGAACGTGAAGCTGTCGGAGTATTTCAAAACGCTAGGCAAGGAGCTTAACATCCTGGAACCCAAGACCACCGAAGACATTTACAAGAGCCACTTGGAGAACAGCCGTGTTGCGGGCATGACCAACTTTGACTCTGCTCGGAACAACCTTGCGGCTGCTTTTGTCAACGCCTTCGTGAACGCTGGATTTGGTAACGATAAGATGATGCTCGTCAACCAGGACAAGGAGAGCTGGGTGTGGAAAACCAAGGAGGAAGGCATGATGTCAACTGTGGCATCCCTTGGTACCCTCTTGTTGTGGGATATTGAGAATGGCCTCGACCAGGTTGATAAGTACACATACCTTGAAGAGGAGCAGATTCAAGCGGGAGCTTATCTCGCCATTGGTATCATGAACTCTGGTGTTAGGCTGGATTCTGACCCAGCCATGGCTCTTCTTGCCGATAATGACAAGCTCAACCACAAGAACCCGCTCATTCGGGTTGCCGCTATCATGGGCCTGGGTTTGGCCTATGCCGGATCTAACAAGGATGAGCTTCTTCCATTCTTGTTGCCCATCATTATCGATACATCCCAGGAGATGCGGGTCTCTGCCATGGCGGCTCTTGCTTGCGGTATCATATTCGTCGGCTCCTCGCACCCGGAGGTTAGCGAGGCCATCATTACTACCCTGCTGGATGATGATCGCAAGAGCCAGCTGACTGACAAGTGGACTCGATTCTTGGCGCTTGGTCTGGGCCTGCTCTTCTTTGGCCGTCAGGAGGAAGTTGAGGTCATCCTCGAGACTTTGAAAGCGGTGGAGCATCCCATGGCCAAGCCAACGTCAGTTCTTGCCTCGATCTGCGCCTGGGCCGGCACCGGCGCCGTTCTTAAGATTCAGGAGCTCCTGCATCTTTGCAATGAGCATATGGAAGAGTCAGATGAGAAGAAGGGCGATGAGTTGCTTCAGGCTTATGCCGTGCTCGGCATCGGTCTGGTCGCCATGGGCGAAGACATTGGCCAGGACATGGTTCTCCGCCATTTCGGTCACCTCATGCATTACGGCGAGGCCAATATTCGGCGAGCTGTGCCGCTAGCAATGGGTCTTGTTAGCCCTAGCAACCCTCAAATGAAGGTATACGACACGCTGTCGCGGTACAGCCATGATAACGACAACGATGTCGCTCTGAATGCCATCTTCGCCATGGGTCTTCTGGGCGCTGGCACTAATAATGCCAGATTGGCACAGCTGCTGCGTCAACTTGCCAGTTACTACGCTCGTGACCAGGAGTCGCTCTTCATGGTCCGCATCGCTCAAGGCCTCCTACACATGGGCAAAGGCACCATGTCCATTAGCCCCTTCCACACCGACCGCCAAATTCTGTCACGTGTCTCTGCCGCTGGCCTGCTGACTGTACTCATCGCCATGATCGATGCCAAGCAGTTTATCACGTCCAAGTCGCATTGGCTGCTCTACTTCCTCATTACAGCCATGCACCCGCGGTTCCTCATTACCCTCGACGAGAACCTCAAGCCGGTTACTGTCAATGTGCGTGTTGGCCAAGCTGTCGATGTCGTCGGCCAGGCAGGTCGGCCCAAGACTATTACTGGCTGGCAGACACAGAGCACCCCGGTACTGCTTGCGTATGGCGAGCGTGCTGAGCTCGAGGATGATGAGTACATCAGCTTGAGCAACACCCTTGAAGGCCTGGTTATTCTCCGCAAGGTATGTTTAAATGTTTGGAGAGCATATGGTCTTATAACATACTAACCTTGTTTTTACAGAATCCGGAATGGGATGGTGGTAGATAGATGGCTTTTGGGTGAAGTGGAATGACAACCATAGAGGCCAAGGCAAGATGATATAATTCTTGTACAGTACACCAAAAGGGGGCTTGTTTCGGTTTAAAACAGAGAGCCCTTTTCCCCGGGTAGCCCATAGTATGGCTTCTGGTTTCTAAATGGTAGTTAACACCAGTAGCTGTGCATTGTTGTCTTGATTTGCTGGATCTTTGTTGCTTTGATTATGTGAGTGTGAGAATAACGCGGAGCAATATGTGACCAAAACGGATCACCTGCGATGTAGGATCAGGGCAGTATTACGACAGGTAAGTACATTTGCTCAAATCTTTGGTATCCGTTGAGCCACGATACAGGAACCCAGAGAGAGCAAATCATGAGAACGCTCTCTCCTTTCTGCGCCAATTGCAGGATTAACTAACTACACATGACCTTCATTAACTTCCTTTACCTACCCCCTCCCCCCCCTTCTTCTCCCCTCTTCTATCTGCATGCTGAACCCAACAGACACTATACCGGATGTGAGCGAGCCAATAGGGCGAACCTTTGACCGATCACACAACCAGACCAGCAAGCAAAACCCCAGGACACACCCGATCTCAACCTCTCTCTTCTCTTCCTCTCATCATGACTTCTTCAACCCAAACAAATGCCTCTTCTTCTTCTCCTTCTTCGCCTTATCCGACCCACTTGTCCCCGGCCGCTGTTCTACCGACGGCCACTCGCTGCCACTGCCACCATTTCCGCCACCGCCGCTAATAGACAAATTTCCCATAGCCTTTGTGGGCGGCTGTACATGCTGTTGCTGCGGAGCTGGCTGATGCTGGCTCGTCATACCCATCTGTCGCGCCCCTCCAGGGGTAGCAGCTTGTCCCGGAGGCGGAGCAACAGGCTTAGGCGGCGCCGGCCGCTCAAACAAATACGCGGGCGCTTTAGGCGGGGGGCGGTCCAGCGGAAGATCGAGCCGGGGCCGGTCCGCGGTCAGCAAGCGCAGATCGGACAGGAACTTAGCCGGGCTAACCATGTGGGAGGTGACGAGAAAGACGTCACGGTTATGCTTTTCGGAAACTTCATAGCATGCACGGGCCTCGGAGTACGTCGCGCCGCCCGCGACAAACACGACGATGCGCTGGCGGTTCTCAACTTGGCGGCGGTTGGCGGATGCCCAGCGTGGCGCAGCTGAGCGGAGGGAGCCATGGGTGTGGAAGGATTCTTCAGAGGGATTCTGAGGCGGTTTGGTGTAGGGGAAGAGGTTGGGGTCGAGGGTGCCGGCCACAAGACGCTCCAACATGGTCTTAACGGCGGGTTCGTAGCGGGAGAGGATGTATTCTTCTTCGATGTTGACATTTTTGTCTTTGCTGCGGTCGAAGAGTGGAGGAGGAGGGGTACGGGACTCCTTGAGCTGCTTAAGTGGGCGAGCGCCGAGGAGCTCGAGATTTTCGATAGTCTTTTGATCCAGGCTCTCGGGGGTTCGCTGTAAGCCTGCATGCCAGAGGAGACGGCTTAGATCCTGTGGAATGATGCCGTCGCGGAAGAGCACATAGATGGCGATCAAGCGCAAGCGATCTGCCGGAGCAACGTCAGGGTCGTCCAGCAAGCGGACGACCTGGTCCAAGATGTTGGTATTCTTCGGCTTCTTGTATTCTTCATCGAGGCCGGTGGCCAGGGTTTGCTCTGCAGATGCCAAGTCGGCAAGCTTGTACTTTTGAAAGATGTTCATGGCTTCTTGGGCCATGGTGAGATGAAGCGAGTATGCTTGCTTCATCTCCTGGAACTGTGGTAAACGGGCCAACATGCCTTTGATATCGTTCAAGGTGGCACTGTCGGGGTCCTTGCCAGCAAAGTTGGGGTTCTCCTTGAGAAAGTTTTGGAAGTCACTCATCAACTTGTCAATGGTATCTTTCATGTGGCGATGCCGGTTGCTGACCCAGACGGGATCCTTTTCGGCCAGTTCGGCATCCTTTTCCTCAGCATCAGGCGTGCCCTCACCAACGGTAAGATGGAAGGTCACTTTCCCATCAGGGTGCTCTTTGATTGGTAGCAAGTCGTGAACCATGGCCTGGTACGTAAACTCGTGTAAGAAAGGGGCCATAAGGTCCATCGACCTGTCGGTAATGAGCAAGACGGACGGGGGCCGGGAGGATGGAGGAGGGAAGTTGCGATTCCATTGTTGGTAGCCATCAAGTTCTTGTTGGACAAAGCGTGCCAGATGCATGCAGAGCACGCTGGCCTCGTGCTTTATATGGTCTGGTGGTCGGTAGTAACGGATCTTGGGCATCTCTTGCAAGGTCACGCAGACGGAGACGATCTGACAACCTCCCGTTAGAACCCATGGTACTTTATGGCAAAGAACGGATTGGGGAAAGCGTACCTTAGAGGCCAGTGTTCGAAGGTGGCGTGCCACAAGGTCGTTACACGCCGGATTGTACAAGACGAGGAAACTGTGGGGGTCCCGGAAGGTCACAAGGTGCGACTCATGGGGGAAGAAGTCGACAAGCAGCAGGTCAGGGGGGCCGGCCATCTGAACACGGAAAGGATCCAGACGGCGCTGAAGAGGGTCCGGTAAGGGGCCGGTCCAGATGATGTAAGCACGCCTATACCGGCGGAACTGGAAATCGGAGCAGAGACAGTCGACGATATGAGGCTGTGGAGAGAGTATGTAAATAGCATCCATCTCCGGGTTGGGCTCTCTCCGAGCCTCTATGCGCTCGATGTCTGGCAGGTGGTCAGGACTGAGGCGCTTATGTGCTGTGCAAAAGGGGACATACTGGCGATGTTGCGGTTGAGCAGCTCATCGTCGTTGACGGAGCAGTCGAGGATCCTCCTCGTAGTCTCGTCGAGAATAAGGAGTTTCCACTGAAAACCATTGCGTAGATCAGCACATCGGTGCCCATAGCCTCATGCTGTGTTGTGTTGGGATCGCGCTGCGAAGAGAGCGGCGAGACTCACGTCATTTTGGGTGGCCTGCCGGATGGCCTCGGCGATGGCTGTGTTTGCGAGTTAGCAAGAACGCTGTCATCCATGGCGACAGGTAACTGGAGCGCTGAATGCAAGACACACCTTTGCCATGCTCCCTGATGATCGAGAGACCGTCCATGGTGATAGTGATGGTGATGATGGTAATGGCGGTACGACAGGCTTGAAGCCCGGCTCCAAGCCTGTGTGTGTCAAGACAAGCCGCAGCACCGCAGTAGCGGATAGCGGTGGCAACACGCAATAGGTATTGCTTACTGCTCGTCCCGATCGTCTCGTTTGATCTTGTCCACGCTGGTCTCGATATGAATACAGTTTGGGAGTCGTTGGGTCTAGACGTCTGGGTCTGGCTTGTGTCCCGTGGAAGAGTCGGGGTCTCGGGGCGATTCCCGTCGATCGTTCCAGGAACCCAAAGCTCCAATTAGGTCCTGGTGTCGCCCAAACCACCAGGAAGTTCTCTTGCTTGTATTCTTAGCCCAAAGACTATGAGAGCTCTCAGCAAAAAAAAAAAAAAGGAAGCCCTCAGGGCCATAAGCAACAAGCAACAAGCGAATTGTTGAAACACGGGGATGGCAGCTTCACCGATGACTGGTCGCCCTGGTGCTCTGCTGTGACGCGGCGGCGCTGGACCCAGCAGTCGGATGGTGGGGACGGGGCCACATGCTGGGAATGGGTCGTAGCAAGTGGGGTTGCGCATCCATGACCACCAAGCGCCAACCCGTAAGCGGCGGCTCGCAAAATGCCTGGCTGCTGCGGCGTCGAGCTTCTGCCTGTCCGGCTAGGAACCCCTCGGCCAGCACGCAAACACAACCCTAACCCTTTTCAGGACAACTTGACATTCGCGAGCTGCTTTTCTTTCCTTTCCTTCCCAGGGGTACTGATTTAGATCATCCGCCTGCTACAAAAGACGACTTCTGGTGAGTCAATGACATGTGTTTTCAACTTTAGGAGCAAAATTTAAGCTTTCTTCATTAGGATTCATACGTTACACTGAATGTAGATGACAGAGTGTCCCAGATACCCTGGCCACACCAAATCATCGACTCACTCTTGCAGGCTAGACATACACACTTGCTTGTTGCCGGGTTATGGTTGGTGACGTGGTGTTTCCAATGCCTGGATCTTGATTATCTTGTCCCCCCCCCGGGGGCTCCCAAAAACACATACACCTTCCAACCTACCTATCTATGGTACCCATCTAGGTCTGTAGCAAGCCGTAAATGCCAAGACAAAAAGTCTAGGCAGCAGATATTCTTCCGCACATCTTTTTTAAAAAAAAAAGAAAAAAGCAGAGCCGAGAGTGTCTCCAGAACTCCTGAGCTTAGGCCGGGAAGTCTGGTTCATATATGGTGTCCCTGGTATATCTTTTGGGAATGATAAGGAAGAGACCGGATGCCTATCTCAGAGACATCTAAGGTCAGCGTGGTGCTTTCCATCTCCCTTACTATCTCAAAAATCTCCCACATAATACTACATCCTCCCCCATGGGACACCACTTCACATCTGTCAATCTCACCGGCATTGCCAGCATGCCATCAGGGTGGACTGCCCTTGGCGGAGACACCATTATGCCCCCTTGGCCCAGCCATGTAGGCGCGATCGTCACAATTACCGAGTGAACAAAGCGGTTGTCTGGCGGAACGAGTAACGACCTGATAACCTCCCCTCCGCCCTCGATCATAACGCTTCGGATGCCCTCTTTCTCCAACACAGCCAACACGTCTTCCCATGCAAACCTCCCATCTTTCCCCTTCGTCTCAAGCTCAATGACTTGCCCGCCAAGCTGCTCCAGGAACTTCCGCCGTTCTTCAACCACCCGACGCCCGCCATTTTGCGCCTGAGCTGAGTCAACAAACACCCACGGTGCCTTACCCTTGCCCTCTCGCGCGACCCGAATCGCCTTACTCCCTTCATGAACCGCCCAGCGAGCACGTGGATCAAGAATGATCGGCCGAGGCTGTCTCTCCAGCGGCAGCCAGCCCTCTCCCTTGGCCTCATTCCCATCGCTCACATCACTCAGACCATTTAAGCAGTCTCTCCTGAGACGAGAATTCAACCCCGGGTCATCCGCCACAGCTGTCCCTGCGCCGACTAGAATGGCGTCGTGGTGAGCGCGCAGAAAATGTGTCATAGCCTTGGATTGCGGACCGGAGAGTATGGTGCGAACGCCAGGCGCAGCGGCGATGCAGGCATCGAGGGAGTGGGCGTAGGTTAACGTGACGTGAACATTGGGTTTACTGTGGGAAGAGGTTGAGGGCAATGGTGAAGGAAGGGTTGACGGAGGGAGATAGGGGGTTATGAGGGCTGCATCTGAAGCGGAAAATGAGAGGGTTTCCCGGGGGCGTTTCTGGGGTTGTTGTGAGGTCATTGCTGCTCCTGGGAGGTTGATTGAAGGCCCCGAAAAAGTTTCTATTTCTGACGTTGTGGTGTGGTGATGCGAGTGGGCATCGAACAAAGGGCCGAGTTCCCTGCCAAGACGGTAACTTACAAGCATGTCGTCATCATTCGTACTTACGAGCCGTTCGCTGTATTGTGCAACGTGCCGCTTACCGATCATGCCTGTTGGACGCACACTCATCTCATAGGTACTTGTAACATGGGATTGCGGCTTGTAAGCCAAGATGCATCAAACGCGATCTCTTCATGCATGCAAGCACTTGGATGGCTTACAGGCTTTGGTCTCGACAGCAATAGGCGCTTCCTCAAAGACTATGATATAAGGCTCTGATCGCTGGGCCGAATGCTGGTTCATATCTCAACACATCTGCAACCGACGATGCGAACACAAGGCCTGCACCCTAGGAATAGTGGAGAGATCGACAGGTATCGCCAGTCATTTCGCCGACCAGGCTGTTCACGTTGTGGAGGCCGCCGACAGCCGTCTGAGAACGGGACACCACGGCTACGTGTTAATGCGCCGATACTGACACCCTTTCTGGTAGTATCCTATCCTAGCTATCTACCCCAGGTTGGGTACATCGAGGATGCCGTGTTCCCTACACATGGGGATTTAGAGCGCACGACAAATGTCATCAATTTCGCGAATAGGTAGGAACGCGGACTGTGTCGAGAGAGGGTACCCATGTGGAGTCTTAGAAAAGGACCCCAGATGGCGACGTTATCTTCCGAGCCAACCAGTCAGACCAGGATTTAGTAACAGTTACGTCCAGAGGGATGAGGCTGTAATTTAGATGTGGGCAAACAGATATGTACACAATCCGTACTACCAACTGCAGACTTAGACTCCCAGCAGTGAGTCGGCGACGCAGCCTGCAGTGGTGCTGCTACGAGAGTGTGGCGAAGCAGTGCAAATGCGCAACAAGGAGCCGGCTCGATGTGAGCCGCTTGGAAGTGAGACGCTCCATGTTTGACCCCAGGCGCCGGATCAGGAACGCTTGGCCTGCAAAGCCCGCAGTCCGCCAGTCTCCACGCGCTGCAGTCTTGGCATATCGAGCCATGCTAAAACCGTTGGCTTCCCGTGTTTCCGCCCCTTTTTTGTTCCATCACCGCTGCGATCCGTTCCCGGAACCAACCGTTCACAGGACGTGTAGCTTTCTTTGCAATTGCTTTGCAGCCTTTCAGGAATTGAGTAACAGGCTCGCTGGCTCTTTGACTTTTTTTTTTCTCTAAAATTTTGTTTTAGGTATTTAGTGGTAAGTAGCCCCCTATCTGCTGGTTTTGTTTTCTTCCCATCCGAAAGTTCAATGCCCACGACGGGAATCGGAATCTTTTGAAGGCGGCGCGACTGGCAATGTTTCGAGCCCCTGAGTCGCGATCGCTGAATCGCTGAGTCATGCGCGCCCTCACGGCCACGCAAGTGTATCCGTAATCCACTACATTCATCTTATCTATCCCCAAACACGCATACGCTCCTAGATCCAGCACACTCACTGCGATTCATAGCCTGTTAAGCCCCGCCACTTTTGGGCAGGCACATGCTCACCATCGCCTGCTGATCCCAGCATCCCCCAAAGCCTCAGCCACAACACCCACACGTGTCCTTGCTCTTTGCCACATTGCGACGGGCAAAAAGCCTTTCCCAGGTCCTGAGATCGTCGGCTGGCTAGCAATAGTTTTCCGCCGACTACATCGTTCCTCCTCTCCCTCTTAACCGCCTGCAACTAATTCCATTCCCGACCTGCTTTTGACGCCCCCAGACGGCACAGCAGCAACTAGTAATTCGAAGTCGATCGCTCTTCAGCGCGTACTCTTTCCCTGACTTTCCGAATCATCTTCGGACTTTTTTGCGACTGCGCTTTCGCTTTCACTCATCACCTTTAACTAAAACCACTACCAACCAAGTAAATTATATCCAAAATGTCCGGCAAGGAAGACCAACCGCCCGCCTACTCTCAGCCAGCGGCTCCTCAACCGGCCTACCAACAACAACCTCCGCAACCTCCCTACAACACCTATCCGGGCGCCGACCCCAATGCCGGCGCCGCGCAAGGCTACTATGCGCAGAACCCGCAGATGGCCTATGGTCAGCAGCCTCCTCCGGCCGGCTACTACTACGGGCAGCAGCAACCGCCTGCGGGCTACTATGCTCAGCCGGGCGGGCCGTATCCTCCACAAGGATATTACCCGCAACAGCAGCAGCAGCAGCAAAAGAGTGGCCCCGTAAGTTCTACTCTTTGGGACGTTCTTGTGTTTCACTCGCAACGTCACCTCGACCACGTTGCACCCGGTCAGGGAAAATACAAGACAAACAGACAAGCTGACAGATTATATTTGTTTTAAACAGGGCTTCCTTGAGGGCTGCCTCGCGGCTATGGCATGTTGCTGCTGCTTGGACATCCTCTTCTAAAAAAAAAAAAAAAAAAATTCTATGAATAGAAGACGATAGAGAGGGAGGGGAGAAGCTATGTGCTGCTATGGGTAAGGATGAAAAAGAAGAGAGGTCACGCGAAGCCGACGTAGCCGACGTCCGCAGCGCTCACAGCCCTATAGAAGGCAATCTGCCTGACGGGGTACGCTTTGAGCAATCGGATCAAAACGTACAAAGTGCGGTTTTACTCGACAATTTTCAACCAAGTGGCGATGAATCGCTGCCTCTTCAAACTCCCCACGACAGCGCAGTGAGAGAAGCCATTTCTTCGTCCCTTGCAGATGCGGATGCAATTGCCTGTTGTGGAACCCGCTTCGAGATCTGCAATGTTATATGGTTTGAATAGAGAGAGTGGCGCTGAACAGAAGGCCTTTTTTTTTTTTGGCTTGGCTCTCGCCGCTACTCACACGCTCTCTAAGTGTGACCTTACCCCCTCTCGAGAGCATCACATAGTGGAACGTGGCACATGCATTTGTTCTATCTTATGTGTTTCCTATGATATTCTATTTTCTGGTTTCTTATTTTTATTTTCCCCAATTACTACTGTTATTAATTACTCAAGGAGGTGGTGCGGTGGTGGGTATTTGTGTGTGTGTGTGTTTTTTTTTAGGGTCTTGTACAGGGGATATGAACATGGCGCGGTACCTAGACAAGCAGGAAATGGCTAAAGGAAAGTTTTTATCAGACCACACACTCTCCCCTTATTGTTTTTTTCCCCAGATTCACAACGTGGCGTAAATGGCATCAAACCGCTCGTTGGCATCCTTGACGCAGTCATGGGAGTAAATCATCTGCTGCACGTCCGGGCTGGCCCACTTGTCGGGCACGACGCCATGCTTGCCGTTCTCGCGGAACAGCCGGTCACGCTCCTCTCTTGCCTTGCCTTCGCCCAGGTGTAGGATGCGACCTGACAGTGTCGCCAGGTCGACGAGTGCCGTGCAGTGCGGCTTGCGCAGCAGCTCGTATGTCTTGAGCGTCTTGGTGATCACCTCTGCGTCGTGGATCTTGTCGGCGGGGATCTTGGCCACCACCTCGGCCAGAACAGCGCCGTCCTCAATCGCCATCGCCGCGCCCTGGCTAAGGTGCGGCAGCGTCGGGTGGCAGGCGTCGCCCAACAGCGCAACACACCCGTGCACCCAGGTTGGCAATGGCTTGTGCACGCGTAGCTTCCACTCGCACACCTCGCCGTCCGGCACCAGGTCCAGCATGCGGTGGACGAGTGGACAGAAGTCTTCAAAGACTTTGAGCATGGCCGTTTTGGAGCCGCGGGTCGTGTAGGTAGCGTTAGTAGCCTTGGCGAAATTGACGTCGGGCTGGGCCGTCGAGATGTTATAGATCTGCTTGTTGCTGACCGGGTATGCGATGAGATGCCGGCGCTCGCCCACCCAGCGCACGACCTCGTCGCTGTCGATCAGTGCTTTCATCTCCGGGTCGTGCTCCATTTCGGAACGCTTCAGCATGATGCGGTAGGCGGCTTGGCCGGTGTCTTCTTCCTCGGAGTGCAGACCGAGCTCGGCGAGCATTTGTGTGCGTGTCACAGACTTGATACCGTCCGATGCAAGCATAATATCGCCCTCAACCGTATACTCATCGCCGTCTTTTGGCTGGACCGTGATGCTCACCTTGGGCTTGAACGAGTTGACCTTGACCAGCCGTGTCGAGAAGTGGAATTTGATGGCGCTCTCCTTCAGACACGCCTTGTACATGCCGCCGGCGAGTGATGAGCGGTGCCCCGTGCAGTGGGGGTAGCCATACTTTTGCTCGATATCGGGCATCTCGACGTGGGACAGTTCAAGATTTGTGCTTCCCTCTGTCAAGGAGTCAGTTACCAGTTGAGGTTGGCTGTTGAGATCAGGGAGTGCATACGCCTGATGCTGGTGCCCTTCACGTTGGTCGCCTCCTTGAAGATGTCTTGCCAGCAACCAAGACGATCCAACACACGGGTCATATTTGGGGGCATCTGGATGCCAGCGCCGACAAAACCCAGATCTGCTGCAGTTTCAAACACATCGATGTGCTTGAAGCCCTTCTTTGCAAAAGCCAGGGCAGTGCCCAGGCCACCCATGCCTGCAGGCGGGTCAGTCAGGATTCAGGATACATCTCTCTCTCTCTCTCTCTCTCTCTCTCTCAACTCAATACCTGAAACGGAAATTGGGAACACAACCCAGGAGGTACATACCCGCGCCGATGACAATGATGTGCAGGTCGCGAACGTTGGCCATTGTGAATGCTAATAGGAGATGATACGAACGTCCAGAATAATAATAAAAAATACTTCACAAGTCTAGGTCTAAATCTAAGGCTGTCTGTCGTCTAAGACTCTAAAGAGGAGCACGGAGCATAAGAAGAGGCCGAAGAGAAGCTGGAGTGGCGGTTCGCTTCAGGGAGCAATATGAAATAATAAAAGGGTGTCGTAGCTGGAGACCTGGAGAGCGTGCTTGGAAGCTTGGAACTGCTGCCGGCACTTAAAAAGATGAGACGATGCAACCTCCGAGGCTAAGTCACTCACTCTTCAGCCTCGAACCATCAGACCAGGCGTGCCTTCCCCTAGGTTCATCTTAGGCAGGTAGGTAAGGTAAGGTAGGTATATATATAAGCAGCGTCGATCTCGCGGGGTCCCTCGCTCGGCAGTGGTGTCGCAGACGACGGCCCGCGGTCCATCGACGGCCCCAAGGCCTGAGCGTGGCCGCGTGGGAAGAGCGGCATGCTCAGCGGTTCCGAATTGGAGTGGGAAGAGTGGGCACTGGGATCTATGATTTGTGGGCCATGGATTGAAGGATGCTAACCCGCTCGACCGGGATACCTGTCTGTTTATTGAGCAATGAGCTGCGATACGGATGGACTCCAGGTTCCTACACTGCAGTTCATCCAGGATCTACTGTACCCGACTAGCCCCGAACACAGTTACGCGCATGCTGGATGGATGAATGGTCGGCGCGGGGCAGCAGCGTTTGGCTCTGACGAGCCCCGAGGGCGGTGGTCAGAAGGTGGGGTGTGGGCACACACAAAACCGCATCCCCATCATTCGACAGCGCTGAGTGCGGGGAAGGTGTCTGCTGCGTTTCTGGTAATTCTGATGCTCTCCTTGTGGTGTTGCTTTCCACAGGGAAATCTGGAACCCGTCTTGGATCTTTTTTGCGCGCTGCATGACTGCATGGCTGCATGCTCGCCGAGTCGCTGCTCGTCGGGGATTCGTGGGCTGGGAAAGCGAGTTGGGGAAAATGGATTTGCCGGCAGTGGGACAGTGGGCAACGGTTCTTTTTTTTTTTTTTTTTTTGCTTTTTTGCTTGCAGTACATCCGTGACCAAGCAGTTACCTACTTCCAAGTTAGCATTGTGCCTGGTCCCAGGTCTTGCGCTTCTTGCGCTTCTAACTGGTGCTGAGAGTGACCGGCGAGTCCTGGCCAACAGCCCAGCAGCCGATCTTCGACGCCGTGCTGGTGGTGTTTTGCTGCGCTACTGCAGGCGTTTTCCAGAATGGCTTGGAGGGTGGGCCTTACGGCTTTTTTGTCCGATGCAAGATGGAGGGGACGACATCAGCATTTGTTTGCCCATACGGATCTGATCTTTGTTGTATGTAGCTTCGGCGCCCAAAAAAACCCCCGTGGCCCCGCGACAACAAAACTTCAGAAGAGGTAGACACTGCACGGAATGATAAAAAGTTCTTCCTGAATTTCCTCCAAAATAGCTTTGTGCCAAGGTCAATCTGCTAGTTACGGCCGTGATGATGGGGAAACTCAATCCATCTTGGATCACGATGATCTTTTGGATGGTTTGACAAACGGTTCCTGAGTGTACGGATCCGTATGAAATTGCAAGCTCCCGGATGCAGTTTGTCGATTGCATCCTGGTAGTGCTTGTGCTTAGCAGTGTAGGTAAGCTACCACACAGTTCATTCATGAGAGAGTATGTCTTGTGTTACTTATGGCACCTTGCCCCCCTAGATCTGACCTGGATTTTAGGTACGGTTCTGATGTCGTCTTTTGTCCATGCCATGGCTCTAACTCACTGCTCTGCGATGACTTACAGTCCCCTTTACAGACGACGCAATATGTCATCCAAGAACGGCTTTCCGTATGGATTACGGGATTGCCTTCTTTGGCACTTAGCGGAACGGCGGCAGCATGGATGTAGCGGCCCGCAAAGAATAAAACATCCATAATCTGCATCCACAATATCGATCTTTGAATGCACTAACTGCACTACCTAGGTAGGTAACTCAGCATCACTATCGCACATCATCGCACCCAGATCCAGACTGTCAGATCCTCAACCTTTGGTGAACAAAGCGACAAAGCAGCACAATTGTATTCACCCTCCAAAAGATAAGCTAAAAGAAAGGAAAGAAAAAGGCTCATTGTTGTCGTATCAGATGAAAGAATTTTTAAAAAAAATAATAACATAAAATAAACCTTGAATCGCCTCGCCGAGGGTACAAAGCACAGCGCGCGGTGATGGGCAGCGCACAAGCGGGACCTGCTCCTTTGGGCAACCGGACACTTTTTTATTTTGACCAATCATCGGTCATTTTGCGATAAAAGCATGATAAAAAGCCGCCTACGTCATCGCTGCAGCCAATCATAGGTTTGCGCTATTCCCAAAGCTGCCAGGTGTTTCAAACCAAGAAACGACCCCTTGTCGCATTTGTCTCCGTTATCCAGGATGAGGTGGGTATTTCAGAAGCGCGACCGGCTCCTGGCATGGCAGACAGCACCGACCCGTCCTTCATCAGGCCCTCGCACAACGGTGGTCGGTCCACGACTTAATGACCTGGGAGAGGCCACCAGGGCCCGACCCAAGATTTGGGAGCCCTCACCAAAAGTCTTTCTTTCTCTTCCACTTCTCATCCTCCTGGCCGTTGATGAACGCTTGGCGGTGACATCGTGGCCGTTGCATACGGTTTTACGTAGGTACCTTTGACACCTCTCACACCTCAAGAGTTAGGGCTGGCTAGCTATCTTCCAACTTCCAGCTTGCCGCGCCCCCTTTTGTTCACCGACCACCGACCGACCCTAACTACTCACTCCGGGGCTGCCACACAGGTGTCAGGAGCTTTGAGCCTCATCACAATCCTCCGAGCACCTAATTGCGAGTCGTATACATCCGACCGATATACCCTACGACCTCCCAACATTTGCCCACAACTCCCCATGCTGCGATAGGTGTTAGGGTGTTCTCAGAACCGAACGCATGGCCAATTGCTGAGAGAACACCCTGAAACTGGTGGGATCACGATCGCATTTTTCAAGTTGCAAGCCGAGACGTGAGCGCAAGCAACGGGAACCGCCGACAGCCCATGAGCCAGCCAACTCCGACGTCCGCCCACGCGGCGGCGTCGCCGTCAAGCGCCATCCCCGAAGGCCCTGGATCGGCCCAGGAGTCGACGGGCATCAGCTTAATCGCCTTCATTTCCGCCTTAGCCGCCTCGCTGATCGTCTTTGGCGTTCAGATGAGCCTCTTCTTTTTCTTGAGAAACAAGCTGGTTAGGATATTGTGAGTGCTGGAGTCTATTCAAGCTCCTCCTCTTTTCTTCTTATAACCTCTCGCTAATCCATCTGCTCGACAGTAAACCAAAAACTTACCTCGTCCCAGAGCGGGAGCGCACTGATCCCCCGCCATCCAGCCACTGGGCTCTGGCTTTCAAGCTCATGAGCTTCGAGGATCGCGAAATCATCAAGAAGTGCGGCCTCGACGCCTACTTTTTCCTGCGCTATCTGCAAACACTCCTCATCATCTTCATCCCCATCGCTCTGGTTGTCATTCCCATCCTCATCCCCCTGAACTACATCGGGGGGCTTGGTCGCGATGTCGTTAACGGCACCATCGACGGCGGCGTCACCGATGGAACCGTCACTATCAGCGTGCCTACCGGTTTGGACACGCTCGCTTGGGGCAACGTAGCCCCGAACAAGCAGGATCGTCGTTGGGCCCACCTTATCCTCGCCTTGCTTGTCATCCTCTGGGTGTGTGGTGTCTTCTTCGCCGAGCTCAAGGTCTACATCAAGATTCGCCAAGACTACCTCACCAGCGCCGAGCACCGTTTGCGCGCTTCTGCCAACACCGTGCTTGTGAGCTCTATTCCCGACAAATGGCTGAGCGAGACCGCTCTGAGAGGTCTGTTCGATGTCTTCCCCGGTGGCATTAGAAATGTCTGGATTACCCGGGACTTCACCGCACTTCTCGAGAAAATCCATGAGCGCGCTCGCATCCACAAGCAGCTAGAAGAAGCCGAGAGTGAGCTGATCCGCAAGGCTAAGAGGCGCCAGATGAAACAGGCAAGGGAGGGTACCCTCATTCAGAGAATGAAAGCCCAGAATAGGGCCGACAGAGCTCAGCGTGCGAAAGAGGAGGACGAGGCGGCCCAGCGACGTGCCGAAGGCGAGGGCGGCTTGAGTGCTCATACGCCTCATCTGCCGCACGGAATTCAGGAGGCTGTTGCGGAAGCGGAAGGGGACAAGTTTGATCCCAAGATCAACCACGGAAGACCGGGAAGCCCTTTTGGCAAAATCGGTCGCGGTATCGGGAAAGGCGTAGGCAAGGGAGTCGCTGTTGTTGCCGGGGCCGGCATGGGATTGGTTGAGGGCGCCACAGCTGCCATACGTAGGGGCATTGATGAGGAGCTTGAACGAAAGGCGGGTTTTGGCTTTGTCAAAACCGACGACCCGCGTCGTCCTGCGTCTCCTATAACCCCTGACTCTGGCTCTGCTCATGGCGGCGATACCGATGATGACTACCGACCCAAGGTATCTTTCGCGTCCGAGGCTCCTTTGAAGTACAGCAGCAGTCCATCTGGGAGCTCCCAGGAAGCTCAAGACGACTCCAAGGCGAAGAATCGGCAGTCTGCACGGCAGTCCTACCTCCGGCACTACGGCAACACCACTCGCCGTGCGACGAATCTGGACGAGATGATCGTCACGAAGAAGACTCGCTGGTGGGAGTTTTGGAAGCCGCCTACAGGCAGCTACGCATCGCCTATCCCTCAAGGCTATGAAGAACGGGAGCAAGACTGGAAGGACGATCATAAATCATTCTGGGATATCCTGAGGAATTCGGTTCCCCTTCTGCGGGACCCCGGTCCTGCGGTTGAATATCCGCCCGCGTACACGCGCGACTACACGACACAGCCCGAGGAGGATGCCGAATGGAGGAAGTGGCTGAAGCCTGAGGAGCGACCGCGTCATCGCGTCCCCAGATGGCCTGGATTACCATGGTGGCTGCCCCTGATCTTTCCCCCGATAGGAAAGAAGGTAGATACCATCTATTGGTGTCGCCAGGAGCTGGCCCGCCTTAACCTGGAGATTGAGGAGGACCAACGGCACCCAGAGCGTTATCCCGTCATGAACTCGGCCTTCATCCAGTTCAACCATCAAGTCGCTGCCCATATGGCTTGCCAGTCGGTTACGCATCACATCCCTAAACAGATGGCACCACGCATGGTTGAAATCTCTCCTGACGACGTCATCTGGGATAACATGGCGATCACGTGGTGGAATGAATGGGCTAGACGTGCGGTTGTCTTCCTGCTCGTGACCGCCATGGTTGTCCTTTGGGCGTTCCCCGTTGCCTGGACGGCCTCTCTCTCCCAGATCGACGCTCTGATTCGCAAGTATGACTGGCTGAGCTTTCTGGTGGAGAATGAGACTTTGCACAACGCTGTCAAGGCGATAGCGGGTGTCTTGCCGGCGCTGGTACTGTCTCTGATCCTGGCATTGGTACCCATCGTCCTCGGTTACCTGGCTACCTGGCAGGGAGCGAAGACGGGCGCGAGCAAGTCTGAGACGGTTCAAGTCTATTACTTTTCTTTCCTCTTCGTCCAGGTCTTCCTCGTCGTCTCCATCGCATCCGGTACTTTCCAAACGATTGCTCATCTCACATCAAACCTCCAGGACACGCCCCAGGTGCTTGCCGAGAATCTGCCCAAGGCAGCCAACTACTTCTTTGCGTACATGATTCTGCAGGCGTTATCGACGAGCTCCGGTACGCTGCTCCAGATCGGCACGCTTTTCATCTGGTACATCTGGGCGCGCATTGTCGACAACACGGCCCGTGCCAAATGGACGCGCAACACGCAGCTGCCGACTGTCACCTGGGGTTCCTTCTTCCCCGTCTATACGAACTTCGCCTGTATCGCGCTCATCTACTCCATCGTCGCCCCGCTCATCTCTCTCTTCGCCATCATCACATTTAGCCTGCTGTGGGTCGCTCACCGCTACAACATGCTCTATGTGACGCGCTTCAAGACCGACACTGGCGGCATCTTGTACCCGCGCGCCATCAACCAGACTTTTACGGGCTTATACGTCATGGAGCTGTGCATGATCGGCCTGTTCTTCCTCGCCCAGGACGAGACGGGCGTCAATGTCTGCGTCCCGCACGCCATCATCATGATCATCGCCTTCTTCCTTACGGCGCTGTACCAGTACGTGCTGAACTCATCATTCGGCCCGCTCCTCCGCTACCTGCCCATCACATTCGAAGATGAGGCCGTGCTCCGTGATGAGGCGTTCCGGCGTGCCCAGGCTCGCCGCCTAGGCTTGATCACGGAGGACGACGAGGCTACCGACCTCACCAACCCCGCAGGTGACCACTCAGCCGATGATATCGAACTCGAAAAGCTGGGCGACAAGACCAACGACACTCACGGGAAAGGCCATCGCCGAACTGCCTCAACTTTCGACCGCTTCCGGCACCAGGCGGGCACTTGGGCTGCGCGCAGCGGCAAGCAAGTGATGCGTGCCGCAACCTTTGGCGGGCGCGCCGAGGACGCCCTGCGCCAGGCAGCTCAGTATCGGCGCGAGCGCCGCCAAAAGGATCTGGAAGCGCAGCGTGCGATGGGAGAAGCCCTCTTTGGCGGGTACTGCGACGGAGTCGAAGACTTGACTCCCCACGAGCGCGACGCGCTCGTCCGCAAAGCGTTCCAGCATTCGGCGATGCGGGCACGTAGACCGGTTGTGTGGATCCCGCGGGATGATATTGGCGTGAGTGATGATGAGATTCGAAGGACGAAGGAGTTTAGCGAGTATATCTCGATTACGAATGAGGGCACCGCTCTGGATAGCCGGGCGAGAGTGTTGTATGGACGGAATCCGCCCGATTTTTCCGAGGTGGATTTGATCAACCTGTGAAACGGAGGTGGGATCTTTTTCACCTAATGGAGCCATGGGTGAAGATAATGATAATGATTAAATGGGGATATGAAGAGAATGAAGAGAGGAGGAGTGTTTTCTTTTGAGAAATATAGAGGAGGGCTTCAATGGCCATCGAGCAAAAGAAGGGAATACCCAGGCGTTCTGGGAGTTTGGGCTTTCGCTGGCAAAACCGAACATTACGCTACCTACCGTTCATTGCATGAGCATGGGTATTGAGCATTGTATAGAGAATCATATGCATTAGAGGAATTGCTCTTAAAATTCATATTTAATATAAAGTGCCGTACCGGGCTGTAATTCTGATAAAAATGATTTCAATCTTGCATCTACGGGGTCTGAGAAATGTATAGCTAAGTTCGCTGGACAGAGTCTGGTAGATCGATCGACTCACTTGCAATCCCGTTCATCGCCACTACATAGGTACCTACACCTACCTACCTATGTATCAGTAATTACCTGCACAAGATCATCACCATCGCATGCAATTTAACCTGCATCAAGTCCCCTTCTCCTTCTCCCCTCGATGATTCCCTGGCCAAGCGGCCCTCATCATGGGTCTCAATAGCATTGCCCCAAGCACACAACATAGCGTCACCATCAGCTGCACCATCCCACAAGTCCACGCCCCGGGTGCCATCATCACAAACTTGACAAACTCGTTTACCTGATACACATCCTCCTGCTTAGAAATCCGGTATCTCGTTGGCCCATGATGGGAATGGCTTGCCGTGCTGCTAGTCGAACCCGCGCGAGAACCAGGGCGGGACCGGCTTGCTCCCGAGGCGACTTCTGCATAGCTGGGCTCGATGCCTTCTTGGATGGAGCGGCGCTTTTCAGAGGCTGCGTTGTAGGGACGGGTATCTGTGGGGGTGACGCTTCCGTTGGCTGAAGTGGGCGTCAAGTGGATGATGGAGATCAGTCGGACGGGGGCCTGATGAAAGGGAAGGAACCAGATGGAGAAGGTTTGGTGCAGTCGGAGGTAGAGAATGTTTGTACGTTGGTCAAATGCTCGTTCGGGGGTTAGCTGGGAATGGGAGAGGCACAAATCGAAAGTTGGCTTTTATATACTTTGTTAAGGTTGACTTACCACAGGATTCAATCTCAAGCTGGATCTTGGGACTCAAGATTTTGTCTATTCATCAATCAAATGTATGAGCGCCGTTCCCTAGAGAAATGTCGGACATACATACACCTGTTCCTTGTCAGCAACAGTTCACTTCTCCACTTAGGGGCAACCCGAACTCACCACTTATAGACGGCCGATATCAGAGTCCGGGAGTCAAAATTGCCCACCAAGGGCACATGTAAACACTTGAAGCCAGGCACACGGCAAAAAGGATGCTCAAAGGAGGCATTCGGGGCGAAGTACTTGTTGATGGCATCGGTCTGTTCTTGCGGAGTTCCCTGGGTAAGGGTACGGATCACTGTCTCGACGTCTCGAACTGGCAACCAGGATTAGACAAGACAATAAGACAACATGACGACATGAAATCATTGATGTATGTATTTAATTAGCTTAGACACTCACCTGGATTCTCCATGGCTACCCACTAGGCACCTAGTCTGCTGCGGTCGTTGCAGCAGTCGACTGGTCAAGAGCAGGGGAAGCTATGAATTTCCCCTCCTTCGGGTCGTGGCCCGTCCTGCAGCGCTTGATATATGTCGGTATCTGAGTCATGTGACATCTCTCATGTGCAATGCCCCTGGCGGGCAGTGATGTCATGGACGGATCATGGCCGATAAGGTGGAGGTGCGGAGACAGATCCGGGCCGTGGTACAGGGGAATGTTGTCGGCGGAGGTTGCCCAAGTGTTCGGAATGTCAAGCCTGAATCGGCCGAATAATCCGGAGAGGAAATCCGGAGTGGTGATATAGCATGGCGAGGAGGAGGTAGGAGGAGGAGGAGGTTGATGAGAAGAGCTACCGCAATGACACACACCAAACATGGCTACCAAAGCTGAAACGAACGAGAACGGCCAAGCAGAGGCAGAAGCACTCATTGAAGGGTGAGATTATCTCGGCATCCTGTCCAGCTAGATCTCGCCATTTTCAATCCTCTTAAAACGTCGTCCTCCTATCAGTATCACAGATACAGATATCCCATTACCAGAAACTTCGCACATCTCAAAATGCCCTAGGAATCATATCAGAATCAGATCGTGCGGATATCTTAACAAGAACCCTCTATCCACTTTGAAACGCATCAAGTGATTTCATAGAATCGGTGTCTGAAAAAAAAAGTCGAACCCCAACTCCAAATCCGTTATCCTCAAATATACGAGCGAAGCGCAACTCACCTCACCATCCTTCCGATAATGGAGCCTTTCAGCTGACTCCCTTCTATCACCGCGGCCTTGCAGTCCGAATCTCAACGTTCCCACTTCCTCTTCCTCTTACCCTTCCCCCAACTCTCGCTGGATCAACTGGCTGGAACCCTGGCACACCACTACCTCTACTACCACCACCAACACCACCACGACCCATTGCCCTCGCCGCCAACGGCGACTCCACCACATCCACACTGCTCCCACTCATGCTACTCGGCGGCGAGATGGGAACAACCGCTGGCGGTGGGGCGTTAGGGTTTCCTGATCCAGCAGCTCCTGCTCCTCCCGTCGTTGACGTCCTCATCGTACGGCGCTCGACCTCAACCATTGTCGCCGTCGAGCGACGCTCAGGAGCACGCCGCACGCGAGGTGGGGGGACGATAAAGAAGCCTCTCCTTCCTCGCCGGCTGTGGGAGCTGCTAGAGCTGCTGGAGCTGGAGCTGCTACTACTGCTGCTTCCGCTGCTACTACTCCTGCTGCTCACGCTCTCCCTACGTTCCCTCACCTCCAGCGTCACCCTCGCACCGCCACTTCTCCTCCTCACCCTCTTTTTGCTCCTTTTTTTCTCCTTCCTCCTGACAACTTTCACATATGAAGTAACCCATCTTGGCCTCCTCGCCCCCTTGAAGCACCAACAGTACAGACAGGCAAAGTACAGCAACGCCAGCAGCACCACAAAGGCTGCTACCGCGCCCAGCGTGATTGCGACAATGATGCCCGGGGACGGTGATATATCCCCCGACCCGTAGAGAGATCCAACGGGGGGAGTGTTGCCATCCAGATCGTCGGGGCTGGTCCAGGTTACCGTTGGGGCAGGGGGGCCGGAGTATGAGGCAGTCGGGAAGATGACAATGTCTGGTCCAGGGTCGGGTTCGGGTTCGGGTTCGGGTTCATCTGGCGTTGTGGGGATGCCGCCGAGAGGGAGGGTCCGGTCCTGGCGCCGGTAGATGAGCTTGGTGATGCCATAGGCAGCGCGAAAGAGAGTTGGTATTGGCGCCATTGTGATGATTTCGAGCCCTGACCTCGAGATTTAACGAATAACTAGGCAGGTAGAAAGAACGGCTTGCGTTGAGCTCAGCGATCGCAGTTTTGCTGTTGAACTGAATTCCGAGTCGCTATATTGTAAGGGACTGATGGTGAAGAGGCTTCTCGAGCAATCTATACAGTAGCCTCCGTTGTTGAGATTGCGCTACTCGCTGCGCGCCATCATGACATCTCAGGCAGGTTAAGGGCTGGGGGATTGGTGTTTTTGTGGGCCACAAGACTTGAAGAGGGGTTGATGATACTCGAGAACCGACCGACTGAAGAATGTAGGATGAATGAAATACTCCAAGAACTGCCGTCGTAAGCTTTTTTTTTCTTGAGAGTAGAGGAAAACAGCTGGGGGTGTTGCCGAGAGCAAGAGTGCCCCACGATAAAACGGCTCGAAGCAGGTAAGCAATCCGTTGCGGGCGGCGACGGTAACGACAACGAACACTTCAGGGCCGCATCAGAAGTTGAGCTGCCACATCGCAATCAACACAAGTCGCCCATGTTTTCATAAAGTCTGGAGTCGACGACAATGAATTGTTTATGATTTGGAGGAATCGACGACGAGGATTCGTGTACTTCCAGTTTGTTGCTCCAGTTTCACGAAGCAACCAACCGACCAGCCAACCAACCGCATCCCACGTTCCTGTCCCCTCCTATGCGGCGTATGCAAACATTTGAGGGGGCTGGGGAAGCATCTTCTAAGCTTGGCGCTGCACCCCCAGCCGCTAGATCACATACAAACATCCAACTATGGTGGGCGTTTCAAGAACTTTGCTGCCTTGCTGTTATCGCCGTCCATAACACCAATGTTTTTATGCCTACTCGCCTTGCATGCAATGTATACCCTTCCAAAAAAAATCAAGACAAATGGCTATCCTTAGATGCGCGTGTATAAAACCATCCAGAAGATTACCTACAGTGGACCAACCATTGCTCCAGCTCGGTATATCTCAGTATCCCAGGTAGTCCGTCAAGACTGACTTGTGAAGGATAAACACATAACCCATTCATTTCATGTAAATTAAATCACGGAAACCGCAGTCCTTTTAGTCCCGGCCCATATCTCTTATCCTTCTTGTCATCCGTCTTATCCCTACTTGGTCTACGCGCTGTGTTTTGCACCCCTCCTGCACACTTACAGTTAGTCGCAACAATCTCATACGTCGGCTAAGCTTCCTTATGGCTCACCTCTTCCAATATATCTGTCTGCAAGTGGGCTGTTGGCGGCGGCGGCGGCGTTGTTGTTGTTTGAAACCGTATTGATCGTCCTGTTCTGGCTTCCCGTTGCTCTCCCTTCCCCCGGAGTCACCGGACGGTGTGACATAGATCCCAAGGAGCCGGATGCGGGGTCCGTTGGTGGTGATACTTGTGCCATACACTCTGGCGTCTCCGTCTCTGAGCAGCTTCGTGTCCTCGGACGAACTGCAATTGGGCTTCTGTTGACTGAATCACCACCAGCAGTATGTTCCCCGGGCAAAGCCGGCTCCTGCGCACCCCCGCCTGCCCTTTCATTATTCCTCGACTCCAAATCCAACAACTTTGACTGGGCCACTGTATACTTCCCCATCAATTCGCTATACTGCTTCTTCAGCTCGGAATACTTTTGCCTTTCTGCTGCGAGCTGCTTCTCAAAATGTGCCGCCACCTCGCCAACCGCCTTCTGCTGGCCCCCCCCTCCTTACTCCTTGCCTGCGTCAACTGCTGTCGTAGCTCATTGATCTGTGCTAGGTATCGTTCGTGTGCCTCGTGCATCTGCTGTTCCTTTGCAGTAAGCTCCATCTTCAGCTGTTCTGCACGTGCCTGCGTCGCGGCAGCTTCCTGGAGAGCAATCTCCATGCGCTGCTCCTTGCCCTGGAACTCGCGCTCGACCGCAGTTAGCCGGGCGATTTCACCCTTGAGCTTCTCGATTGTTGCCGTGCTGATATCAATTGCCTCCATGTTTTGTTCCGACTCAAGCCGTTGCTTCTCGTACTCCTCAATAATCTGCCGCAGGCTTGCACACTCCTTCTTTGTCTTTTCCAGCTGCTGCTTGAGATCACGACTTTCGACCGCCCACTTTTTCTGCTCTTCTCGCAGCGCCCGAAGTTTGTTGGACAGGTCAGCCTCCCGCTTCAGGGCCATGTTACGACGCTGATCAAACTCCTTCTTGATCTTTGCTTCTCCCCTCTTGGCCTCGTCGAGCCGTTGTCGCAAGCTGCGGTTGGCCATCATCAGGTTCTGCGTCTCAGCTTCGGTCGCCGAGACCCGGATCTGCCTGCGTCGTAGCTCACCCATGTGTGACATATGTTGTTGTCGGACGAATCGTTCGTACTGCAGGTCATTTAGCAGTCGATGTCTCTGGTAACGTAGCAAGGAGACTTGTTCGATGATCTCCACGCCTGGTCTGCTTTCATCTGCCGTTGTTCCTCGTCTCGAAGTTGACGGATACTCGCGACTCTTTTCCATCCCTTGATCTTGCGTGCCAAAGGCTAGTGATGGAATGCTGTCACTAGTTAAGGACTGCCGCAAGGCCTCTTTCGCACCTTGAGCCGTTTCCCGAGGAAGCTGCTCAGGAATCGGCGACGGAGACGGGCTATCATTTGCCACCCCTGAGAAGTAGCTCAGCTGGGATTCTGGGCGCCCTGGTGTGCTATTGCCATGGCTATGTGACAGAGATTTAGAGGAAAGTGCTTTGTTATAAGTCAGATCGTCACACTCTGGATCGCCAAGCAGAGCAAGTTCACCTCCATCTTGATCCAAATCGTCATCCAGCAAGCCTTCTGGGGGAGCCGGTGTGCCTGACCGAGCATGGGGAAACCTGCCCTGGCCCCGATCCACCACCAAGGCCATGCAGTCGGCAATGATTTCATCCGCCTCGCTCTTAAGCCAGCGGGTTATGTTCGTTTTCTCGGTCTCGATTGTGTACTCGTAGAAGTTTGGGTGCAAAAGATGCTGCTTCCGGAAGCGTTCGGACCGTTCCCGAATTTCCGCTGCATGCACGTCGATGTCATCGTCGCTGCCGGCATGGGGCAAGTAATTGTGAGGTTTCCGGATGTAGTCGACAAAGTTGATGGGATACAATCCGTAAAGGATTGTAAAGTATTCTGGGAGATAGGGTACCGAGTGGCCATCGTAATCAGGATCAAGGAGTACTTTATCCCAAGGAGTGTCGGTGCCGGACTCGCCATGGTTCTCTCCCATCTCCGTGTGCTGCTGAGCGAAATAGGAATCGCGGTCCCAGAATAGCAGTCGAGCATAGATGTTGAACAAAGTAGGCAGGTACGGGACTATATCTCCCGGGAAGAAAGGCAAAAGCATGACGAGAGCAATGAGGGCCAAGTTGACGGTAAATGTCGATTCATCTTTTTGCAGCGACTGTAGGATGTTACCGAAAAGGGGCGTCTGCAAGATAAGGTAGAGATGCGGTGGCCCGCTGTTGACGAAGGCACATAAAAGGCTGAATGCCGAATTACGGTGCTCCCTCCTTAGCACGAAGGCATTCAGAGCATTCATGAAGCCCTTTGGGTCCTTTTTTCCAAAGGCCAAAAGAGCGTCCGTAAGAACCTGCTCCTTGAGGTCGGTCGACGGGCGAAAATCGGCCCGAGACTCGCGCAACTCCATCCAACGAACGAGCAGCCGATTCAACCAGGGTATAAAGCCCTCCTCGCCCCAGGCCTCGGGGTCATCGTACTCGCTCGAGGACAAAATCTCCAGCGTGAAGTCCATAAAGCTCCGCGCCAAACCCTTCTCGCGGGTGGCATTGTCCAAGACCGGGTCGAGGAGCTTATCCCACCATTGGAATGTCCTTGCAGGCGCCCCGAGACCGGGTCGCAGCTGGCGCAGAACAGCCACAAAGGCTGCGTACTTCTCGGGATGGTCCTGCACCGCCTTGTCCCATATAGCAAGCAATTCATCGTTCAGTCGGTCGCCCGATCCCTCCTCGGGCTTGTCGTGCCTTTCGAGATAACTGGAGATTATGGCATCGAGGTCGGCGGGCGGGGGAAGGGTTGGCGTCTGGATGAAGCTGTTGAGAGCTCTGAAGAGATCTCGGGAGGACCTGGTTCGCCGCAGAGGATCAGAGTCAGACACCCAGTTCTCGGCACTTGTGGCCAAAGACACGCATGGTCATGGTAAACGTACCCGGATGAAGTCATCCTGATCAATACGACTTGCGGCGCATTGGAGAAGCAAGCTTAAGGTTGGGAGCCGGAACCGGTGGATCGCCCGGCAAACCCGGGAACCTTGACAGCTTCCTGGGCCCTTTAGAGGCGGATAGTGCTTGCTTCAGCCAGAACGGTGTCGACGGCGCAAACGTATTGACTCTGAGCACGTAGTGGGTACTTGAGGGTAAAACATAGATGTTTGTGCTGATTCAAGACTTTGACTCCGGTTGAGTAAATTGTTACGGTGTTACTCCTTTCATTTTTTTTCCCTCCTCTGGTTATCAGCGAGCAAGGTCAAAACTCCACATCCACACACTGTGGTGTGCGCCGCACCTGAGAAAGCACCTCACCCCTCCTGTCCAACTGCCATCACTCTGCTCTCCCCACCGCTGCGCAGTCTTTCTGATCGAAGTTCCAGCACCCTCCCCCAATTCGGCAGGCCCCACCATGTGACCAGCGCCCAGGCTCTGTAGCTCCACTCAACTCTCGTAACCCACGCTGTCCACAGCGGCTCAGCTCGCTGCTGGTCCGTGCTCCTCACCCCGCACTTTTTTTCGGCTGCGAACAGCAAAGCGGTGGGTCAAACCCCAGAGCGTTGAGTGGATGAGGGATCGTCCGATGCATGGTCTGAGGGGTCAGCTTCTCGGCGCCAGGGCCGGGGCCGGTCCCGTCCAGTTTGCCCCTCCTGGTGGGGTTTAGGATTGACAGCTCTCGTGACCGACCTGCTCAGGTACCCCTCCGTGGCAGGGCATATAGGGATACAAAAATGCCAGCTGTTCCGTCCCGACGCATTTCTGTTGACTCTTCTATGCTTCACACAGCTTTCTTCGCACCAATTCTTCTCTCCAACACGCACTCTCGTCTCTTCAGCCCCAATTGCTGCGCCTCTGCTTGATAAGGAGGTGCATTCTTCGTCTGTAGATCGCGGAGCACTTACATCGCCGCGATCTTCCCAACAACACATTCTCCCTACCACAACACATCAACAAGGTCGTCAAGATGAGTGCAAAGACGTCCGCAGTGGCAGACGAGCCTATCCAGGTTCTGTTTGCCCTGCATACCGGCTTCAACCTCATGGACTTTGCTGGTCCAGTTGAGGTTTTCTCCAGCGCCCTGCATGACCTGCAGGATCCAAGTGCGTAACCTGTCACTGCCCTGGTGGTTTCCCGCAACCGGTTTGGCGCATTACTGACCCCATTGGGTAACAGCCTCCAAAGCCTTTGATATCACCATCGCGGGCGATGACACCAGCGTGGTCTCCGATCAGGGTGTGATTGTCAGCACCCAGATCTCTTGGAAGGAAGCCCACGAGCGATTGGAGGAGTGGGATGTGGTCGTCGTGCTTGGCGGCAACACTAGCCGCATTCTCAAGAGCAACGAGAACGAGCCCCTCCCGCTGATCAAGGCCTATGCCGAACTCCAGGAAAAGGACCCAAGCCGTGAGCGTACGCTCCTCTCCATCTGCACCGGTGCTCTGTTCCTGGCCCGACAGGACATCCTGCTTGGCCTGGCTGCCACCACTCACCCCGATTTTATGACTACCTTCGAGAACGAGTGCAGCCAAGCCGTCGTACGTACCGGCGATAAGCGCACCGATGTCCACGAGGACGCTCGCTATGTAGTGAACAACCTGCGCTTTGACGTCGGCGACGACGACCCTTATGTCAAGACCAAGGAGGAGCTATCTGATAGACGCCCCTCGAATGCTCGGTATGTTTCTTTTCGTTTGCAACTGCTATCACGGCATCTCGCGCAAAACTAACGGTGTGATTAGGAAGGGTTCTATTTCCTTCAAGCAGTCGAGGCGGAGGGAGTCGATCGCCCGTCGCGAGGAAATGCGCTTGGGCGGTTTGCGTGTTATTACGAGCGGTGGCGTGGCTGCTGGCATCGACGCCGCCTTGTACGTGGTTAGCGCCCTTGTTTCTATTGAGTCAGCCAACGAAGTTGCCCGGTTCATGCAGGTTACGTGGACTAAGGGCGTCGTTGTCGATGGCGTCGACGTGTAAATGAGTTAATGGATAAACGGGTAATAGGGGGTAGGTCGGTTCTGGGTTTGGTATTCCATGGATATTTGGTATTGGGAGCAATTGATTGAGCCAAGCGGCCATTGGCACTTATAGTGTTTCAGCAATATGATTTGAAGCATTTGACTTGGACCATATCTGCAACCACCTTGCGATAACAACCTGATGGTGAAGGTGAGGGCTGGCAATCAGGGCTTGGCGCTATGTTCAGGCAACCTGTGGTGGGGGTTATGGGGAAGGGATCAAGCTTCCATGTCTCCAATCTTTGTAGTCGATGTGGGACCGACCCCTCCCATGCTCGTCACCTGACAGCGGCCCGACAACGGTAATGCCAAGCCCTAGAAAATCTGGGCTCGGGAAACATCGAGACGACATCCGACATCCAAAAGTTGAGCCTCGAGCGGCGGTTTCGCGGTTCAAGTTTCCGGTCGGTTTCTCAACTCTTGACGAGGCGCCCGTTTCGACCCTCAATTAAAGATCAAACACAATGGCGACCTCGGCGGCGACCGCAGTCCAACAGGCGGCGACCAAGGCGCCGTTCAAGATCGGCACAAAACAAGTCTTTCTGTACGATCCTCCTCCGTCCGCCTGCGGTTGAGCCCCAGAGACAGTCTCAACCGATACGCAGGACGTGCCCAGATACTAACGAATCCCTTCTCTGACAATAGGCCGAACCACGTCATCGCCTTCATCCGGCCCAAGCCCCGGCAGCCGCCCAACCTGGCGACCTTTGTCGTCCCCCTCACGTTCAACAAACTCGACCTGCGCGACTACTTGTACCATGTCTACGGCGTCGAGGTGACTTCCGTACGCTCCTTCATCAACCAACCCGCACCGCAGCGTAAGAAGTATACGGGCCAGTGGTTTCGGCCGCGGGCACAAAAGATGATGATTGCAGAGCTGGTCAAGCCATTTGTGTGGCCTGAACCCCTGCCGGAGGAGGAGCGCGATGCGTTTGATTACAAGATGTTCAGTCGCATGGCAAAGTATCGTAAGGATATGGAGAAGCAACTGTATGAGAAGCCGGATCCCAAGCTGCGCACGCAGAAGCCGGAGCCGGAACCGGTGGTTGGGTTGAAGCAACAGGTGAAGGAAATCATTGAATCTGGGGAGTGGACGAACGAAAAGACGTTGAATGTTAAGTGGTTGGACGCGCAATGGAAAGAGGTAGAGAAGGATATCAAGTTTTAAGTTTGGGGAATGAGAGAGGGAAATAGAGGATGAGAGGATGGAAGGATGGAAGAACGGGTAGATTGGGATATGAGTGGATGTTAAGATCTCAAACACCGGGATGAGAACAGGGTTTCGGTGGTGTATAATATCACGCAATAGACCGGGCCAGTTCAATGTACAAGTATATTTGTGATACCAGCCATAATTCTTTGACTATAACTCATCAGGCTCTATGCTCGGATCGGTAGGCTCATCTGCCTGGTCAACCCAACATTCCCTCCGCTGAAACAACAAAACCTCATCCCCCCAAGCCCACCAGCCAGCCGTCATACTCCTCGCAAATACCTCAAGAGCTTCGTACCTCTCCGGCAACAGCTCCTCTTCGAACAACGCTCTCAAGTTGGGCTTCCTTGAATGTGCATCCGGCACAGCAAGAATTACCTTATCTTTCACCGGTCCCTTCATGGCATGTCCATAAAACCCCTTCTTCCTCGCAATCAATAGCCTCTCCCACGGCCTTCGCCACACCGATTCTAACCCAACTATCGGCTCGCCTCTCGCCGTGATTTTTAACCACGTCCACTCGCCTACCAACTCAACCCCCCACTCATCAAAAACGCTGCTGTTGCCGCCTGAGGCAGTCAGAAGCAGGTCTGTAAAGCGTGCAGAGTTGGTCACCCACACGGCGACATACCCTCCGGGGGCGAGGTGTGCGGCCACGGGGATTTGGTTGAGCAGAGAACGGATGGAAGTGAGGTCTGTTGCGGTGTTGTAGGCGGCTGAGGGGTCCCCTCGGGAACCGCGCTTGCGCTTGCGCTTGGCAGAGCGGTTCGGCCATGGAGGGTCGAGGAGGATGAGGTTAAATTGGGGGGCTTTGGAGAGGAAGGTCGCACGAAGGGAGGAGATAGTGCCGGGGAGGAAGTGTGATTTGGGAGGAATGAGATATGGAGATAGGGGTTCTCCGGAGAAGGAGGAAGCCATGTCGGGCTGTTCGACTTCGCCAGACAGTTGAGGTCCTGCTCCAGGAGCCCTCGGAGGTCGCGACCCCTTCTCTGTTGTCTCCGGGGCTAGTGCCGAGAGTGGAGTCGGAGTCGGAGCCGGACAAGGGGGGGAACTGGCACGTGGACTCGGTCCGGTGGGCGGCTGGAGCTTGGGCTGGGAATGGTGTTGGTGAGGGGCAGCGATAGCGGCAGCGGCAGTGACACGGGGCAGACACCAGGGCCCGTCATATGAGGTCTTGATTTCGTACAACGCAGATTCAACAGCCGCTTGCGTCATCAACTCGGCCACCTGGGCTGCGTGCGACGACGCCGATTGTGTGGTATACAGACCATTGCTGCAGCCAGCCTTCTTGGGCTCCGGGGTTGGGAATGGACACGTCGGAGGCGGCGCGGAGATCAGCCTGCGGAGCTTTCTCCTCTCCGTGGGGAACAGCAGTTTGAATCCAGAGCCAGATGCAGACGCAGACGCACATGCGCTGGACAAGACCTGCGCCTCTTCAATCGACCGCGGCAGGTCGAGCAGCACGACCGTCCTGCTTTTATTCTGCCATAGGATGCACGACGGCTTCATCCCAAGACACTGCTGGTTTTCGTAAGTAACACCGGTAGCCCAGCAGGAGCTTCGCTGCATGAAGCTTCGCGGGAATCTGGTGATGATGGGGAAAGTCTAGTGAAGTACCGCATCCAACAAGACACACGACACACGCATCGCTCGGCGGGCAAATCTCAAACCCGGCCCGCTCTGGTTGGCTCGTGACCCAGCAGTCCAGCGCAGGGGGCAGCGGGGCTGGCGCAGGCACCTGCCAGGGTGCCAGGGTTGCTGTCGGGATCTGCCAGGGCTGTAAGAGGGGTGCGATGCCACCGCAACAGGGCCAACGGGAGCAAACCGGGTGTCGGCAATCCTCGGCATCGTGGAGGCGGGGCGTGCAGGCGGTTTAAAAAGAATGTGAACCCGTGGGCTCCCCGTCATGGACAGAGGAAGAAGGGAGATGACGTTTTCCGGCATTTGGATCATTTCCAATCCCCCTTCCCTTCCTCATCAGCACCCACATCGCTAATTTCGCTCGCGACCCCACTGAAGTAGCCCTCAGCGACGAGATATTTTTTAAAAAAAGTTTCCAGAATTCCACGCCCTGTCGTTGACTCGAGGCTTTCGATTTTCTAATCACGACCTCCTCTCCAAGACCAAACCTTTTTGACGGAGAAAGAATAGTCGCAACGCCGAGTGATGGCGATGCGCTGCTAGCGCGGCCCATCAAGCACTCTCAACTTCATTTATCTCTTGCGCGCCCTCGTCAGAGACGGCGGAGCGCAAGCCCTTTCCAGCGGGAATGCCCCCGGCCCCGGCTCTCATGGGCCATGCCTCCATGCCGGGGGTCTCGCCGTCCCATCCGCATCGCCTGCAGCAGGATGTGAACGTCAATATCGTCGGTGTTAGCGAGTCGTCGCGCGGGGGGGCAGCAGCAGTGGCAGCTCCTCCTACGGCAAAGGAACCGGCTGTCTGCCCGACCGACGATGAGGCCAAGATCCCGCGCGCAAAGTCCGCGAAGGACAAGCGCAGCTTTGATTACGTGTGGAAGTCGGGTGTTGCGGGGGGCATGGCTGGCTGCGCGGTATGCGATTCTTTTTCTTTTCTTTTCTTTTTCTTTTTTGGCCAACCATCGGGTTGGATGAGTTGGAGTTGCTGACGGAGTGTGTTGTTGCAGGCCAAAACAGTCGTTGCGCCACTCGATCGAGTCAAGATCCTTTTTCAGTCCCATAATCCGCATTTTGTGAAATACACAGGTTCCTGGTTCGGGGTAGGCCAGGCTATCAAGGACATCTACCAGCAAGACGGGCCGCTGGGGCTGTTCAGGGGGCACTCGGCAACCCTCTTGAGAATCTTCCCCTATGCGGCAATTAAGTTCCTGGCTTACGAGCAGATCCGAGCCATCGTCATCCCCCGGCGTGACAAGGAGACGCCCTTTCGACGCCTCATCAGCGGCTCCCTCGCTGGTGTCACTTCGGTTTTTTTCACCTACCCCCTAGAGGTTATCCGCGTTCGCCTGGCGTTCGAGACCAAAAAAGACAGTCGGTCGACGTTCCGGTCGATATGTAGGCAAATTTACCACGAGCGACACAGCCCGAAACCCACACCCGCTGCTACTGCGGCAGCAGATCTCGCGGCGGGCGTTTCGGCTTCCTCTAGTCATGCAGCAGCTGTTGCGGTTGCGCCCCGTGCCCCCAGTTTCGGCCTAGCCAACTTCTATCGCGGCTTTTCCCCGACCCTCTTGGGCATGCTTCCCTACGCTGGCATGTCGTTCCTCACGCACGACACCGTTGGTGACTTGATGCGCCATCCGCTGATAGCCAAGTACACGACGCTGCCGCGGCCCGAGAACCATCCTCCAGGCAAGCCTGCACCCCTGCGGTCGTGGGCCGAGCTTTTTACTGGAGGTATTGCCGGACTGGTCTCGCAGACAGCGTCGTACCCGCTTGAGGTCATCCGGCGACGGATGCAGGTTGGTGGTGCGGTTGGGGATGGGCACCGGATGAGGATCGGAGAGACAGCGAAGATGATCATGCGGGAGCGGGGCATCCGTGGGTTTTTTGTTGGGTTGACCATCGGCTATGTCAAGGTGGTGCCCATGGTTGCAGTGAGCTTTTACACATACGACAGATTCAAGACGTGGTTAGGCATTTAGACGTTTGGGACACACTATTCTGTTCTATCGTTTTTTTTCTGGGGCGGCTTGAAACAAAGCACAAGATTGGCGTTTGGGCGGCGTTTTTGTCACATCAACCGGTATAAGCAAGAGAACCAGGTGCATAGGCTCTCATTCTTTTTTTTCTACCTCTCTTTATCTGGCATGGTTTGGGTTGAATAGTGGGATGCTGCATAAATCAGATCGGTTATTCTGATGTAGAGGCAGTAGGGAATTCAAATGCAAACCCTCTCTGTTCAGACATGGCAGCTGGGTGGCCCAACCTCATCACGCTTGACTTTCTCTTTCCGAAAGTAACTACAGCCGCTACTATACGGCCTGAAGACTCAACTCTCAAAAATAGGGCAGGTCCGAGCGTGTGTTAAATGTTCAGGTTCTACTGGAGGTCTTGCATTTTTCGTGTTATGACATCATAAGGAGGAAGTCTTCGGTTACAACCAAAACGGAACGGATGTCTTCGAATCCCTACCACCGGTTGTCCTCCAACTGGTAGACTCGGATTTTGTACACTGAACTCGTGGGCATTTCGTCGCCAAAACATCTCCACTCAGTAAGAACACGGCACTTGATTTTAAGTGACAATAGGACATCATATTCGCGAGTCGATTAAGTCACAATGGGTAACATCGACGATCCTACCAATAACATCAACAAGCAAATCCTCAACCGCCCGATCAGGCACAACCAATATATTGAAGACCCTCTCAAGCACTTCCTTTCCATCCCTTGGGCTGCCAGACTTCTGCAAGATCCCGATTTGGTTGAGATCATCGTGCCTGACCGCTCTCACTTGCCCTCAGGGGACTTACAGTTCACACGTAAGGTCATGAACGGACCAGGCTGTGTCCGCGCCTGCGTCGCCTTCCGTCGACCCGTACCGCCAGAACAGCTGGTAGTTAAGGTACTGTCGGTGAACGAGTCCCTTCTCAATTCAAATGAGTTAAATCAAGTGAAGGGGCTGGGGATATTAAACGCTGAGAGGGAACGGTATATCGGTTCGCCTAGGCCTTGTCCGTCGGACTTTGGTTTGCTGGAAGAAGCCGGGCCTGATTATGGCGAGAGCAAGGAAAAGCCGTTTTTGCTGCTCAACGCGTTGTTGGACGTGGGCAAGGATATGACCAGCTATGAGAACTGCCTTCACGGAGGGGCAATCATGGCCTTTCTAGATGAGAGCATGGTTTCCGCCGCGCATAACCTTAGTAGTGAGTTCTCTCCCTCATGTCAATTGGCTTTAACGAGAACCGACGAGAAGGCTGACCGCAGGGGTGATGCAGAACACGCAGTCACGGCCGAGATGACAACTACTCTTTTGAAACCTGTCAGACTTCCCTGCATCGTGCTTGTGAGAGCCAGAGTGATCTCCCGGATGGGGCGTAAAATGGTTGCTAGAGCAGCGCTCGAGAATGAGAAAGGTAAATGCCCTTCTGAGAATTTTTGCCTCGGACGCTCAGGAGACTAACGTTTTATCGAAACCTGCTTTAGGCGAGATTCTGGCTAGATCTCAAGGAGTTCTTATCGACATGACGAGTAAACTTTGAGTCATACATGTCGAATGAATATTCAGTGTTATTCCCTCTGTTGATCACAAAGAGCTTGTATTTTGTGGTTGAAGCAACTATCTGCTTAGTTACAGGAATGGCATAGGCACCTACATTATTAGGCTTAAGGAGATGCTGGAGACCTCATTTGGGGGGTGGGGGGGGGGCAGGGGGGAAGGTAGAGCGGAGGGGCAAGAATATTGGGCATAGGTCGACGCCAACTTCCAAACGTTTGCAACAACAACCCCCCCTTTCTCTCTTCCCTTTTTTTTCTCGGGGCAAGTCGACACAAGAAGAGATGCTTATTGGAAATTGGAAATCAAACAAATGACTGAACTATTAGCCACATCCAAGCCCTCCGGGAAACCCACTCAAAACCTGTGCCCATCGTAAATAATTCTTAAAGTTTCTTTGTTTGTATGAATATCATCATGGAGCTCTGCTTTAATTAACCTTCCTCAAAAAGAGCAAAGACACTGCTATGTGCTGGATGCTGTTGTGGTCAGAATTCTGATTTCAAGGGAGCCCTCTAGCTTAATCGCCAGCCCACAACACCGTTGGCGGCGAAATGGAGAAGACCCACTTCATCCCTGGTCAGTGCCAAGACATGGACAGCGACGACGCGGTCCAGGGTTGCAGGACGCGTTACGCTGCGCCTGACTTGACTGAATTCGAAGTAAACTCCAAAAGTTGATTCTTTCACCGACACAGTTCACAGCGCCTTCTCACTGTCACGATGCCCTGCAGCCCGGAAACTCATATTTTCTGAGAAAACATCTAGGAAAAAAAAGTAAGAAGTTTAGACGATGGCGGGCCGCAGCGGCGCAACAGCCACCAGGAAAAGAACCCGCGAACAAAGTGAAGATGATACGACAACGACAACCACAGCGACCTCTGCCACAAAGAAGCAACGCATCAAGTTATCAGACAACAAAGCCACTGCCACCAACTACAGCTTGCATGATGCCAACCCTGTCACTAAAAAGGCCTCAGCCACAAGGCGTGGAGCGCCCAGTCTTGCTGCCAAGGCCACGAATACTCAGTCTGCAAAGACAGATACTTGGGAAGTGCCCGACTCTGAGGAAGAGCGGCATAAACCGGCCATAAACAAGCCAGACAAGCCGAACCCCAAGAGGTCCCAGGATGCTGTCTCATCGAAACAGAAATCCAATGTCTACGATGTCCCAGACTCCGACGAGGATGAGCTGGCCAACCCTGCCGTGACAAGGCAGTCTCGGCTTCGTCGATCTCACCATGCTTCTTCTGTCCCGGCTGCTGTTGATGCAGCGCCTCAGCCTGCTAAGGAGGAGGATGAGCCAGAACCACCAAAGAAACGCCGTGGTCGGCCTCCTAAAAAGTTCAAGGAGTCTCAAACTTCGACAGTCAACGACGAGACGGCCATTGTTACACGTGAGCCTAGCCCGACAGCGCCTCGACCATCCACCCGAGCAACTGGTCGGGTAAGGCCATCATGCAATGGAGCGGTCAATAGTGACAAGACCGCTGCTGGGGTGACAGTAGTTGCGAAGGCTTCTAGCAAAGAGCCGGCAAATGACCATACGGACGGGCACGAGTCTCGGCCATTGAAAGGAATTTTGACTCCTCGAAAACAGCGAGGCGACGCAAATCATCTTCGGGCTGTGAAGAGTGTGGCCTTCGATGACAAGCCAGACGAAGATGCTCTGGATAGCCTCGCGACCCAAACTCCATCCAAGTCGAACAGAAAGCCCCAGCAGGATGCTACCAGGAAACTGAAGGTCACTGATACTGAGCCAAAAGCCAAACCTCAGGACTCATCGCAAGAGTCCGGCGAGGAAGAGGAGGATGATGAGGTGTGCGCCATCTGTCTGAAGCCCGACTCGGCCCCTCCAAACGAGATTGTCTTCTGCGACAGCTGCGACATGCCCGTGCACCAAGAGTGTTACGGCATCCCAGAGATACCCGAGGGTGAATGGATCTGCCGCAACTGCTCGCAAGAGGGAATTAACTCACGGGGGGAAGGAGTTGCGTATGAAAGTAACACAGCTATTGGAGCACTCGAGGAGCAACGGCCGGATATACCTAACTTTGATCAACACCTTCAGCTGGCTCAGAGGGTACTGCTTGATCGCTGTGCGGGCAGGCGTCGGATAAAGCTTCGTGGACAGGATGATGCCTATAAGAAGGCTCATCAGCTTGTTGAGCAGACTGTTGTTGCTGGTGAAGGCAACTCTATGCTTGTGATCGGGGCTCGCGGGTCTGGCAAGACTACGGTAGGTTTTAGTTCGCCTTGTTTACTGGAAAGTACCAGACTGACACGTGTCGCAGCTTGTGGAATCTATCATCCATGATATGGCCAAGAACCACGGAGACGACTTTCATGTCGTCAGGTTGAACGGCTTCATCCACACGGATGATAAGTTGGCATTGCGGGAGATCTGGCGGCAGCTGGGCAAGGAGATGGAAGTGGAGGATGAACTGGTCAACAAGGTATGGTTTACATCTCTAGTCGACTCCCATATCTCTGCTAACCAGAGACAGACAACCAACTATGCTGACACCATGGCATCTCTGTTGGCTCTCTTATCTCATCCCTCTGAGATAGCTGAAACGCAGGAGGGCGTGACGTCCAAGTCGGTCATCTTTGTGATCGATGAGTTTGATTTGTTTGCCACTCATCCTCGGCAAACACTGCTCTACAATCTGTTCGACATTGCCCAAGCCCGAAAGGCCCCTATCGCCGTGCTTGGTCTGACCACGAGGATTGACGTCGTCGAAAGCCTTGAAAAGCGAGTCAAGAGTCGCTTTAGCCACAGATACGTGTATCTGTCGTTGCCAACAAGCCTGCCGGCGTACTGGGATATCTGCAAACAAGGACTCACGGTCGACAACGAGGATATGCTATCAGAAGGCATCGACCCTGCCTTGGAAGGTCATCATGCCTTCTGGGATTGGTGGAATGGAAGGATAGAATCGCTGTACAAGACCCAGAGCTTTGCGGATCACTTGGAATCGTACTTCTACCGGTCAAAATCCGTCGCAGCTTTTTTCACCAGCTGCATCTTGCCACTTGCCAGCCTTTCGCCTACTGCGCCATTCCTCACGATTCCTGCCACATCCGGTTTGGCGGCGATCGTTTCACTTGAGCCGCCAGACTCTAAGTTACACCTCTTGAGTTCGCTCTCTGACTTGGACCTCTCAATGCTGATTGCAGCCGCCCGCCTCGACATCGTGGCACATACCGACACGGTCAACTTTGCTATGGCGTACGACGAGTATACGTCGCTGATGAGCCGGCAGCGCGTGCAGTCGGCCGCCTCGGGCATGCTGGCTCTCGGCGGCGGCGCGCGAATATGGGGCCGCGGAGTCGCCAGCATGGCATGGGAGCGTCTGGCGACTCTTGGTCTGCTCGTCCCTGCTGCGCCGGGTGGCAGAGGCATGGCCGGCCTGGGCGGGCTGGATGCCAAGATGTGGAAAGTGGATGTTGCGCTGGAGGAGATTCCTGCTGCTGTCAAGCTAAACGCGGTGCTAGCTAGGTGGTGCAAGGAGATTTGATTTTGATTCCAGATCTTTGGGAACACCTGTATCGCAGAAGCCTGCATGGCAGTGCCACTTCAGCAGCTTACGTGAGCCAGTCGGGATTTGTCCATGTCATCCGGCTGCCAAACGTCACATGCGGAAATCAACTCTCTCAGCATTCCTTTGTATGGAAGTGCACTATAATAAGGCCAAACAGTGCTGGCTGAGCGAAGGGAAAGCATCTGGGCACCCGAAGAAACGCTGCCATTGTCCTAGATCTGGTATTGCACCTGATCGCCCAGTCGGCAGTTCGAGAAACCTCCGAATTGCAGAACCACCACTAGGTCCGGCCAGTCAGACGTCGGGGATTCTATTTTCGGATGCACCGCCTCTTTCCCCCCCCCCCAGGCTTCCTGCCACCGCGCCCGTTTTGGTGCGGCACCGAGATTTCAAGAAAAGCAAACAACACCAGATGCAAGCATGCGCCACACACACAATCTGGCGGTCCGCGGCAGCGGTCGCAGTCGCATCCGTTTTAGCTGGACGGCAGTGTTGATACCCAGACTCGGTATCTTCTTGTCGGTGTATATACTCCTGTGCTGGTAGTCTGCGATCGGGCATCGAATATCTCTTTCTTCCCCTATCGACAATGCAAAACGTCACCCTCTCTTAGTTGGACCCGTTGGGCTAATCTGCGGCTCTCATTTTTGTTTCGAACCTCAACCATGTCGAAGCGCACAGTGTTCACCACTGTAACACCACTCCCTCCGGGAGTGACACGCCAAATTGTCTTGGATTTCCTTCATGATCACGAAGAAATGATCGATTTGAACCCTTTAGTCAAGGAGCGCCACCCTATCCCAGTCCCAGCCCATGCTTCTTTCGACGAGCAAGACTGCCTGTGGTATTCCCTCACTGACAAGGTCTCATACCTTCCTGGTGTTACTGGAGATGTGTCATATACATGTGCATTTCGCGACTTGCCGAACGGATTGTCAACGCATTGTTATGCACCAGCAGGGCTAAGTATGTCCGACGTACCACCACATAGGATAGGGTTGAGCACATTGCTAATATGCCTCTTTTCTCAGCCATCCGCGACAAATGGACCGTAGGCGGTACTCTTCCCGGCGAGCCACCTCAGCCCATTGAGTTAGATCTCAACGCCCCTTCGGTAGGACTCTATCTGCGCGAGGATGTCGATATGCGCTGCAATGTCATCATGACCGGTTTCGTCAAGAAGACCCTCAAGAAGGCACATGCGGTGCTGGTCGAGCGGCTCAAGGTCAAGGCCGAGATTGCGTGTGCCAGCCGCGCTCGTGCCCCAAGAAGTAACTCGCCAGAGCCACTTGACACGCTTGCTGTTGCTGTGGGTGTGCCTATCAATGTCAACAGCCGACCTACAAATGTCCTAGCTGGCCGAAACCCCTCCGCAGGCTCGAGCTCGTCAGTCAGTTCTTGGGATAGTGTTAGTCCCATCTCATCTTCATCATCGGTGTATTCTCAGTCTGATAGCAGCTTGGCTTCTGCTGCCCGTCCTTGGGTGGTCACCGACACGACCAAGCCAGTCAAGCCGTTTGCCGAAAACTCTCCAACAGCAAGACTCAATTGCAATGCCAGCTTCGGAAAGCAGTATATACCTTGGCCAAGCCCGGACGTGGCAGCCCCAATACCAACCAAGATGGCACCCGACACGCCATTCTTGTCCGGACGGACACCAGACTTCTCTTTGCCCGCAGTGCCGATTCTCCCTGCCATTTCCATTCCCCTGGTGGCCGAGCCAGAGCCCGAGGCGCCTTTTTTGTGCTCAAATCAGCCCGATTGGCCTTTGAAATCCTCTCCTTCTAATACCTCTACTACTCCTACCTATCTCACCAGCTCCATTGGTGTCGCTGTCGAGTCTGCCGCGGCGATGGATTCCTTGGCACCACGCCTGGGCCAGCCACAACTTGGGAAGAAGAATGCTTTCAAGCCATATCCAGGACAGCAGCGGGATGCAAAAAAAACCGCTATTAGTATCGTCCCCCCAGTCAGCGACTGCACTGTCATCTGTACGGGAAAGCTATCGGACGATAAACTATGGCAAGCCCTGGGTGGCGGGGAGCGAAAATGCTCTTCCGTCGCTGTCCCTGCTGGTAACGTGAATGGTGTGGGTTCGAGTTCAAGCTCAGGTTCAAACTCGGGTTTGGCAACTCCAAAGGGCCAAGAACGTTTCAGGAGCCAGGACGATAATTACAGTTACAACAAGAAAAACTGGATTTTCAACAACGCTTCTAGTTGCCAGTACCAATATCTGAGCCATCCAGATTACCCACACATGAGCCCTTACGACAACGAGAACGGCACTGCTGGCAGCCAAGTTAAAAGTGGAGTAACGAAGGAAGATATTCTGGAACTTGCACCTGCTCCATTGCAGGTGGGACGGACGGGCGGTGAGAGGTTAAGCAGGCCTTTTATTCCGAGTTTTGAGTAAAACTTTGAATGCTGCATAGAGCTGAAGGTCACGGGCTCCGGGCTCTTGTGGTTTCATGATGGTGTTATCCGTGTGGGGAGAAATAGATTTTGCATTACGGAAGGACAGGTATATGCTTTCACCGCTTGTTTATATGGAATAGAATGCATTGATACCCGGGAAAGGATAGAAAAGTCATTTTGTTGCTTTCTTGTTTTCAAGATGACTTTTTTTCTAGTAGTGAAAGCAACATACAGGTTAGAAGGGAGGCTCAAAGATGCATGAAATGCCCCCCTATTCAAGAACTCAAGACTTGTCCGGCTGCCTTCTATTCTCACATTACACACTGCACAGAAGACTTAGTGCTCGGCCAACAGGGACCTCATCCAGTAGTGCAATTGACTCTCAGTCATGTGCCATCTCAATACACAACTGCAGGATTACTTGGTTATCGCGAATTCATCCTAAACTAGGCCCATCGCGTTGTCCCGTTCCTGCATCATTGCCCTTCTTTAGTTTCCAACGCTCAAATTCCTACAAATTTCTCCTTGCCCAAGTTACCAAGACGCTTCACAGCGCAAGCCCCGAACATAGCAGCGTGGCCTGCAAGCAGCGCTGCACCAAACCATGTGCAACCGTGCCAGACACAATAACGTACGACGAATTGGAGCCGTCAAGGTCCGATGTTGCAGATGGCGGGCGTTTTGGCAAGACCCAGGAGTGACAAGGTCAACTCTGATTGGGGTTCCGGCTCCGGTACTTTCTCTGAGGTACCTGGGACAAAAAGAATTGGTATTGTGGTTGCCGTTGCAATTTCTTCAATCGGAGAAACGGTGTTCAGGATAGGAAAAGCGGAGACATTTTTGAGGCCTTTTAGTTGGGTGGCGAGTGTCACGTAGATTCGGACATTGAGTTGCATAGAGAGACTTCAGAGTCGGTTTCGTTGATATGAAGCGAACTGTTGTCCAAGAAGTGCACCATATCAGAAACAAGGTCGCTAGTGAGCAGCATAGAAGATATCCCCCTGTTGATGGGATTCACGATCTTTGGAAAACTTATATTCGCAAGTCCATGTCCACAGTTGTGGTGCACACATCCGGCAATTGGAGCCCCTTTGCGTGACAAAAACCATGTCAGTGTTTCCACGATGTTGCCAGGCATTTCCTCCCAGCCAGCTCATCCACCTAGCCAGAAAGGGTGTTCCCTTGGCAGCTATTCTACCTTGTTCTCAACGATTAGAGTGCCATGAAGCGTGTCTATCTCTGCCAGAATGGCGCTGTCATCACGAAATCTGTCGATGGCTGAGACGAGGGAGGAAATAAGAGCAGAAAAGAAGTAGTGTTAGCGGGCTGCATTCTAGTGTCGTTCTCTCTCCGTTTCGTCATATGGAAACTGGAATTGGAACAATCAGATTAAACGAGCAGTGTACGTTGACCCAGAAAAATTATCACGACGGAAGTTGAGTGTCGGGAGGATTTAGGAAGAGAATGATCAAGCTTGAAGAAAGACCATGCCATCTGTTCAATCCTCCCTTGGAATAGAGACACATCCCTCAAATCTCTTTAAGATTTGAGCGACAGCAAATTCAGGGATCAAAACGACGGGCTGATAATGGACATCGTCAAACATGATGGAGCAACCTTCCGAATGTTCTCTTCAGCCCATGATAGATCAAAACTATCATGTCCGTCCGATCTGACATGCAAGAAAAAAAATTACTGTAGAGGGTCATTCAGATGCACAAATAAGGAGTAAAGTTTCACTTCCTACCCACAATGATCCGGTACACAATTGAGCTGATTATAATCAGATAGGCTTTTCTTCCCTTCCATTGACATAAGCACAACCGTTACAACCGTCTTGTAGCGACATTTTAACATGAAAATGCCTTGAGACTTGTCTACTACGTTAACTCCTTTCTCTTCATCAACCCTCCACACACACCCAACCAATCCCTGCATGCACCTCTGATCACCCAACCCGGAACGCCTTGTCATGAGCCTTAAAAATGACGGCCATTGAACCTCGCCCGTATGTCCGTTTCCACATCGTTCGCATCATATGGAAAGACACCTCCCATGCTACAAAGCCCTCCTCTCCAATCGGCAAGATCTGAGAAAAGGATGAGCGGGAAACGAAGCTATGTAAATCAATGATCATCTCCCCGATCTATGCCACTGTCTGACATATAGAAAAACTATTTTCATACCGAGATATGCAAGGAGATGACGGGCAAATGCGACAAAAAATATAAACAGAGGAAAGGTAAAAGAGGTCACACCATAAGACATTAACCGCCACAGGCAGCTTAGACGACTGTGCCTTCACGCACCGAAAACAAAACGCAACGTAACTCGGCCCCAACGCGTTTCGAGGCAGGCCCGGGAAAAAAAAATCTCGCTCGCTCGCTGAAATTATGGCCAGCATAGCCCAAGACGCGCGTGTGGGATGAGGCTCTCGTTTCGTAACAAAGCAGCTTTTACCCGGCCTTGCGATAAGATTGACTCCACTGCGCAGTTAATTGTCAGACGTCACATGTCACACGATGTAGGCAAATTCAGAGTTGGCTGCGCTGTACCGTCCTAACATCGAAGTCGTAGTTCTTGAGGATATGCTCATACTTGGGGTTCCGGAGGAATTTGGGAACCGAGTCCTGCAAAATTAATCAGCTCGTCCATTCATTCTTCCCCCCCCCCCCCCAAAAAAAAACGAATAGAGATATGCTTACACTAGCCATCAACTTGAAGACAGCGTTCTGGGCATCCGCGAAGAGTTCCATCACGTCGTTAAGGGTCTCGGCAACAGCTTCATCATTCACGGACCTGGTCATGCGAGAAGCAAGGTTATTCCGGAGCTGATGGTCGATGTTAAGCTCGCACGGAGAGCCAGGAGCCAGGAATGCATTGTAAATGCCGTACGCCTGTGCCATGATCTCTCTGAGATGCTCGGTGGCGCCCTCCTTACTACTCGCCTGCTGGTACACCTTGAGAGCTTGCCGACACTGACGCACAAAATCATCAACATCCTGGTAGAATGAAAGGTTCTCCTCGCAGTGAGTGTCGCGGAGGTTCTCGCGGAACAGCAGTCTAAGAGCCGGGTCATTGAGGATTTTATCCAGGCGCTGGGTATTGGAGTTCTGAGAGATAGCCGCCGCGCGGTACGAGGCGTTGTCCCCCTCAGAAGCGCGCTTGGGAGCAATGAGATCCCGGCCCTTGGACGTGAGCTGGTAAATAGCATGCTTCGTCGGCTGGAAAAGGTTGTGCGACGGGAACTGGGAGATGTGGTTCCGGTCAACCTGAACGGATTCGATAAGTTCGTACTCGACAAAGAGCGAGGCGATCTCAACGGTTTCCCTGCGGTCAACTGTCGTGCAGCAATCCATCAACCAGTCAGCCGCCGCCTTGCCGGTGAAGGTCTCCTTGTAAGTCTTGTTGCCGATCTTCCGTTCGGCGGCCATCTTTACACCGGTTATACCGTCTTTGTAGTCAGACAGTGAATCGGAATCGGCCGCGCCCACACTCTGCTTGACGTTGGGACCATTGACGCCAATGAACCTGCGGAAGATAACCTCGATAGTGGCGCGATCGGTAAGGAGCTTATCCGTAGCAGGATCACGTTCCAGAATCACGAGTTGCGATACGGAGGAGCCGATCAAATCGTGGACATGCTTCAGCTGAATACCATTCCGTGAGACGAAGCGGTCTAGAATGCAGATGCCCTTCGGTGTCAGCTGCCATACGGTGCCCTTCATGGTGTAAACCTGCTGATTCTTCCCATCGGCTGATTCGATGAACCTGGCCTCCAGAAAGCGCTGGCAGATCGAGCGAGCCATATCCTTGGCCATAGAGAATGTCGTGGTGGTCGTCGTGGTTACAATCCGGCTGGGATCCTGGGGATCTGGCATTCGGTTGGACTGGGAGAACTTGAGCGAGCTAAGATTGTTGATGGCATCCTCAGACAGGAAGGTGTTTTCCACCCTAGTAAAGCGCACGCGGTGTGAACCGAGTGGGAGAAGACTGACAATCAAGGTCGCAAAGAGGTCTTTGAAGTCCTACGCTCCGAGTCAGCACCGTTTAGTACCACAACTGATTCCTCTATCAATCCCGCCATGCCTCCATCCCTTCGGGGACTCCTGGCAACCCTGCACCCGTTTCTCCTCCCGCGAAGCCAGAGTCGGCAATTGGCTAGAGCGTACCTTGGTGAACGGACGGTCATCGTCCGTCATGCGCAAGAGGCGCGATGACGTCTGGTGCATCTTGCTGTCGTAGCGGGGGGCGCGGATTGGCTTTGGGAAGGACGGATCGGTTTCGGTATACGGCTTTGAAGGGGGATCGCTGGGCAGAATCGTCGAGCTGGGTCGCACGCTGGGGAGCAAGTCGGATCCAGTCGAGACGCGGCCGTTCAATTGGTGTTGACGGAGCTTGGCTTCAGTGATGCCGGTGAGTGTACGATCGAAAAAGGCCAGAAGACCGCTGCTGGATCGCTGCGAGCTGATGGACGGGTTGTTCGAGTGGCGCGAGCGGCTCGTGTGCGGATGCAAAACGTTTGTGGCGCTTATATTATTGCGGTCGCGACTGGCTAACGTCGGGACGGTATCGGTCAATGGCGATGGGCGAGGAGGGTTTGAAGCCGCGGCCATCTACCATCTGTGGGCCAAAAAGATGGGGAGCCAACGGGAAATATGAGGCGTTTGTGAGTGGATGCCGCCGGGGAGCTGGACAGCATTCAGTGCAAATAAAAAGGGAGGGCCGGTAAAGTGAGGAGAGAAGGGTCCACTACAGTGGAGCAGCCAAGGTGCCAGGGTCGATCAGGGTCAGCCAGGGTGGGTCGTGCTAGGGTGAACGTGAGGGGGGCCAAGAGACGAGGAAGGAAACAAGGGGGGTCAACGGAAGTGCGTGGCGCGTGGAGTCCAGATGGGGCCACGTGGGCGAAATCGTACAATGTACCGGTACTTTCCAGGGTTTCGGTGGCCGAAAAGCAACCTGGAAGGTCTATCTAGGTATGTACACTATGGTCTGCTTACTGTTTACCTCCTTGCTGGCCATGCTGTTGACTACGGATATATCTTCTTTGATTTCTTCAGCTCAAAAGGTTTCAGAGAAAAGGAACGCTTGCTAGGAGGTCGTTTTGGGAGAAAGTAGATGGGCAAATTGATGTATTATCTGTGACACAAAGGTTTTCCTTTATGTAAGGTAAAGAAAAGTCAAGGGTGGCCTGTCACAAGCTGGGCGCATCGCCGATTGCTGTGCTTTTCAAGCCCCTCACCTACTCTGCAGACCGCCACAACTGGAACCCCTCCAAATGGAGCCAACAGATTGAAAGGATCCACTCGTCGATTTCTACTGAAACCATGCTACAGCGATGAAAGCAGCGTCAAATACTGAGTGCCTAATTCAACTTGTAAAGCAGAGGACTGTGGGAAGAATTATATAATCCAAAAAGCTTTTGTTAACGCAACTCATTGTTACAAGGGCTGAGTGCCGCTTGCAGACAAAGCCAATACTACCTGAAATAAGATATGCCGAGTTGCAGTCAGCAGACATGAGTCAAGTGTACCTTACCTGGTCTGCAGGACCAGAAGCCCAGATCAGGTTGAAGTATACATGCCGTCCATAACAAGAGAGTTAAATAGCCCAACAAACCCGATGCGTATTCCAGATCCACTTGGAATAAACTGCACACAAAGGCAGATACGTTGTTCCTTCTTGATGCCTGATTTTCCGTGCTAAATAGAATGTTCGCCCAAAACATGTTTACCCGATACTACTAAACAAATGCTGTCTTACTGGAACTGGGTAAAGTCAAATGCCGGTCATGTGTGCAATCGATGGCTGTAACCCTGCCATAACCTTTCTGTACGTAATGCCTCTAGTCATCGGAGTCCTATGTGCTTATCCTTATTATGGCTTGTGATAGGCAAAGGCAGAATTTACACAGACCTCCGCAGCGGCAAACGCGGGAAGCCGATATAAAATACAAACTAGAAACTGACGTTCAAAATGGCTGATAGTTGAGAATTGCTTACAACTGGTCGCGAAGCATTATTGGAGCAGAGGGAAGCATGTAGTCCAACGTCACCAATCTGTTCTCTGCCTAACTATACTCCCTGTTGGGGCAGCCACATTGCATCGGGTTGCTGCATTGCTATGTAGGTGCATTCCATCCAAATGCTCGCTCTAATGTACATATGTGTGGACAAAAGAAACACGGAATGTCCTGCAGTCAGGTGTTTAGCGAACATGCAGACAAGCCACCTCGTGGCAGACAACTTTCTACTTGCCGTGCCATGCGGCGGCTGCGCACGCAGAAGCAAAAGCGGGAGATAAGTAACGTTCTCCGGTCAGCGAAAAAGAACATGACTCGTAACAACTTGACACTGTAGCCGTACAATCAATTCCTACTGTATATAAAGGCGGTCGGCAACAGTGCCAAGAACAGAACCAACCGGTGGGGTGGCAAAGGCAGAATAATGAAAGTTAATTGGATGAAATTTACAGAACAGCATGCCAATCACTGTTTTCTGCAGTTTTGAGCATGAAGAAAAGAATGAGAAGAAGCCCTTGGCCTTAGCATAACGTGACAGCCATGAGAACCGAGACCCACGTGGCTTCCAGGATTCCACTAGAACCTGCACTAGCCTGTTTCGAATTGAGCCTTGCTGCCACCCTGTATCCACCCTCGCGTGTTTTTCATATCTAAGGATGCATCAGGGAGTTGACTTCTGGGCTCTTCAGCTGACCAGTTTGGAGAAAAAAATGCGTAGCACCGAAAATACATGCATGAAAGCTGTCCAAGACAATCTTCGAGTCGTTAGGCGCCCATATAGAGGTTGGTGGTTCGTGAATTATTCTATAGCTATGTAGTTGAAATACTTTGGGTTGCGAAAGGGAGCTTAGGTAGATAGCAAAAGTTGCCCTCCATACAGTTGGATGCTGGTTTGTTCGTTGGCAGGGTGCTTTGGCTCTCGGTGGACCACACAACTTCCCAACTCAACAACAAAGAGCCAATTTTCATGCTTCAAGAATGTTATTTTTTTTGCTCATTGTGTCTTCACTTAATTTACTCGTGTATTTCTTTTGGTTCTTAGGTGTTGTGGTGATTTGAGTCCTCAGAGTCTGAAATTGGTCCTACATCCCTGTCTAAAGTTTGGGAATAAATAAAAAGGTTGAAGTGTAAATAAACCCTTAAGATCTCTTATGAGTAGTTGCACTTAGCTAGTGTCTTGTGTGCCAAAACCATGCCCAGTTGGTATGTGATAAACTTTTTGATGATCCTTGTCGATACACCAGTTGCTTGGATAAAGGTCTTTGACAACATTCGGCTGCAGAAGCTAACGGCGGTGAAAAAGAGATTAATAATCCACACCATTTGCCACTCCACGAAACCACTTCTCTCGGAGCGAGCCACTTTTCGAGACCAAGAAGCATGCATAAGCATCACTACTGCATTAGAATTAACACTGAAAACATGTTTGATCAGTTGTACGTATAGAGAAACAAAAGAAGACTCCGTGCATCAGGCGCACCGCCAAAAATTTGGATTGAGCCCGAAAATCATATTTCTGACAGATCAACATTTGGTGGGACCATAGTAAGATACACCACCAAATGTACCTACCGTAATCCAACCCGAGCCCGAGATAGCACGCTCTGGAATCTTTCGTGTTTCATGGTACTATACTACTACCTAGTCTATGCGCTTATCTATAACCTATACTTCTATGTCCAACGGTCCTTGTCCACAAACATGGTGGCTGAGGGAAATCTGAGATGCACTAAGCCCTAGCGTTCATGCGGTTAGGGCTTGCTCGGCCATATCGCACAGTGTTCCAGCGGCAGGATTTGCCGGCCAAGCGCAAGGTAACTTCTCTGGCCGTTGGGGGCTTAGTCAAAAGTGCCAAAATCCAAGGCAATCGAGATCGACACCCTAGTTGCGATCGATCGGAAGTGAAACAAAGCGTTCGAGCTTGTGAGGGGTTACACATAATTAGGGCGCAGAACAGTTAAGATGCTTGCAGTTTCAGGCAAAAAACGATATTTCTTTGCTCCAACCCGACATACTAAGCCTTACACAGGTTCCTGCCTGGCTTCAAGTATGGAGTTTTTATTGCTTGATGAATGTTTCCATGAAGCGCGTAGGTTTCCAAGACTGCCAAACCATTCAAAACAGGATGGCAACTGATGAAGTGGGGGATCCCGTTTGCCGAACTCCGCACAAGCAAGGATCAAACTGGCGGACTCGCCGATGTGGGCCCTGAGAGAGCGAAGATCGTTGGCAGCCAGGATCTGACACACACAAAGATGAAAAAAAAAAATAATGAGAAAAAAAAAAGGCTGTAATCAAAACCCACAATGGCGCCTCGCTTGGCTAAAGGCACAAGAATGGACACTGGTATACTTGTTCGCAATCCCAACCGACATACGAGTGGCCTCGTGTAAGTCAGTGGACGTAAGTGAGTTCAGTCAAGGTAGGTAGCCGAGGATGGCGGCGTCACGGACAGTACTGATCGGCCATCCGGTTAACCTGGGCGATGAGACGGAGAGAACAGACGCTGCTTGAGGTTGTTCCGGCGCTCCATCTCGCAGCTCTGTCAAAATATGGAGGGGAGGATAGCGGAGCCTAAGGGGATTTTAAACGCTAACACAGCGCACAAGAGCGTTTGGCATAACGCAAGATATTCCTGTGTTGGAGAAGAAGGGAACATAACACCCTAGCCCAGGAGGTTATCAACCAAAAACAGGAAAGTCCCACGCCTACCTCCTATGGAAGCACGGCTACAGTGGGGTCAGTTACGCCGATGGTCGATGGAAAGGACTCACCATCCGCACGGTGTGGGCCAGGCCACCTACGGATTCCTGGTGGGGGATGCGGTAAGGTAACAGTCCTAGGATACCGTATGCTTACATGTACTAGTACTAGTTATACAGGCCCATCAGAATGGGCCCCACCTGAGACAGGTTTTGGAAGCGCTCCATTCGCTGAGCATGGTGCGTGCTTGAAAAGTAGGTACGTACCTCCGTAGCGCGACGGCAGGCAACGAACGTTCGGCGAATGAAGCGAACAGAGCTTGGAGTGGTGGGGACGGGAGGATACCTCAGGCCACGTGGTGAGGATAAGCCACATGTTGCAGGAAGACCCAGAAGGTGAAGATCCGGGGCCGCGCACGAATCGCTACGGTGACGCCACCGCCGCCTCAGGCTTCCATTGATTCCTATTTGCTCTCTGCACCTAAAGATGCATTGCATGGTCTGCGCTGAAGCAAGGTGCTATGCACATGTGCTGCGGAAGGCGTGCACAGTGTACGTGGTGCTGATAAGCATACGAAGGTGTAATTCCAAATTGATCAATTGGTCTCCGCTACACCAGGTAATCACTTTTGAAACACGCGACGCTAAGTAGATGATGTTGAGAGGATTACTTATCACAAAAGTCAGCAGCCACGCACATCCTGAAATTGAATTGTACCATCCATGGATGCGGATAGGCTCGTCCATGTTCGGTCAGTATTCGCCCTTCAACCAGAGCTATTGCCAAGAAGCTCGGGCAGGGAAATCTGCGGGTAAGCGAAAATAAAGACACATGTTCACCACGCTGGAGTGCTCGTATTGGACTTTTATACGTATGTTATTATATGGTTCAAGCACCCGCGGCACCCCCGGTCTGGGATCTTGCAGCATGGCTCGTAACAATCGTGCAACAGGGACGTTGATGCTCAAGAATATAGCTGCATACAGCGGTTTACACTACTTGTATGTTGCGGTATCCGAACACGACAACTGCGCGCTTGGAAATCCAACACGCTGACAGCCGTCCTTCATCCTGGACTTGGGAGCTATACTTAATCCATACATCGCGCGTTTAGTTGTCTGGAGAAGCGACAGCGACCGCTTCTATGACAGCATACTTTTCATTCATGCCAATACAAGTTATCTGGCACTGTGGTAATCCATGCGGTTATCAGTAATCTGTCACCGCCCATACAATAGTAATAGCCGTCGTTGGGCAGGGTGTCGCAGTGGATGGAGAGGGCCAGGTTGAGGCGACCAAGACACCATGGTTGCCCTACTGTCTAGCCGGTCGGACGGGAAAACAGGCTATGCCGCTGTGGGCGCTGGATGCCACGGATGTCAAGTAGATTGCGTCTCCACGCCTGCCACATGGCCTGTACCCCATCCTTCGCTCCCGCGGGCTTCCCTCAGCGTGCAAGGCTTCTAGAAGGGTGCTCCTGTCGCAAGAGACGAGCACTGGGCAAACCTTTTTTTTTCTTTGGTGGTCTCCCACTCCATCCAGACATGTCTCGATGACGCATGCGAGGTCCGGGTATGGATAATAACTTTTCAGGTCCAGCAGTCTGTCCCCGAGAGCATCGGCCGCCGTCCAGGTGAAGCAAACCCAGTGCAGCAAGAACCTTTTCAGAGAGACGGGGAGACCCGACTTTTCTCAGGCATCTTTTTTCTCCGTTTCTCCATCGCCTAAGCATCCATTCCAGAGGGTGCATGCTGCATGCAAGCGTTGTGCCATGACGATGGACGCCGTCAGAGAAGCTGACCTAGAAGGTGCAACGCAACGCAGGGGCTGGCGGACGTCTGCTTGCTTTGTCGTCCCCATAAGCTATGCGACGGCGCGGATGGAGGAAATGATATCAGGCCCAGCAGGGTCATTGTGCCAGTCATGATGTGCATCATCGGACCAGTCACCTGCATCCGCACACCCATTTACCGCTCCATCTATCCGCGATCCTATCTCCGCAGCTCCATGATGGATTCATGATGTCCTGACCTCATAATTCGCACTGCACACTTCGCTCCAAGGATCTGGTCCTCCATGTAGCCTGCTTTCGACGATAGCCCCTGACTCGAGCAATTCCATTACGTCGGCCGTCTGATTAGCTTAGGTCGCCGACCTGTCGGCAACACAGCATATGTCTGTGTGACAAAAACTTGACAAAGATCTTCCTGATTCGTATGTCATCTGGCGTCGAAATGATGAGGTATATGTCCTACCTTAATCAACCAGCTCCCAACGAGTCGTCATCGCGGGGCCGAGGCCATTGTGCAACCCGATTTAAGCGATGCCTTTCCGACGCAGGCCTTGATGTCGTACTCGTGCGCAGCTACCTGCGACCTGTGTTCCGAGGGAGCCAACGCTGGCCACGTGCTGGACGTGCTCTTGCGCGATCAGATCCCTGTTGTGTTACAGTGATGGATGTGATGGATCGGCCTGTCATGGTTACCAGCGTTTGGTATTGTCGCACGGGGCCATCACACCTGCGTCTGCTTGCCCTGATGAGATTCTGCACAGGGCCTGCTGGTGCCTGATGAGATGTCGCTGTCCGTCCGGACTTCCGCCGCAACGGCTTTGTGTTTCGTCCACCGTCCAGTGAGCTAAGCCCGAGGCTCCGAGTCCCCGAGCGTTGCTGCCCAAAGCTGGTATCCGATGTTCCAATGTAACCTCCCTCTGAAGCCGAGACTCGAGACTATGGAGCACGGTTTGTGTGCCCTTTGCCATGAAAGTGAGGATTAGGTGACCATGCACACGTTAGGTTCCCTCATGATACGACTTGGAAAACACCAGTTAAAAGCTTGTAGGCTGGATACTCTATAGTTGGAAATTCCATCGGTACATCGACATCGCCTCAAGCCGTCATCTAATCTCCTTTGGTGGGGGCCATGACTTAACATGGTATTGTCCATGTACCAAAATCGGCCCTCTGCAGCAAATTTCCTAGTAGTACATACTTGGCGGCCGTATTGCTCTAGATGCCCGTTATACTGATTTAGTATCCATCTTCATCGGATGCGTGGACTTTGTTGGAGACACTCTGTCGCTTCGCCGATGACGAATGTTCATGTCATGTCGGATTCATAGTTCTAGCTTCCAGCTGCGGCGCAGTACTGTTTGCCTACCTGTCTGACTCGTTGGTTTCAGCATTGCAGGCTCTCTAAAAGCAACTGCAAATCCAGTAGGACGCAGGTGTCACAAGAGAATGTTGGTCAGACTCAACTGATATTCCAAATTACTTATTTGTTTGATGACTGCTGGGAGAAACTGAGCCTGAGCCTTCTTGTTTCCTTTTTTTTAAAAAAAATAACGGAAGATAGATAGATGTTCACCATTCTTGAGATGCCGTAGCTACTTGCCTTCAAGGGGGCAGCTTTCGCAGATACCTCGGTGCACCTACCGCTGACTGAAAGGTCATCACCGCTTACAACGATAAAGTCATTTGCCGGCAATCCAAGATCAGTTCTCTTGACTTCAACCGAGTGTTCGACATGGACCGCTCTTTAGATGCCAGACGGCGCCCCCGGCGGCATCATCACCTTAAAGGGGAAGAAGACCGGCATTTACATCGTACTCGACACCGCGAGCATTGGGAGTTTCATCGATACTATACTAGTTCCACATCTCCATCACCACCAGCCAATCCCGAAGCCACAGCGGCCGAAACCCAAAGTTGTCCGGCTTCCAAACCAAAGGTTACAATTCAAAAGGAAAATGACGGAAGCAACAAGGCGCTCATGCTCTTCTCTTCAAACAAACAGCAACAGCTCATCTGCACCAGACCTCAAGCAAATCCGGGCCGGGGGGATGGTGGCCCTAATGGTGACGACAGCGAGCCAGAGGAATACGTAGTGTACCTGGACGATTGGGGGCACGCACAAACGTTAGGGCCCCAGCCTTCTCAACATGGGGTTAACTCATATCACAATCGTCGAGATGGTAGGAATGCTATGGATGAAAACCACTTTATAACCCGGTATAGGGCAGAAGACGAATGTAATGGAGGCAGTAAGTCTGCTTCCCAACGCGGCAAACCACATCATCATCACCATCACCACACATACCTTCCCGAGAGTGAAGATTATCACCATTGTTCCTATCGATCTTGGAATGACAAAGCCGATGAGGGCCCCGCACAGCGCGAACCGCGCCATACCCGACTGCTGTATCAACATGAACGAGATCGGTCTCATGAAAGAGACAACTACCGAACTGGATATGCACAGAGCGCGGCAAGAACCAAGAAGCATGAGGCGAAGAAGCTGTTACTTGCTGCAGCTACACTGGCTGCTGGGCTTATTTTAAGTGGGGATTAATGAGAGGGTTCAAGTTAAGTTTCTTATGTTCAAGGCAGAAGAATAGCGATCATGTTTTGCACGTAGTTATCATATGTAGTTGGTATAAGGTGGGCTCGTGATGTTGAAATATGACAGTATTCAGGTATTGATATCTTTTGTTGTTCAGCCTTGTCTAATAGTTGAGTGCTCAACTCCTGAGTCTGTCTGATTCATTCTATTATCATCCACGAGTCGGCTCCTTTCGATTGAAAAGACTGGCATTGTCCTGATCCTGCCCGGCCCCCTTGTCAAGCCTATCAACCGACAACCTGTGGTCCACGAAGGACTGAAGTTTGGACATATTTTTCCAAGCATGGCCTGCTTAAAACCGCCATTTACTAGAAGATGAGCCTTAGACTCCGAGTAGAAAGCCCCAAACGCCGCCGTAATAAACGCCCAACCAAGTCCAAGCCCGCATCTACTACACAGTAAAGGTAAAATCGTTACAACCGGACGCGGTTGAAGTGGATATAGTGAAACGAGAACTTTGGCTTTCCAGCCTGCATACATTCCTCATCCTCAGAAAGATGTCGGCGCCGCATCCTTGCGCCAACCTTTAGCCCTCATGTTAACTTCAATAGCCTTCCAAATGCTCTCAACAACCTCACGATCGCGCCAGCGGCTTGTTTCAGCACCTGCCTGGCTAGGGTCGCGCCACTTCTCCACAAAGCAGGTCAGCACCCTGTGACCAAACGCGCGGATTGACTCGGGAGGCTGCTCGCCGCGCCACCCCAGATACACGCCCAAGACGTGTTTGAACAGCTCAGCCGGTTGACTCCAGCGGTAGTTTTTGAACTGCCAGGTCTGGCCGGTGGTGAAGACAGCAACAACACGGTTCCAGTACTCAGGCTTGAACTGCTCGGGTCCTTCGACCAGGATAAAACGCATCGGCCGCGATGGATCGATATCCTTCATCAGACGCTGAACGTGCAGCATCGATTGCGAAGAGTTGTGGTCAGGGGGCGTGTAGCGACCTCCTTCGAGGAACTGCTTGGCATTGGACATGCGCAGAAGCGATGAAGCTGAAGGAGATAGCAGGATAATGGGATCGGGGCGGCGCGCCGGCTTCTGGTTAAGAGAGAGCGCTGTACCGGACCCAATGCCCGCTGCGAGAGGCGGCGCGCCTGGCTTCCGGGTCATGAAAACTGCAGCCAGCTTGCGGACGTGCGAGAAGTCCTGCATGTGTTGGCCGATGAGTTAGTTGATTGGGATGATTGACGGCAGGCACAAAAGAGGATTGAGGCGAACAGGAGGTAACGAACCGTCGGCTTAATCCCCCTCAGCACAGTATTCCGATCCCCCATATGGCGCTCACCACCGTAAATCTGCGCGAGACGAGGGTCCAGAGTACCGCGACCCGAACGACTCAAGGCAGCGCTAACAATCTTAGATGCAGTGCCAGCAGCGGCGGCACTGGCATTCGTGGAAGCATCCTTCTCGCCAGGCAGGGGCTTGATGAACTCGCTCTCCTCACTGGCGCCCTCAAGGAAGGTGAACAAAACGAGGCGCTCGACGAAGGCGAACATGTGGACGGAAGCACGGCCGGCCATCTCTTCGTTGAGTTTGGTCGCAACGGCGTTGTACTCGGGGATGGCGAAGTCGCGATTGATCCAAGCAAAGTAGATGCTGCGCAGGTCTACGGCCTTGCCTTCGGCCGACGTGAAGCGCGTGGGTGCATCGATGGGCAAAGCGACGCGGTTTGGATGGGTGAGAACCAAGTGAGTGGCGGTCGAGAGCGGTGCTTCTTCATCCGAGTCGGGAGACGCAGTCGGGATGATATTGCCGCCGCCGGCGATGGACTGCCGAAGGAGCAACAGAGGGTCTTGCGACGCCATGTTGTTCGCTATTCCGTATGGAACCTGACTTGGGATATCGAGACGGTTTTGTTTGAGTAGCAGTCGCCTGCAGGCTGTTCTGTTGACGGGAGAAATCGCGGGTCGGATTGTAATGGCGGCCCGCAGAAGTTCTCTCGTCAAGAGCTCAGCCTGGGAAGTTTGAAGCATTCAGGTCAGCACGGCTGCCGACAATGGAATGGGACACGCGCGACACCTCAATAGCCCCACTTTTTTTTCGCGAACAAGGCTCGGCGCCCACCGACGCTTGGGCCGCATACTGCTCGTTGCCCGACCAACTTCTTTTTGCCTCTTCCATAGGTGTGAGCTTGATCACACAATTTTAACTATTCAGCATCTGAAGTGGCCATCTAGTCGTCTAAATTACGTGCACTCAATCTATTGATTCCACACCGAAGCATATTGGGTTTTCTCAAGCCTACAAATGAATATTCGACTGTGCCAAGAAGTGAACCATTGAAACTGCCAGTAAACAGCCCCTAAAAAAGGGGGCATCATGATAGGTGTGTTCAGGAGTTAAAAGATAAACGCAGAGAGCTTCCACAAAACCCGGTTAGTTAACCCGATCAGAGACCTCATAATTTCAATATCCGTCCACGTTTCGAACTACCGGGCTTCCCATGATACTGGTCCCACGCCCAGCCGTCAGTGATGCAAATAGTTGTGACGGAGTAACCCGAGGACTCACCACGCAGAATCCCAGAACTGATCCTTTAGGATTTTTCTCGTTGATTGGGCAAAGCAAACTGTTTGGTAGGTGGTCGGGTGCCTCAAGCTCATACAAGAATCTTTCCGTGTTGCTCCATAACCCAGGTTCTCGATCTAACCAACCGCCGCCGTTTGTCGAATCATCATGGACATCGGAACAAAGACAGTTATGTGTCGCAGCCAACTGCTAATTTTGCTCTGCCGAACCATCTCTGGTCTTTACTGTGTCATGATACATGGCAGTTGCCGCGCTCGACTCATCTCGATGGTCCGGCTCCTTAGCACTTTCATCAGATACCCCGCGTGATCCGCAATGGCCGATTGATTTTTCGAGAGGTGGTGTGTGTATACGCTTGGCTTCCTGGTTGAATGGTCAATAATAAATCTTGGTGCCGTGTCGTGTTAAGGTATCGCCTACTTCTCCGGGGAAAGGGGAGAACAAGACGTCTAGATTTTCTGGGCAGCCCTCGTCAGCTACATCTGTGCAACATCCGTAGACGAGAATGAATTACGTACTATATTGTCTTATACTTGGAGAGCTACGAGAGTCCTGACTCGTCGGTTGTTGGTGTTGCTGCTTGCGGTGCTAACGTATCTTGGCGAAACCTTTGCAACCCTGCTCTCTGCGTTCCTTTGCAACTTGTGATGGTTGGGCCCGATCTCGATTTTGAGATGTTTCCTTTAACTTGGCTTTCGGCGTCTGCCCTTTATCGAACGATCGTGTCGATGAGGGAAAGAGTCTATATTTCTGTAACCCATAAACTAGCTGCCACTGCCTAAGACTAAAGCGTCACAAACCTTCGCACATAAGCGAGGAAAACCCAAGCAGTTCCAGGGGGCAGACAAGTGGCGGATAGCTTGTTGACGACGTTGTTCAGTTGGGCTGCTGTCGCTAAACCTGTGCCGCTGCAAACGCTCGTGCGTTTCTTCGTCTGGTTGCGTCGCGTGCTCGCTATTGTGCTCTGTTATGTCCACCATCGGTTCGGGGGGATGTTGAAGAGACTGAACAAGTGCCTCCTCGGAGCGGAAAGGACGACGTGGAGCATAGTAAGAGGACCCGTGCTGACGGTTTGCGGTGGTGTAGTGAGAGGATGCTAAATCGCCATCAACATCATGGCTGCTTTCACTGTGACTTTTTTGGGAGCGTTTTCCTCGTTTCCACATCCGCATGTCATAAGATCGCCTACGCGGTGTCTCTAGGGGTCGATATTCTCTTTCTGCCCAGTATCCTTCGGGGAACCACACCCATTCAAATCCTTCTCTTGGAGGCCTAGGCGGGTCGATAGCAGAGGCAAATCCAAGATGGGAGGATGATCGAAGGCTGGGCGTTTTAAAGGGAGCCAAACTGCCCATTGAGCCATCAATAGAGAAAGCCCTGATCGGCCTGGAAGAGCCTGGAATAGTCGATCCACAAGGAAAGTTCTGCGACGAACCGGGCCGTCAGATGCGATTCTGAATGAAAGGACTTAGAAGGATGTAGCCATGCATTTCTCGGAACCTTAGAGTCCATCCTAAACATCTGAAACGCCGTACCTCTGAATGAAAGAACGGTCTTGGCGATCGAATCATGACCATGAAAGGGGCTGTAATAAATGTGAGCTAATAATGATGGGTAGGAAGGCAGAGGGGGCCAGATGATAGCAAGTATATCTAACAATACTGTATGAGGAATGATTGGTAGAGGGTCATGTTGATACAATTCGACACGAGACCGCACCTCAAGGCGACCCTATGTTCAACCAAAGGTCGGCATATCGACTACACCAGGAAACAGAATGCGCAAGTTTTGTCCCATTCACAAATTGCTTCACCAAAAACGCCTAGAACCAAATCCCGTTCGCCCTTTCCTTTCTTAGGTAATGAAACGGCTATAAAGAAGGAGCCTGCCCGGACCAGCATCAAAAACACCATGTCCAGGTTATCAAAATCTTAATCGATGCCATAGATCGGTGGCCAACACAAACCACCAAACCAGATAGAGCACTTGCTCCAGGGCACGTGAACCAAGCTTCGTCATACGCCCTGAATCTCGTATAGACTCTCTGTCCGAAGTAAAAGCCAGGACGAGCTTACATATTGTCCAGTTCCCAAGATGCCACTTTTCGTCAAATAAGAGGGTCTAGGGGCGTCGACTGCCCAGTTATGAGTCGACCAACATGGTGTCGTCACCATCAAAGGTTGGTTGGGGCTGCTGGACAGGAATGCCACGCCCACGCCCAGCAAGAAGCTCCTTCCTGATTTCGGGAGCAATCTTCTCATGGCCGTGAGTTAGAAGCAGGTCCAGCAAGGCTTCGCGCTGGTCTTCAGTGACTACAGGAATATTGATGAGTATGGAAAGAACGATGCTGAGGAGTCATCAAAGACAACTTACTATCATTACGATACCGTTGAGCAAAGACAAGGAGACATTGGTGGAAGATAACTGGTAACGCCTTGGGCGCACCGTCTCCCTCACGGGCCATCGAGGCATATCGGAGGAAGTGGAAGACCAAAGCATCGATGCATTGCCATGCTACAAACTTCAGGTCAGATTTCATACACAACATGACACATTTGACAGGGTTAGAACAACATACGCAGTGCATAACGCTTCTCGAGAAGAACTTTGAGCAGATAATTTGTCGCACTGACACACTCTGCCCTCTGAGAGGCCTGTTCAGCAGCAATATCGCACAATGTCTTGATAGCTGCAGCCGAATGAAGGACGGGTATGGAGATACGAGCAAGAACGGCAGAGATGATTTGCGCTTCACGCAACGTGCACGTTCCTGATTCGGAGTTAACTCTCTGAGAGGTCACAACAAATGTCTTAACTGGAAATCAAACACTTACCAGAGGCAGCAAGGGGGAAAAGAAAGCCCTTGAAAAAGCCAGCGGGCTTGTAAAGGGCCTTCTTCAGACAGTTGAACAAGTGAACGTTGAGCTTCTTGTTTTCATGGATATCCTCCCGGACACGCTCCAGAATAATCATCTCCATGAATCGTTGAACAACCTGTGGCTTTGCTGAGACAAAAATTCTTGTCGCAGCATAGCATGCATTTGGCGTCCTGCAAAATAGGTTGATCAGAGATAGCTGGCATCGCATGCAGTCCGTACTAATCCACTTACCAGAGATCCGGACGTGTCAGTTGGATGATATCTTCCCAGTGAGGAATTGTTGGCAGGACCTTGAAGGGTTTTGGTAATGGGCCAGACTTGTACCGAGCAAGAATAAGCCCAATCCTGGTACAGAGTCAATATGCAAACCCTTGGCCAGTGTGTCAACGGGGCCTCCTAAAACATACTTTGTGAACACCTCGACCACCTTGGGCGGAATCTCATAGTCTTCCTCGATAGGATTGCCCCCATTTTGCCCTCCCGTCATAGCCTCCTTCTCAGCAATCTTCTGGAGGATCAAATCGGCCAAATTAGTTTGTTCCTCCTTTTCTTCCTCCCCGTCTGCTGGCTTTTGGTCCCAACCGTGCGTGAGCAAGGGATCATCCTTCATGGTTGGCTGAACGAAGCGATTAAAGATCTCAAGATCAGCCGCGTCGACTTCGTTGTCGTTATCACCGGCATCCTCGTCCTCATCTCCCCACTCCTCATTATTTACGAACTCCTCCTGGTCGTCCTCGTCATGGTCCATACGGGATGGATCGAAGTCAAATGCCGTCGAGGCCACGGTGACTTGCTTGTTCTTCAGTTGTTGCTCCTCCTCATCCATGAGCTCCCGGCTCATGGCTAGAATCTTTCTGGACGCTTTGGAATCGACATAATTCTCCTCCTCGGCCACCTTCTTGTTCGCGCGCTTAGAGGGCCTGCCCTCCCTGTTCTTCAAGATGCCTGTCGCTAGGATGTCATCTTCGAGGGGGTTGTGTCGCCTCTTGTGCGATGAAGCTGCAATCGCCTTTGGCATAGTGTATGGTAAAATGGTGATCGGACTGAGTCTATGGCCGTAGTAGATATTATGCTAAGGACCGAGAATTGCACACACACTGCGAGGAGACTGGTTCGCTGGCTGGCTGTTGTCTTGGAATTTTTCGTGCAGCAGTTCAAAAAATGGTTTCCACCGTGGGGTAGCTTAGGTGTTTTGGCCGCTTTGATTCGCTGCTCTATGACAGGGATAGTGAAAGTTGATAAGCTGCCACTCTTATCAGCCATGATAAGATTGCGATTATCGGCTTATCGCTTATCAGCCAAGAACCCCGCGATGCCCCGCGTCGCAGCCAGTCGAAAGCATGGCTTGATGGGTGAAATTTGCAGATCTTACAGTAAAGTAAGTTTTGTGAGCATATACAGCCGGTTTGACATTCTGAATCGACTAGTTTTTTACAACTCCATCATGGCTACAGAACTTGAAGAGGTGAAAAAGACAAAATCTGACAAAGACTGGTGTGATGCTTCAAAAGCTAATACTTTTTTTGGGTCTTTAGCTCGTGGGGTTCATTGCCAATCCGAAGCCCACTATCCGCAAAGTGGCTCTGAAGAATCTTGAACCATTTTCTACTGAGAAGCCTTCAATCTTCAAGACACAGGATCTTACTCCAATTAAACATCTCAAGTTCCTGATTCGAGACCACCCTGTAAGCGAACGAGATTCCCAGTTGGTGAAAACATATACCAACTGAGTGACCACACAGGAAATCGCCCAGCATGCCATCACCATTCTAATCAACCTGACGGCAACTGAGGATAAGATAATTCTTGAGAATGTAGCCACAGATGACAGGTTTCTCGGCATCCTTTTTGGGCTCTTGGTAGTACGTATAACCATCAATCATGAGACGGCTCATGTCACTCCCACATGAGTCAGTCTTGGGGCGTTAATCATTGACCACACCACATCATCTCTCAGGACCCTGAAGAACCAAATGCCGACCTCCTTGCGATGTTGCTGGCAAACCTTTCCAAGTGGGATGGCCTCAAAGGCATTGTTAACCGTACCCAAGACCCGCCAGCCCGTTTACAGTCCGACAAGCTGGTCCTGAATCAGCTTCTCGATCTCTTCGTCAAGGGTATGGACAAGTCCTACAACAAAAATGCCAATTTCGACTACCTCTCGTACGTCTTTGCCGATCTCTCCAAACACCAGGAGATTCGTGAATTCTTTTTGAAGCGGCAGGACTATGACGATGTGGTACCCCTCAATAAGATTAAGGTCTTCACCGAGCATCAGTCCGACATCCGACGCAAAGGTGTGGCCAGTACGATCAAGAACGTCGCTTTCGACGTGCCTTCGCACTCCGCCTTTCTTGACGAAGATCAGATCAATATCCTTCCGTACATCTTGCTACCGATTACTGGCAACGAGCAATATGACGAGGACGAAACCTTGGCGATGCTTCCGGACCTCCAGTTCTTGCCCCCGGACAAGCAGCGGGATTCTGATAACAGCATCATTCAGACGCACATTGAGACCCTGATTCTGCTGACAACCACGCGGGAAGGGCGCGACCTGATGAGGAAAGTCAGCGTATATCCAATCATTAGAGAAACACATCTGAGAGTGGACGATGATGGTGTCCGAGAGGCTTGCGAAAGGCTCGTCCAAGTGTTGATGAGAGACGAAGCCGAGGAGGGGACAGAGGACAATGATGACAACAGGATAGTTGAAGTGTAATTGCCTTTTAAAAATAATAACTCATTTGCCGCAAAGTATCTGAGAACTCCCGGTCATCACAGTTTTTTCATAAAAAAAAAATTCCAGCATTGCTTCGGGACTATGATATTTTTGGAAAATACACGCACGCGAAGGCAATTGGTGTCATATCTAACTAGCCAAACCTCCAAACATCTAACCAAAAAAGGGCCCTATGTAAGTGAAGTTCTCCAGTTGTGAAGGCCAAGAAACCCGAGCCATCCGCCACCCAAAAAACCAGCCATGGTCCATTTGGATTTGTACAAGCGAGACCATCTGTGCCATCAACAATACATCCGAAAAAAAGGAACAAAATTGACACACTTCAGCCCTGTCCCTGATTAAATTGGCATTTCCACATCATCACATCGTCCCACCACCACCAAAGAAAAATCCATCAAAGAGATCGAGACTCTGCCCCTCGCTATAATCATGGTGCATTCCCTCCCATGCAAGACCAAACCCAAGATCCATCTGTGCCTCAGCCGTCAGCCCGGTGAAGTCAATACCGTCCATCAAGCCGCTGGGGCTAAGGCCGTTGTTATTATTGGCACCACTGCTGCTATTCGCTCCACTGTTAACACTCCCAGCGTTATTCAGACTTTGTAAGAACTCCAATCCCTGTAGCTCGCTCAGTGACATGGCACCACGCGTGGGTGTCCCCGCGGGCGCGGGACTGAATTGTTGTTGCATCGGCGGTTGCTGATGCGACAGCCGAGGGGAATGGAAGTCGTTGTTAGTTGGCGTTGCACCACCACTCATGGGGGAATTGATGGCTTGCTGTTGTTGGATACCAGTGACTGTAGAAACAGAAGGAGATGTGATCATAGGAGATTGTTCGATAGAAGTTTCTGGGGTGGTAGGATTGTCCGTAGAGCTGGCAGTGCTGCGTGGAGGGCGAGGGAAGTTGCGTACAACACTAGAATGATAGGCACCTGGCTCTGTCTTGATAACTGAGGGGCCTGCTGGTGGTCCTGCTAAAAGGTATGAGCCGGCGCCAAGTTTGCTGGAAAATGACGAAATGAAGCAAGAAGATGCGTTGGAATAGGCGTCGGAGCTTGTAACGGCGGGCATTTTGTCAACCAATGAGTGATGAGGGCGTGGGCGCTTGTTGCTCGAATGAGAAAGTTTGCTACCCGCCGACGAAGTGTTATCCGCCTTTGGGTGCCATTCCTGGCGAGCATTCTCAAAGGTGTGCTGGGAGTCAGAACCCGCTGTGTTACAGTGCCCAGAACGGTACTGCTGGCCAAAGCCACCAGATGCATTAACCATCTTGAGGGTGGCTTTTACTGTCCGGTCAAAGGCATCTCGACAGGCCTCGGCAGGAGGACACTTATCAATAAAATCGGTGAAAACAGATGTGGCTGCAAGAACAGTGAAATCCACTTCATCCATCGTCTACAAAAAGTGTTAGTGGCAATCCAGAGGCCCATAGAGGGCAATGAGCTGATTTGGTTTCCGTACCAAGCGACTCCTCACAATAGGAGAATGCCAGATGGCATAGAGGTAGGAAATACCAGCGACAAAAAGGTGGTGTGTTGTCAGATAAGCATGATTGACGAGGCCTTGCAGATGCAATTGGCGATACAATCGCAGAATCTTTTGGCCTGCCTCGGCAATCTTGAGATAGACACGGTCTTCGTCTTCACAGGGCTCCACGTTGTACATGGTGGGGTTGTTCACTTCCTTCGACGTATCATATTCTCCTTCAAAGACAGTGGGCGTACTCAGGCTCTGTCTGTAGAGCATGATAATAGCCTGCCAATAGTTGAGCTCTAGGAACTCCGTGGAGAAGGAAACACCCGTGTCTTCTTTCCTTGGAGCTGTGTTCTTCCACTCCCATAGCCTCCGATCGATGTCAATGCGCCATGACCGAAACGAGTCGAACTTGGAAAGGAAAGCGGAAGGCAGTGTTGGCATATAAAGATTTTGGTAGTTTTGTCCACCAGCCCTGGCGCTCAAGACCTGGCGGTAATGCAACACTTGCAAGATCTCCGACTGCAGAAGCCGGAGTCGGAAATAATGTTGAGCAACCAGCTTGTAGCTTGGCAGTCGCCTCTCAGAAGGGGGCTCAATGATTCCATCATGGGTGATATACTCATCATCTAGGAGCGATGGAAATTCCGTCGTGATGAAGTGGTCCGAAATACCGAACGGGCGACCAACACAAACGCTTACAAGACGGTCAAGGGAATAGGTGCACCACCAGAGTCGTCGCCTCATATCGCGCATATACTCCCGGCGGCCCTTCTCCCTGACAAACGTAGGCTTTTGCAGGGCTGACGACTCCCACTGGCCATTTTCGAGCTCTTTAGGGTCTTCATAATGAAGCCCTAAATCAACTGCTAGTCTTACAGCAACACCAATAATGTACCTGATGGGGAAAAAATATATGATTAGCACATGAATCTTGAGCATCACTTGCATCTCGTTGCACCGGATAAGGCTGTGGTTCATCAAAACCTTACCATAGGCCAGGAGGCACTGGCCGCAGGAGGGCAAAATTGGCGAGCAGCAGGACAGCTTGCAGATCCTCCAGCCCGCCACTCCCGAGGCATGCCTCCAGGTGAACAATGGCACTGGCGTGGTACGCTTCCGGTTGATACTGCCTTGACCCAGATGACGAATCGGACGGCTCGGCCCCTTGAGGCTCCCCCTTAGGATCCCCGACAAGAATCCCGGCGCCGATAGCAAATACCATGTTCAAAAAGTACAGTTCGCGAGGCCCACGTACGCGGCCCTCCTCAAGATAGGCCCGCTCAAACATGTTCATGAAGTCGACTCTGTGAAGGACGGGAATCTGGGGGTTAGCATGCTCGAAGTACAGCCTGACCAGCTTCTGACCGAGGGCTTTATTGGGAAAGTGAGCCGGATGACTAGTCGGCTTGGTGTGCAAGCCAAAGAAAGAATCACGCATTGAAGTCGTCTGGCCAGCAGTCCCGGCACCATGGCCGCCGATGCTATTCGCAGGTCTGGAGGGGCGTATCCCTCCCTTTTCGGAGTTGCTCTTCTGGTCGGAGACGGATGATTGCACAGCGGCAAACACAACGCGCGCGAATGAGATGCCCGATGTGGAGCCGAGATATCGGTTGTCCGAAGAGGCCGGGCCGGGCTTTGATGAGATCCGCTGTAGCTTGTTCGATCCGTCGCCGCCGCTACCTTCTGCTGCCCTGGCACACGTAACCGTATCCGGCCCTTCCGGGCGCGCCGCGTTCCCCGGGTCGACGGGTGGCCGCAGGTTACCAGGGGGCCCATTGGAAGACGCCTTGGAGCAGTAATCGAGGTCATCGGCAGGAGGAAATGGAATATGGTTGGCGGCCAAGATGCCCTCGAGCTGTTCCACTCGCTTTTCGAGATAAAAGATGTAACTCCGAGGAATTTCGCGCTTTGTGATGGGATCGTAGCCGACGCAGGCGACACTAGCCTTCTCGCAGCTGGCACAACTCGGCAGCTTCTGGTCGCAGCGGTTCTTGCGCAAACGGCAACGATTACAGGCGCTCACATTCCTGAAGTTGCTGCTCTGGCCAATTTTGGCAGCCGTACTGGCGCTTCTCCCGCTGCCGGGCGCGGCGCCGATAGCAGAACCGTGGGCCAGCTCCAAGCTCAGCGGACCGTCATGGAGTTGGTCGTTGGTAGGCGAGGCTGTGCCACCCGAGGGCAGCGAGGTCGGCGATTCCTTGTCAGGCGGTGATTGGCGGGCACGTTTGGAGGGATGCAGGTCTGGAGACGGGGGGCAGTGGGCGGGTACCGGCATCGTTGGCCAGCAAAAAGAGATCGAAAGAGTTAGTAGTGGTAAGAAGAGCAGAAGCAGGATCAGCAACAGCGGCAACAGTAGCAGCGATAGCAGGCGTTGCTCTCTGAGACAGACCGATTGTCGATGTCCACGGTATGAGTCGCTGATCCGGCGCGGCCCGTGGCACGCAGGCGTCAAGCCGCCAGCCGTAGGGAGCACTTGGTCCGTTTGCGTTGGTCGCGTACCGTCTTGCGGCACGGAGCCCGAGGGAGGTCGGGGCTCGGCCGCCTGGCCTTGCTTTTCCGGGACCGGGCGTGTGGACTTACTTGTCTGTCCAGCCTATCCAGCCCGTCCAGCTTTGCCTTGGCCTGGCGCCGCGCACGCCAAAATGGTAAAGAGCTGACGGGGTGACGAGGGCGTGGGGCTCTGGAAACCAGCGACCAACGACTGGGCAACGGGGACTTGTGTCGTTGGCAGCCTTTGAACGGGCTCTGCCGTCTGTCGCTTTCTGCTTGGATTCTGTGCGTCCTCGCTTCGACGTAGCCCTCTCAATGTCCTTGGTTTCGGCGGCTCAATCTTCGTCGGTATTGGCGCAGGTCGTCAGCCGCATGCTAATTGCGACAGTCGGCGATAGCGTTTTCGATTCGGTGGAGGCGATCCGGCGTTCTGTCCTCTGCAGTCTGCGCTCCGTACTCCGCACTCCGTCCGTAACCCTGTTACCCTGCGTCCTGTTCGCTGTTCGCCTCTCCACGAGTCCGCGGGTCCCTGGGAGGGGCAGGGATCCTGGTAGCCCAAACAGTTCTGCAGCTCAAGTGCGTAGGTATCCGTAATTCGCAGCGTAACTTGGCAGTAGGTATCCTGTATGCTGTATGAAGTCTCTTGTATTTGTAAGATATAGGTACTAGTGTCCGTGTTCGAACAGCACTAGCTCATGTTGTCACGGCGGTTTGCGTGGGTGGGGTTAAGATCCAGCCAGTGCTGATGTGATGGGCGAGCAGCGAGTAGTATGTTTGCAAGTTGCAAGCTGCCTGGAACGGATCGCAGGTAGGTAAGGTAGGTACTTAGGAAGGTACTCTCTGATCTCTCTTCGTGTACTTTTTTCGGCAGCGTGAGATAATAGCCTCTTGGGCATGGATGGGTGTGACAGACCAGCGGCAGCAATCACCACTCACAATCACGTTCACGCTCACAGTCACGGTTCCACGGGAATGTTGGCCTCAGGTTCGTACTGGATGTAGCTTGTGGTAATCCTCCTGCTGCACCCAGAAATGGCGGTATTGTAATTTGGAAGCAAAAACCCCGATGTTTCGGGGCCATGCATTCATCACCGAGCCCGTGAGGTGGTGAAAAGGATAATAATGGTTTGTGTATAGAGGTGAAGTTGGCTCACGTCCAGGGCTCGACTCCTTCATGTATTACCAAGCACATATCCAAGAACATGCAGCTCGTAGCAAGCCCCCTTCTCCAATGATGGGACGCCAATGCCGGCTGCAATCCCATCCTGCATCGTGAGGGATGTCCTTGGGAATCTTCGGCATGGGGTAAAAATGTGGGTTGCCGATAAGCATGCAGATGCTCCCCACTTGTTCGTAACCCGAGCATGGGGCATGGCGGTTACATCTCAGCAAGACGGAAGACAATGAGTAGTGTGGTATGCATGGGGGACGTGGAACTTCAGAGCGACGGCAGCATGCCAAACCTGTTGGGGTTTGTCATCTTTTGATCATTTCATTCGAAGAAAAACAAAATCCTACTCCCAGGAAGCCAAAGGTGAACTGCTAAGAGGCTGCTGCTAATCTCAGACGGCTTTCTGGCAGGGGGACCGTGAGAGCGCGCACCTCTGAAGCGAAGTATCCATGGTACATTACAAAACCAGTATGACAAAAAAAATTCCTAAACCCCTGTGAAGATCCCCGTGACTTTCCCAATGTTTCCCTCCTGATCCACTTGCGAGCCAGTAACATCCAAACCATCACAATGCGAACATTGCTGAGAAGGGGGTATGAGAAAGTATGAAAGATGCTGAAAGGCCCAAGACTCTAGGAACCGCCCCGCTAAGCCCCTGTCGCCAGTTGAGCTTTGCGTGGCTGGTAAGGCTTGGTCGGCATTTGCATCTGATTCTCCTTTGCCACGGGTTTTGTCTCCCCATCTGGTAAAGATGAGGACAAGCCCATAGGGCAAAGGGACATTAAATATATCCCACGTCGTCTCTTAGATTTCTCCTTCAAGCGGAAACGCACCGAGCTGTTCGGTCTGGAAAGAGAAGCTGTAATGCCATAGCCATCGTCGCGAGGTGAGAATCCAAATCGAAATTGAGTTGAACGCCTGACCTGTGTATGTTAAGCCGTAAATCCCATGTGCCGCAATAATGTCTATCCCGCTTATGAACCACTCAAAAAGAAATAAAATAAACTGCTGACTAAGTGGACCTGCTGTAACCATACTCCTCCAAAATCAATCCCAGTTGTGTACGCCTAAACGGGTCCTAGCCTTTGGGAGGGTATATGATTGAAATGAGTTTAAAAAAAACAAGACAACGTAAAAAAAAGAATTCGATGTCAGCTAGTTCAAGCAGGACTATGCTCGCGTTAATTGCCTCGAGTCTGCTTCGGGTGATACTTCAATGTCGTCTTTCTCATCCAGCCGACCGCGAGGTTCCTTGATCTTGAGCCCAATATAAGCCCCTCCGAAGGTTATCAGCATTGTAAACCACCATACCAGGCCAGAATAGCCCGACTCAAGACCCATGGTGTAGAGGGATCCAGATACAATCGGACTCATAGCACGACAGAAACTGGCCGTCGAAGCAGCGGCCCCATTAATTGTGCCGAGCGTCAGAGTGCTCACCGCGGAGTTGCTGAGGAGAATAGCATTGCTGGGGTATGCAAGCGTTGTAATCGAGCACTTCCAAATGATGAGCGCATAAATGCTGACTTTGTGCAGGCTCGGCGGAAGAAGGACGATGTAAGGAGTGCAAAAGTACAGCAGCGGGTACAAGATCGACATGAGCTGGAATACACGGCGCGGACCCATCTTTTCCGTAATTGCGGGGAAAAGGACCTTAGTCGCAAACATCGAATAGAGACCCTGGACGGAAAGAATCACGCCAATTGTCTGGGTGTCGAGTCCGAAGCCTCCCGAGAATTTGAAAGGCAGCTTCATTGGGATTCCATCTTTTGGTGGGTTTGTGCTGAGGAACACCGGGAGGAGCGAGTCAAAGGCCATGGTGTGGCTGCGACAACAAGTTAGTGCGCTCCCAATCAAGCCCTCTTCCAGAAAGACTTACAAGGCAAGAACACCGTAAGAAGCGATGATGGTGATGATGGGCTTGGTGAAGATCTTTCCAGTCGACTTTACGGCCTCGGTGGCAGAAACCTGCTCGTTGAGTGTCCTCTCGAGCCTCTCCACATCCACAGGCTCTGCAGGATCAGAATCCGTCTCAAATGAAGCATCGGAGTCCTCGTTGGTAAGGTATCCTGGCAAAGGCTCATCGGTGTCGAAGAGGAGAGGCTGCTCTTCAGGCTTCTTGGCAGGCTCTCTGTTCCGGCACGACTGAATGGGCAACCAAACGAGAATGGCCTTGCCCAGCTCGAGACCAGGATCGCGGTGTTTCTTTCTCTCTGCATGAGTCTCCTCGAGGAACAGAATGCCGATGATGACACCTATCAGAACGCAAACCGCACTGAATAGGTTAGGCAGCAGGTAAGGGAAACGATCGAAGATGCTGCCTGGCTTGAAAATCGACGGCATAGATTCCACCGGTTTTGCAAGAGCACCGCCAATCATGGGACCAACGATAGAACTAAGAACATACGTTAGCTCGAAGGCCTGACAAAGCTTGATGAAGCTCATAACTCACCCAATACACCAGACCAACGGCATGACGGAGTAAGCGCGAGCTGACTTCATGTTAATTCTCGCTCTTGGATCTCGCTCATAGAATTGGCTCAGACTTAACGAACTTACGCTGGTGTTCCTTAACCGTGACCAGTTCCGCAACCGTCGTTTGAAGAACCCCCATATTCCTGCTGCGGTTAGCAGTGCAATATCGAGTATTCCATGCCTTTCTCACACTTACCCATTGAGAAAGCCTCCCAGAGCGCGCGCAAACAGAGCAACCTTGAGACTCGGGGCGAAACCAAAGATTAGGACGCTCAGGCCAGTACCTCCCATTCCCATCAATAAGACGGGTTTTCGGCCGATCTTATCACTGAGCCGGCCCCACAGAAAGCCAGTGGAGAATTCTGCAAAAGTGAAGGCCGAGGTCACCATGCCGGCATAGAACGAGATCTTGCTCTCATCATTGGTAATGTTGAAATCTTTTACCATGTGGTAGATGTAAGGGAAAATCGACATGAAGGCGATCGGCTCGCAGATCCGGCACGCAGCTGCCCAATTGGTTAGAGATCAACATGACATGACACTCCAGCCCCAGGGAACATACCCAGAATGAGCAGCTGCCTTGAGGGGTATGGAGGGCGTTGGACGCCCCTTGAGCTACGCTGTTTCCGAGATCTCGCTCTCATTGTTGTCGCCCGGGGGTGATGGGTATCGACTCTGATGTAAGGATGTACTGCGTATGTGGGCAGATACAGTAGACGGCGCTGTCTGCAACTGACTTTCTCCGGAAAGGGCGGGGCGGCTAGGGCAGATCAAGTCAAACGGTGTTTGGAGGGGCTGGAGGGGACGAGGACGATAGGGCTGATGGGTTGTTCGGCAGTACACTAGCCGGTTTAGCAGCTAGTGAGAGGGCAGCCGATGAGGTTGACGATATGGGGGAGAGGTATACTCAGCAGTCCGAGTCACCATCCAGCTTGGGGAAAGGAGAGACGCGAACCCAGGCGGCAAGGAGACTTGAAGGGGGATTATGTAGGAGACGAAGGGGATTGCAGGCCACAAAGGGTGGCGCAGATTTGAAGGGCAGCGACCAGGGAAGAGAGTCTTGGGACGAGCATGCTGGGTATAAGAAAGCGGGAGTGAATGTATATACTTTTCTAATGCCCGCGGCCAGGTGTCCAGGTAATCCCGAAGGAGGGCCCAATGCAATACATACATAGACCAGGCCCCAAGAAAGAACCAAGAAAGAACCCCAATGGATGCCAAAAGAAGATCGGGCGGCCGGCCGAGAGCAAGGTGACGGGGAGGGCTGAGACGAGAGGTCACCGGATCATCCACCATCTAGCAGTGGGGACCCTTGTGCAAGACGTGGGGAAGAAAAAAAAAAGAATTAAAAGCCATGTTTGATGAAAAGCGATGGGTGAAAACAGCGGTGACAAGCAGCCGCCCTCTCAAGTACTCAGGCTGCTGGGCGAATAAGACAGGCAATCCTGGGGAAGCACCGAGCAGGTCAGTTCAGGTGTCGGGTGGGACATCCCCAGGGTGTGCCGGCGAGAGACCACAGGAGACCCGACTCAACTGAGACCTGAGGTTAGCCCAGCACTCAATACGCAAATAGGTACCTCCGTAATCCGTAGGAGACGGCTCATCAACCTGGAAGACCAAGACCGGGAAAGACGAGCTTCAGTCCAGGTGAGAATGTGGCGGATCGCGTCGACATAACAGCATCCCGGCTAGTGACAGGGGCTACCCCAGGCCTTGGTGCTTGGCGCGCTAATCCATTTCGCAGGCGGGTGGGCTGCCCAGAGCCGAGGGCCCCGACAAGGCGTTGCTGGCGCAGGCATGGAAGCGCCCAGCCTGGAGGAAGCTGTAGCTGAATGCCACGCTTCCAAGTCTCAACACCATTTGCTCCCTGCTGTCGTTGCTGCTGCACACGCTGTGACCTTGCGACAGGCAACGGAGGTGTGAAGTGTAAAGTGTGAAGTGTTAAGTCAAGCGTGAAGTGGTCAACTAACTTAACCATACCATCTTTGCAGGGATCTGCACAGCACAGCTAGTAATCAACTGCATCACCGTTGCGTTGCGACTTGCGAGCGACGCAGATTACACACAATACGTACACTCACTACGGCCCATGAGAGAGGTACCTTTTGGCAGAGCATGGCTTGAGTGGATCGGAGGTGCTTTTGCCAGTGTCAGCCCAGCATCGAATAAGGACCGAGGATCAAACCTGCGCCAGTTGAAACTTTCCAGGTTGAGGTTGAAACGGAGCCATTTGACATGCGTAATAGAAAGCGGCACATCGATCTGTTTGCAGCTTGTGGAACCTGGACACCATGCGTCAGAGATGATATGCTACTGTCAATCCTCCTACGAGGCATTGCTGCCAACTAAGTACATATGTACTCTTGTGCTGCTGCTGCGCGAAAGCCCAAAGGCATGTCAAAGTCACAGCCCACCTGGCCGTACATCTATCTGTCCGCCCATCCAACATGTCTTTGAACCTGCCAACATGCTTCCATAGCATGGAATCACGCATGACACACAGGCTGGACCACAAACAAATACATTATTACTCCGTTGCTCAGTACCCATACTCCTTCTACTAGCCATATGCGCACGCAGAGTAGCAGGCTTACACTTTAAGACATATTGTGCGCAATAGCCATACCCGCTGAGAGAACATCGCATTCCTGAAAGGTGGTGTGCCCAGCCAAACCATTACCGTGCCATGGTCATCGCCGAATTGGAAAACACGGTTGGCTGCACGACGAAAATCATGAGGCCCTGGGTTTCTTTGTCGTGCACAGTCGGGTAAAGGCCAATGCATGCCGCGGGATTTGCCCACCTTTGCGGGAGGACCCGTTGTTGGCAGCGGTTCGACAAGATGGAGTGATAGATGACTAAGGCGTTCAAAAACAGGTTGCACAAAACACTGCGCGGCAGCAGCAACTCTCAGCCAACCCAGGGTGGCCAGCAAGAACGCCAGGAAATGTTTTACAGACATAGACTGCCCGACACCGCTGCTATGAGTCTTGTTCTCCGCAAAAAGGAAGCTTGCCGCCCCCAAATGATGAACATGATGCTGTGCCATCTCGGCCCGGTTGGCACAGTGAAGGCTGGCGGCGGCTTGCCTGCCTTCCCAACAACAAACCGCCGGCTGGTAATTGGTGGACGGCTGGCTCGGCTGTACATCCAATGTCATCACTGCCAGCCCGGTAGTCAAGCCGCCCCTAAGAGGTAAGTATTGGGGCCTCGCTGAATCCTCCAGATGCGATCGGAGCCCATGCAGGCTGCGGCATACACTGGCTTGCGCATTGCCTACCTACCACTTACCACTTCCATTTGCTGTCCGTGATCAGGTTCCTTCTGTTATTCCCATTGCTGTGATGCCCGTGGTGCGACAACTACTGCGACATCACTTACTGTCTTCTCCAGCCTGGCACTATGGGAAGCTTTGGGAAATCTGAAAAAGTGAGGCTGTAAGCGCCGCACATCGTAACATGCCCTGATGTTACCCTACAAAGCTACAAAACTAAAGACGCACTTGCTGCATCAAAACAGCATGCGTATGTTAGATGATGTAAATCGCGGCTAACATATTACATAGTCTGGGCATCCCCAGGAGGATGAGGAGTACGTGACGACATCACATCACAGCCTTCAATGTCAACCTTGGTCCTTGAATGGCAAAGCCAGGGCAAAAAAGACACTTGGCAACCTGCGACGACCAACCTCCAACGTTAGCACAAAGCACAGTTGCTTCAATGCCGATGCTATACTGTGTCAACATCCTTGATTATGCGCCGCCGCATCTTGCTTTTTCCTTTTTCCCCATGGCAACATACGTACACTGCAACAGAGCAAGGCACTGAGGAATCGCTATACTGCCTGCCTACAGGCTATATGTGAGGAGGCGCCTGGTATTACAACCGTGTTATTTTCGTCCACCCCATAGGCAACTGGGTCCCAGAGGCTTGTTGGACATGCGACACAGCATCATGTAAAGAAGCGGCTGTCCCGGCCTTTTCTCACTGGAACTGCTGGTCGAGAGGCGGTGAACGCCGGACACCGTGAATGATGCCGGAACTCGGAAGCTGCGGGACCGCTCGCGTGAAGCCCGAGAACACAACAAAAGGTGATGCCTTCGGACCAAAACACCAGCAATTGAGGGGTAGGTAAAAGCATAGTGACAAGAAGCGCAAGAGGAGGCAATACTTAGCTGAGTGTGATTTTACGGATTATCGCGGTGAAGGAACAACCAGGAAACTGAGACCGGAGACACGCGAGGGATCGGCTACAGTGCCGCAAGTTGCAGCCAACCCCGCTTGAGATTATGGCGATACACTGGAGTGGCATTCTAAGCAGGTACCTAACACCTCTGCTTAGTGATGTGTGCATACAGAAGTAGCCCAGCATGGAGCCTCCGGGCCACGGGGCTAACAGCTGGTGAAATGTGTATCTATTTGAACACCTTACGATACATTCTATGCATCTAAACTTAATGTCCACAAAAGAAGTCGGCGAGATTCCATCTGGACTAACTACCGTGCCTACCTATCTATATACAGAAAATGCCATATTCTATGACACCTTAGAACCCCCAACATACGCTGCACTGAGCACAATCTCTACAAACATACCTAGCCAAGGAGTTGTACAAGCCCCGATGGAGTGCTGGTTAAACTTAGCTACACTACACTAGCTTACAAAAGATCCTGGCAGCTCTGAAAAACGGTTGGGCTCAGTGGAGCAACGCACATCAACGGTACCCTTTTGCTGCCCAATGATGTAGGTGGGTGACTTTTGTCTTGCAACACAAGACCAACAAATCTTACGATATTCTGCGTGCTCCACGCCGTCTTAGGAATGGATTCAGAGCGCTCGAGTCTCGAGACGCTTCCTTGGTCTTCTGGCCGCGGAGTTTTCCAGACGCTCATACGCACACGGACACACAATACTTACAGCCCCCCTGTTTCTTCGTTAGTGCAAGACTACGGGATTGGGGTTTGCCAACAACAACCCACTTGCAGAGCGAAGTGGTATCAACAAATTGCTCTTTGAGGAAGAAAATTTCAAGTTATAGCATAGGCTTGACCAAAACCGTTGTCTAAGGTGTTGCCCCAGCAATCAAGCGTGGAGTGAACTGTACGTACTTTTGCTGCCAGATGCTTTGTGCCAGGCCTGGCCTTGTTTTCGAGGCCTATGAGCATGGGTCCCGATAAACTCGGCGGCCGTGCACTGGCTGGTGATCGGATGATTGCGCTGCTTAGGTCCCGGCACCAAAAAATAACCGTCGATAATCGCGGCAAAAAAAACGTCATAATTGCCAACAGATCACAGCGCAGCCAGCGCAAGAAATCCAGAGTCACAAAACAAGGATCAGATGGATTTTAGTGCGCGCAAGTTCCGAGGGTTGAAACTCTTCCGAATTTTCCAGCAAAGGAAAACAACAAGCATTGGGCAGAGCAATTGGAATTTCCAATTCAGCCCAAACTCCAAAAGCTCGGCACCTCCACCCAATGACGAGACAGTCTGGTTTTGCCCCTCCCACCAGTTTACTTTTTGACCCCTGTCTCCATCCCCGATGATTGAAGCTGTTCGTAAAATTGCTTAGATCAAAGAATCCATTAATCGAGAGACTTGCCGAAGCGAACGTCGACACTGTGGGCTTAATGCCATCACGAGA